GAGCCATATACCTCACCTGATGAATACGCCACTTCACAGGGAAGCATAACTGAGTCTGGACTTTCTATCTCAAGCTCGGTGAAGCCGGATGATTCTCCCATGGCACCACCACGTAGAGACAGTCACCAAGCACCGCTAAGTCGCTCTAACACGGTACGCTCCACGGCTGAGCAAAAGCATGATTGGGCGGCAGATCGGTCACCTCTTCAAAAACTTGAAGTGGCACTGACTGGGATCAGCAAAGAGGAGAAGAGAGCGCGAGTCTTGGAAGCTGAGATGAGGGTGAAAGAACGGATGGCACGGCAGCAATCTGAAAATAATAGTCGCACATCTGTTCCAGTGCAATCTCACCAGGATACTATACCACGAGATACTTCAAGCCCTCTAACGGAAGTTCCTCGGCAGACAGATCCTGAGCAGTCAGCTCTACCGCGACAAAGACCGGCTCAAGGTCCTTCAGACAAAGCAAAACCTCCTCACGCGCGAACGTCCTCGGTACAACATCCAGTGCCATTGCCCGCTAACGTGCCACAGCCTGCAAGAGGCTACCCCCAGAATACAGGTGTTGTCAGGACTGGTAATGCTCCCAGACGGTCTGTGTCCGTGAGCCATCCAGCTGGAAATAATGCTATGGGCTCACAATCAATTAAACCAAATATGCCGCGAGGGAATAGCGGCCCTTACACTGCGGATAGTCCCCAGGCCCACCGGTATCTTGCTCCTACTGCAGGACAAATGCCACATCTGAGCCCTGCAGCGTCCGGGGCTAGACCAGTACCGCAAGCTATAAGAAGGAAAGAGCCCCCCACAGCGGTCATTGAGCCCCAGCAAGCAGACCTGAAGGCCTACCCGATTGGGACTGGATCTACTGGTAATGCTATACCTGCACACTCCGATTCGAGTCGAGAGCCAGGCGGGAATGCCACGATGACATCTCAAAGTTTTGAGCGCGAGCCTGCGTTGCAGCCTAAACCTAAACGGCAGACTGTTTCGTTCGATGTCCCACCGCCAACGCCTCCACCTTTGTCTGAGTGGAAAACAGCACCAGTGGCAAGACTGGGTGCTTCTGACTTTGACTACCAGAATTTCGATGTCGATAAAAGTAAGGCGTGGTGGGAAGGTGGCGGAAGCAACAACCGCAGAAAGAGTAGGGCTCTGCCAATCAACTACCAGAAGCCACCAAACACTAAGCCATCGGGTAGGTCCTATCCTTTGATATGCTCGCCCAAGATTGCAGATTCCCGGAACTGATACTAAGTGTGACATATAGCGAACAAGCGCTTCCAGCCACATCTGTTTCTTAAATGTGGTCCTTTACTCCGTTACGGAGGCTTGAAGCGGGTGCGAATAGATGGACCCAATGGGGCGTTCGATAAGGAAACTTGGAGAGGGAGTGTGTTGATTGTGACAAGAGATTCTCTCTCTTCATATGAGCCACCACCTACTTTAAGGTTATTTCCTCAGCCAATGGATCTGCTACCTCCTCCTCCGACTGAACTGAATGGAGAGAATTCTGAACTAGCCCCTGAGTATGTGGACCCGACAGCTGGACTTATAAAGTTGGGGCGAGATGGCAGGCCTCTCTATGTTAAGCCAGTAGATCATACAGAAGAGGAGCTGGACCTCTCATGCATTGAAAATGACGACGGCATCTATGAGATGTCACCCAGTATCATTGACTACAGCAGCGAGGGCATCAAGCAACCCATCCCTGCTAACAGGGTCCATTCTATGGATGGAGAAACCGCTGGATTCTACAAGGAGGTTGCAGGGGCCCGTCTCTATGCCGACCCAGGAAGAGACATCACGTTCTGGAGGTTTAATATTGAGATTGAATTAGGAAATACCCAGCAGCGGATTGCATATCGTCTCAACCAAGGACCGGCTCTGGGATTCTGGGTGCCTGCCAGGGGACAGTCAATGAACATAATGTACCACACATGTAACGGCTTTGCCCCAGGCGTTGACTCTAACAAACTCTGTGGTCCAGACCCTCTGTGGCGAGACGTGCTCAATGAGCATCAGACTCGCCCATTCCACGTCATGATTGGTGGGGGAGACCAGATATTCAACGACAGAATTACAGCAGAATCGCCCTTCTTCCAGGAATGGGTCAAGATGAAAGATATCCATGAGAAGTACGACACGCCGCTAAACATGGAGTTCAAAGCGGAATTGGAAAACTCTTTTCTTGAGCACTATGCACGGTGGTTTTCACAGGGGCTTTACTCCCTTGCAAACTCGCAAATACCCATGGTTAACCTCTGGAATGACCATGAGATCATCGAAGGCTTCGGATCTTACCCCGATGAGTTCATGAGCACGCCCGTAATCTCAGGGCTTGGCAACATCGCATTCAAATACTACTTGCTATTTCAGCACCACAGCGTTCCAGAAGAGACCGAAGCAGATGAGCCTAGTTGGCTGCTTGGGGCTCTTCCTGGACCGTACATCAACCACCGCAGCCGCAATTTGTTCATGTCTCTAGGTGGTGGGGTGTCTCTCCTTGGCCTAGACTGCCGGACTGAACGCATGGTAAGACCATAGAACCTGCTTAGTAGCAGAAAAACAGTGCTAACAGTATATTCTAGAATGACGAAGTGCTTAGTGAACAAACCTCTGATCTAATTTGGGACAGGTGCCATCGTGAAATTGTCCGGGGCGAGACGAAGCACTTGCTAGTGCTGCTGAGTATTCCGGTTGCATATCCTAGGGTGGTATGTTACGAGCGCTATAATTGCAATTGTTTCCCTTCTAACCTTCTCACAGGCGATGGTGAAAAACATTCTAAACAGCCGGAAATCGCTCGGCAAAGCCGGGATTTTTGGTGGTTTTGTAAACAAGACAGGGGGCAAAATTGAAATCTTTGATGATCACTGGACGGCTAAACACCACAAGTCAGAACGTCAATACTTGATCGAAGATCTTCAGGACTTGGCAGCAGACAAATCCGTCCGTGTGACCATTTTGAGGTAAGACATTGTACTCTGCTATCCTGTAGGGCGGACCTAACAAACTTCCTTTGCAGCGGCGATGTGCATTTGGCTGCCATTGGCCAATTCTACTCGAACCCGAGATTGAACTTGCCTAAGGACAAAGACTATCGATACATGCCCAACATCATTTCCTCGGCTATTGCAGACATTCCCGAGACGGAGATGGTGTCAGACACGCTCAACAAACGGAATCGAGTTCATCATCTAGATACTAACACAGACGAAGACATGATACCCATATTTACACATGATGTGAATAATAAGCCACGGAATAACAAACGGTTGCTACCACGCCGAAACTGGTGCTCCATCCGTGCGTATCAGCCAGGTCAGTTCTGATCTCATTGGCTTCTTGGCGCTTTTTTGTACGTTGCTAACTAGGCGCAGGCTTTACCCCACAGACAACACCGGAACCTGAATCGTCGCCGGTGGAGGAGCCTCGACCGGGCAAGCTGCAAAGGACACTGTCCCTGACGCGCGGGGACAGACCCCAGGGTAGCGGCGGCCTGTTACGCCGACTCTCGGGGCGTGGACGGCCACCGACTAAGGACTTTGACCTTAGAGGGAACCCAGTTGGGCGGCGTATGAGTATGGATGGCCCATTTCCTCCTGCAGAGACGGGTGATAGCTACTTTCCACCGCCCGCAAATTCCCGCCCAGCCCCATTCCTTCGACGGCCTACGAATCTGAGCCAGAAGGCATCTAAGAAGGTTGCAAAGCAGGGGGACGATGGGGTTGGCGCCTTCGTTAATTTAGAAGGGGGGTTGGCTATATCCTTGAACTTGGAATTAAACCCGAAAGACCCGTCTGGTATTACGACCCCATACAAACTGATCGTGCCGATGCTGCGGTACGAAGGGGATGAGTATGACCCCCCTGCAGCACCAGTTGCGAAGGGCTGGAAGCGGTGGTTGAGTGTACGGAGGAATAAGAGAGAAAAACAGAATGTGGAGGACACCGAAGCCGAAGAAGGATTCAGCGATGAAGACGAGGATGAGTACGACCAGCACGAGAATTATGGACGCTCAGCGGGACGCGAACATGAGTATGTTGCTGGTGGAGACGCGCCTCCGGAGACATTAGTTCCGGTTGCTAGTCCAGGCGAACTAGAGCATGATGGTGTTGCCGAGCCCTCGAGAAGGAGGAAGTGGTTTGGCCGATGAGCTGATTGATATGGTTTGATCTGATATGATTATGACGAGTGATGATGATGACGCTGACGATGACAACTATGATGATAATGAATGAATGTAAGATCTATGAACTACGCGCTGTATACAGTGGATACCCTCTCTGAATGTGATTGTAATGAGTCCTATGCCTCGATGTTTCTTATCAGGTGCATATTTGGGTTTTATGTACTCCGTAGATGTTGGATTTTGCCTGAATGCAGAGATCCCGGCGATTGATCCGAGATAAAGAATTGATCGATAATCAGTGGCGGTCTCGGCCCGTGACTGCTTTCTAAGCACCGCGGCACGTGACCCGGTCTCGCCGGTGCCAATCCCGGAATATTTTCCCCTTGTACCTGGTCGGAGAGGAAGAAAAGTCGTTTCCGTGGTATTCTTGTGCAATTCCATTCTTTGTCATTAATCGGGTTGATTCATCGTCCCCACAGGGATTCCAGGTAGGAAACCAGTCTCTTGGTTTCGACCGTTTAGCTAATCTTGAGCCATCCAGCCCTTTTTTCGTCAGACCGTCCCCACCACCCGGCAATCTGAGCCCCTCTTCGCCTCTTTCCCTGCGCTCTCCCTGAACGCCCATAATTAAAGCCGCCTATTTCCCAACCCGACTTTCTTTCTTTTCCTTCCCAATCTCCTCCCCAACACCGTCAAGCTGTTTTCCTTCGCTTCTCGACGACTTCCCTTTTCCTCTCTTCGATCCTCGCTCGGATTGACAGCCGCTGCTGCGTTGTCGCTGCACCAGAAATCCTCCCCGTCCGCTTCAGTTCTATCGAATAATCTTTCGACGCCCCTGCGCGTCAGTCAAAGTTCGGCATCCAGGATGGTGCACACCAAGGTCGTTAGTGAGTTTTCCTCACTTCTTGTATACAATGTTGCCCAGTATCGGTTGGAGATACTAACTGGTCCCCCGTAGTCATTGGCTCCGGCCCCGCCGCCCACACCGCTGCGATCTATCTCTCTCGTGCAGAGCTCAAGCCTGTCCTCTATGAGGGTATGCTGGCTAACGGTACTGCCGCTGGCGGTCAGCTCACCACCACAACCGACATCGAGAACTTCCCCGGCTTCCCTGATGGTATCGGTGGTACAGAGCTGATGGAGAACATGCGCAAGCAGTCCGTCCGTTTTGGAACTGAGGTCATCACTGAGACTATCTCGAGAGTGGATTTCTCGCAGAGGCCGTTCAAGCTGTGGACGGAGTGGAACGATGGTCCTGACAATGAGCCCGCCCACACTGCCGATGCTGTCATCATCGCCACTGGTGCCAATGCCCGTCGTCTCAACCTGTCCGGTGAGGACAAGTACTGGCAGAACGGAATCAGCGCCTGTGCTGTCTGTGACGGTGCCGTGCCAATCTTCCGTAACAAGCCCCTCTATGTGATCGGTGGCGGTGACTCTGCTGCCGAAGAGGCCATGTTCCTGGCCAAGTACGGCAGCTCTGTTACTGTTCTGGTCCGTCGCGACAAGCTTCGTGCCAGCAAGGCCATGGCCAGCCGTCTTCTGGCCCACCCCAAGGTGACCGTTCGTTTCAACACCGTTGCGACCCAGGTCCTGGGTGAGGAGAAGCCCATGGGCTTGATGACCCACCTGCGTGTCAAGAACACCGTCACCGGCGAGGAGGAGACCGTCGACGCTAACGGCCTTTTCTACGCCGTTGGCCACGACCCCGCCACCGCCTTGGTCAAGGGCAAGATCGACCTCGACGACGAAGGATACATCATCACCAAGCCTGGCACCAGCTACACCAGCCTGGAGGGTGTCTTCGCTTGCGGTGACGTCCAGGACAAGCGCTATCGCCAGGCCATCACCAGTGCCGGTATGTCATGACCCACCATTACCCCCGTCACATCATATACTAACAGTCTTTTACAGGCTCCGGCTGCGTTGCTGCTCTCGAGGCTGAGAAGTTCATCGCTGAATCCGAGTCCCCTGAAGAGGAGGCTCCCGTCAACGAGGTCAAGCAAGACCCTCAGGGTAACACCGCGGAGTACAAGTCCAACCCTCTCCTCTAAACGTCTCCGTCCCGCCACACCTGCTCTATAGATCCCTCATCACCACCTCTTCATCACACCTAGATCTGCCCCACACCGGCTGACGATCATGTTTCATGTCCTACGGATATATCCATTTTGCTTATTTTGATGGCTGTTTATATTAGACTTCAGCGTTCTGGTCATTCTCCTCGGTTTGTGATGGGAAGTTTAATACATTTTTTTCGGTCCCTTCGATGATACTCGTGGCGCGCATGTTTCATGGGTCGCTGAAACTATGAATTTCATATCAATAGACTAGAATATAGAGTAATTCTCGAGGATCCTGATTCAAATCTGGTTTCATTTGGTAGTACAAGAGATGGTCGTTAAGAGAATATATATCTACATGGTATGCATCAACTCGTGCAAGTCATGATAGGAGCAAGATCGTCCAGAGGCTAATCTCAACAGCTCGACAAGTCAGAGTAATGCAAGGAGCCCTTCAGTTGTACCCCATTTGTGTGGGAATGAACAGTCGGAGCAGTAGCTACTCTGTGGGTCTGATCGCTTGAGTTGTTTGTATGTTGTCCCAATGAAGAAGTGGACGAAGTAGTAGCACCAGCGGCAATTGACAAATGATTTGTCGGCACAGCAGTGTCCGCAGAACGTACACCACCCCAACTTCCAAACGGATTAGCTGCATACCACTTTGTCTTCAGTTCACCCGCCTTCTGCTCCCACTCGGTGATCTGTTGTTTCCATCGGCTCCACATTTCCGCATTTGTCTGTCGGTTGACCTCTGTCTGCTCGATGTACGGCCGCTTTTCCTCTTCGCTGGCTCGCCGCCACATGAGCCCGAGCTCATGACGGACCTCATCGCGAGCAGCTTTGGCGTTAGGGTCGTTCGTTTCTGCTCGGCGAACTTCGTCGCATTGGGCGCGGCATATCCCCCAGTAGTCTTTTTGGTAGAGGAGGAAAGGGTTTAGGCCGGTTCTTGCGGGTCGGGGCATGGGCGGGCCTATTTCCGATTGAATTGATGTCCACATCGCATGTTCGTAAGCTTGCTGACGGGCTGATGTGGGTGAGGTTGATTCTGCTGGGTTAGTGAGGGGATTGCTAGTGGCTGACGCTACGGGCATGTGCGGCTCTTTTCGCTTCTGTCCTGCTGCTGTTGGAATGCTAAATTCTGCCTTTCCTTTCTCTGGTACGAGGGGGTTCGGTAGCTCTATGGGACCTAGGATAGATTCGATCACCTCAGAGCCGGCACGGAGCCCAGAGAGATATGCCCCGTGGACAGTGGCAGGATGAGTGCCACATGTCGCCTCCCCTGCAAAGTGCAAATTGCCAATCGGCTTGGCCATCAGGTCGTAATCTCCTGGAAGTGCTTGCGCCGCCACATAGGAATAGCTGCCCCTAGTGAACTTATCGGACTTCCATCTGGTGATTATTGTTTCTAGTGGATCGGGAACCACCGTATGTTTGAATACATTGCGGAGTTGGCTGGTCACCTCAGCAATAATTTGATCATCAGGTGTACATTCCGCCTGAAGAGCGGCATCTCCGGCCATAAGAGCAATTAGGACGGGAAGTCCGGTAGTCTTCAGACAATTCCAGAAAAGGTAGAATCGACCTCGGTTAGCAGCATAATCTTCTTGAATGGTGCTGTTTCGATTTGTGGGTTCGCGCAGAAGCCCAAACATATCTCGTTCAGTGTCCCAGAATGGTTGGTCAAACACCAGAATCACCTTGTTCATTACTCCAAACCCAAGTCGATCAATGGCTCCACGTTTCCATTCTGGTAGAGGAGGTTCAAACTGTATGGATTGATGCTTGAGAACTCCCAAGGAGCCGGTGAAGACCACTTTGTCTGCCACAAATGATTCGCCATCTTCACAGTGAACAACTGTCTTTTGTTTTCCCATTCCAGATGGGTCATATGATATCTTGGACACTATCTTGTTTGTTCGAACGTCGAGTTTTGTAGGTAATGAGAATAGTCCATATGGGACTTGTTGATATCCACCTACTACCTGCGAATGCTCGCCTTCGAACTCATTCCCTATATCTTGATCCCATCCGGAAAGACTAAGTCTACTGACGTTAGTCGCGTTTGCATATTCCAAATTGGCAAAGTGCCAGTTAATCAAACGCATGTCTTTCGGGGATAACGGGAGCATCCGCTGGTATTGCCGGATGCCCTCGTCCAGCACAGCACCTAACGTTTGAGACGACGAAACCTTAGCGACAGGGTCCAGGTTTAAAGTAGCATTAGCTGGAACACCGTCGTTCAATCTCCAACCGTTCAGGTGACATGTAAAAGCAGCTGGTTGCTCCTCCGGGCGTGCAAGATCTGCGCTCGGGGCTCCAGGCGCCTTGATGTCCGCGGTTTTATGACCTACGCCTCGGCGGACACGCTTTGTAGGAAGCAGAAGGCCGATAGTACCAGAAGCCCTTGCTTCCTCGTATTGTCTTACTGTGACACCATCGCTTGTTGACAAATCACGACCTGAATCAATCAATCCCCGGTCGCCTTCTGCGGTAGGAACGACGATGGATTTATGTCGATAGAACCCGGAACGGTCCAGGACATCATCATAGAGCCTTTCATCCATCGCATCCTGAACCTCATCCACCGGTGAGCCATCTATATCATAAATTGTCGAGATGTCGCGTAACAAATGATATGGAAGAGCCAGCTGGCTCCGAATGATTGGGTCTAACGGATTACCACGGTCGAAACCAACAACTATATGCGCACCCATCTCGGCCTTAGGGACTAGTCCGGGGCCTAACTTAGACGTCTGAAGACTTCGCAAAGGATGTGAGTATATACGACCTCCAATTCTGCGTCTTCCTTCTAACAAAATGACCCGAGGGGCTGTGGACGCGTCGCGATAATGACGAAATAGACCTTCCAAGTGCCGTGCGCAACCTAGACCTGACATTCCAGCCCCAATCACGACCACCACGGGACCTTCCTTGCGCCGGCCTTTCTTTGGAGCTACAAAAGGCATAGGAATTTCGACGCAGCCAAAGTTGATGTACCCATTTCGTACCAGCCATTCATATGCGAAAGAGGCGAGGTTCATCCAACGGTAGTCCTTCGCACACCCAAGAGCTTCCTCCTTGGAAACGCTTACCATCGGATTTCGAGTCCAAAGTCGAAGTATACCGTTCCGTATGTTCAAATATACCGTGACGTGCAGATGACACAAATGGTCCTGCAACGCTTCCTGCTCCTTTAAGTGCAGCGCGTACGGATTAAGTCTGGATGCATAAGCTGCAGAGACACATTGCTGAGCGTAAACTGCAGCTGGGAGTCTCGAAGGTATGGAGGATCTTGGGCGACATGTCGTAAACCCATTCCCGCTATCTGCATTTTTAGTGTCTGTGACGAGAGAAGATGAAGAGGGCTTATTGATGACAGTTATCGGTGGCATTAAATTATTTTGACTCGGCTGAGGCGTGAATGAAGAAGTTGTGACTGAATCGCTCGACCTACCATGGGCCGTGGTTGAATGAACATCCTGAGACAGATAGTCTGTGCTTTGGGACCTAGAGTCAACCCCCTCTAAAGTTGTTCTTTCTACCCGAATACCTGGACTCGAGTTGATATTAGAGACAGAATACAGATTTGCGACATTGGCTTGACTCAAGTCGTTATTCAACTTTGAGGCATGAGCCTTCATCACGCTAGCGTTCAACTGCAGACTGCCCTTTGGCAAAGTTTGGTTTGACGGCAGTAGGGAAACATGACCGCTGCCGTTGAAGCTAATGTTTGTTGGGATATATTGGTCTAGAGTGGTGACCTCATAAGAATGGCCATTTAGGCCATGCGTTTTCATCGAAGCTGCAGCTCCCATATTGCTGGCAAGGGGTGCCATTTTGTCGCGGTATGTGTTGTAGCAATGAGATCGACTATTGCCCAGTTCAGTAGAAGGTAACTATACTATACTGAGCCTATCCATAAATATAGCACTTCCATAATTTGAGAATACAGGCAGCACAGATCTCAACGTTTCAATCCATTGTGGGTCCACTCATCGGGAGCCGTTGGTGGCGGGAAGGAGAGAAGCTTGCTATGGGGGATGTACAAATTCCTTGAGAGAATGTCAGAACATGTTTTATGATTGTTTATAAACTTCTAAAGATACGGTTATAGGACATGAGAAAGGCCTCGAATCACATGGAGCAGGAGTCCATTGACTTACCTGAGATGTTAGTTCGAGGGGTTATTGGAGGCAAGAAAGATACTGATTATCCGAACCCATCACTTTCCTTCTACAACCGATGCAACCCTAAAGGATGGTACTGAAATGTAGCAGACCAACAGTCAGTTAGGGCCAATTGCCGATAAAGGCGAGAGAAGGCAAGAGTGCCAGGGATTTGGTAAAGCGCAGGGTGGTGTGAAACCTGAACTCTGAGGCTATCGACGGTGATTTGGTACTACGGACGGGCCCATGCGTATTTTTCAGTCCGAACCAAAGGCATGCCACATTCTGCAGGCTGCACTTCCGCGTGGTTTCCAGCCTTCTTACACTCACTCACTCTTTTGATCCCTTGTTATCGTGAACATCAGGTATATTTGATAAATACTGTGATTGACAAGGCAGTAATTGAGAATGGCCCCTCAAAAATCAGTGCCTTCATGCAAGAATTCTAAACCGGCATGCATATTTGACATTCTGACTTGCAGCGCTTACTTCTAGTCTCTAATGGCGGTAAAAACGCATGCAGGTTCCCCGACGTGAAGCGACCCTAAATTCCATAGTATCAGGATCAGAAGAAGCCAACAAGGTTGATACTAGTCATTCGCCATGCAAATGCGCCTTTGCCCCCAGAGATCTCTAAATTAGCGACATGATGACGTTTTACAATACTAGATCTGTCTAACCTTTTCAGGCCTTGTTATATATACTCAGGGCTTTGTGTCCACATATCCGGCTCTGAGGCCAGGAGTGATGGCTTTCTTCCGACTTTAGCTAGAGTGCTTACTCGTTACCGATTCACTTATGTTTCAGTGCATCATTATACAAACTAGCCACAAACCTCGTGCACCTCCAGCGGAAGTTCTCTATTGCATGTCACGGGAAGATGTTGAGAGTTTCCAACCAACCATGGGTGCCTTGGAGCGTAGCCTTCGCTCTTCTAGATACATGGTCGATGGGACTAGGAGATGTAGTTGATATGGAAACCGTCGGCGGGAGAGGTTACGCCAAAGTCTCTGACCTTCGGAGTATCGATGACGGATGCTATGTCGCGGTCTATACATGGATTTATACTAGAGATGAAGTTGTCGAGAGACTTCCTGTCAACGCGTTTTCAAGCCATTTCAGTAGGATGTGGCCCGTAGGAGCTCGCCATGAGTATATGCTCAGTACTGGCATGACATCACTAGCTGAGATACTACAGTTGAACGAGCACCAGATGCTGTAGTAGCAAGAATCTGCCATAGCGCGATATGTAGTACATCACCGAGGTCACGCCGAATTTAGGACGTAGAGAACGCGTGTTTAGAGTGGATCAAAGGGATTTCATTCACTGGTCCATCACGCCCTATTTCAATTGAGAGGTCCCTATTTCGATACCTCTGCGGGCTGTCTTAAATGTTTCTGAAGCGGGCTAGCGTTCGAATGCTTCTTTTCACTATACAGACACACTCGCATGCATGGTGCAACTCGGAAGGCTGCATTTTCTTGATACCATTCGTAATAGCTACTCGGCGTGGGACACTCGGAGCTTGGTTATGTATGCAATTGATCTGCTATTTGGAAAACTGTATTAAACTGAAATTCGATAAACTCGGGCTTGTGTGTGAAATATGGTGAACTGTATATCTTTGTGATGGTGTGGCTTGACTTTCCACAAGCACACTCTGCAAGTTTATATTCCTCGTGTTTCAAGGCTTTATAGATTGCCTGTCTGGATAAAGACTGCTCCACCAATGGAAGGCTGGCTAGAAAAGCCTCTACCTCCTAATATCGGTGTAAAAACAACTATTAACATTAGATCCGGTGGTGAGTTGGCCCGAAGACTTTGTTTTAAGCTATTGTATTAAAATAGTTAGCCTTCCTGGTTGCGATCTTGGTTAAATATATATACGACTATACTAGAAACCTATAGAGTATAGAGAATTTATACCTAAGACCTAGCAGTACCTGAAAAATAAGACAATATTACAATACATCTAAACCAAGCCCACTATTACCATAGTATTCCACAAACTCGCCTTCATTGCTACAGTACCAGAGCATCCGAATTGATTAATGCCTCACGAGAACGAAAGACAATTAGATAATTGGTCGCTGGGTATTCCCGCAGCATTGCAATATGCTGCATAATTCCCCTCCCCAAAGTAGCCTGCAATGCCATTTATTTCAAGGCAGCATTCTTCTAAGGTCATGTAGAGGCCTTGCGGCCCATTCTAGTGCTGATAGATTGGTAAACCGCAGGTATTAGGGTAGAGGAGCTCCGGTGACGTTTGCACAGCGAACGGGGCCGATTGATGTCATATCTTGTCAACATATATATGTGTGTTTTTCTGTAGCAGCAAGCATGGGTGCAGCATACCATGCTCTGTTTTAGAGCGTAAGAAGGTGTATGTATTTAGCGGGAGAGAAGAACTACCGATGGTCGGTCAAAGTGCGGGAAATAGACGCTAAATAATTGAGGAGAAGGCGTCAAAGGGTTTATAAGTGTCTATCAGAAGATAAAAACAACAAGGAATGATCAGTCGGGCGTCTAACACGGGGCAACTTACACGATGAGGGTTCCATCGCAAACACTTCAAGCGTATGTTCTGGTAGCTGCTAAACAGAGATAGATCGAGGTGTCCATCATATCAAGTACTAGTCTTCAAGGTGGCTTGCTACCCGCCGACCAGTGTTTAGTTAATTGCATCGGGGAAGCTACTATAGTAATGGAAACAGCCTGGAGAAACCCTAGAACTGTCAAGTCATGCAACACCTCCGTGGTCTGTTCTATAATGATGTTAAGCCAGAGCTGCTTTGACTTAACATTTCAGTACTAGGGTGACATAATATAACTTCGTTAACATACTTCATAGCCTCGCTGGGGTTTATAGTTTGATTTAATTACTATTACTCTTGATATTCATACTAGCCAAGGTAGAATTAGTCTCTGCCAGTTTTCCACCTATATCATCTTAGTTACACACTAGCACTGACCCATTCAAACCTGAGGGCTGCTTATTACACACTCATCGAACTACTACTACCGTGCTGAACAAAGAGCAAAAGACGTGGCTGCTCAGCAAACAAACCCTGAGCACCTCACAAAAGCGGCCGTGTCCGAAACAGGTAAGCTACCAGAAATCTAGAGAATCCAGTGTACGTATGTGCATGTGTATATATATACCCTTCTTTACTTTATATAAATGATCTCACTCCTCCTACTGACGCCTACGTGAACAGAACTCTTTCCAATCGATAGGATTACAGACGGGAGATTGGGGTATGGGGGCTGGACAACCGAGAACGCCAAACTCCCCCAAAACTTTCAGTAACGCATAAACGATTCACGCCACCGGTAGAAAACTTATAGGACATGAACCGTGGAAGTTACCTCTATCGCAAGCAGTGTATAGTAAGCAAATGTGGCTCTGAGCTTCAGCTCTTCCGTACGTGTGTATGTAGGCCGTAAGTTTCCCCCTCACCGCCGTCTCCATTCTTGAAGACGTCGTCAGAATCGTTATCTGTGAACTCATCCCGGTAGGGGCCCTGAGATTGAAGCCTAGGCGAGTTCTCGCCACCGCTGTCATCGTCAATGGCCAGATCGACATTATCGTCATCGAAATCATGGAACCCGAGACGCTCCTCCTCGTCACGAGCAAGAGTTGTGGCGGCAGTGTTGACATACGGGTCCTCAGAAAAGGCATGGTGAGGGCGACGGTCAGCATGATCGGCCTGCAAAGATCGACGTATATCGGCTCTTTCCTGAGCCTCTAATTCCTTGGCTCGTGCCATAGTCCTGGAAACAATGTCAGCTTTCGAATTTCGCAAGGCAAATTAGTCGTCGATGGCCCACCTTTTATAAATGTACCAGCCAGTGAAAATCCCGATCGCAACGGTTACGATGATGCTGCCGATATTCACGGCTTTAGAACCTGCGCTCATCTCCTCTCCTTTCTCGGAAAGTAAACGGATCCGGCTGCCTACAAAGGCCGGGACAAGGAGCTTAGGTGTAACGATAGCCGTGGCAAGTCCATACATCAATGGCTGAACGGTCGGGAAGGTTGAAACAGCACCGTTGCACACTGAGTACGGTAAAGGACAGAGACGAATCATACACAGCAATTTCAGACCGTCATACTTCAACGTCAACGCAAGAGCTGCGAATCTCTTATCACGCTCCATCATTCGATTCACGAACTTAGACAGGATAGTCCGAGAAACAATGAAGGAGCACGTAGATCCCAGCACAGTCGCAGAAGCATAGAGAAGCCATCTATCGAGGACGTCAGTGGGCCGGTCAAGACCAGGATAAGGACGCAAATCTTACCCTTTCCATACGCCAAAGATGTAACCAGATATGGTACCAAAGGTAGACCACCCCACCAAGGGTGGAAAGGAGACGAAGAATACACATAACCAGAGGACAATGTATGCCCCCACTGATTTCTCCCATTTCTCTGCTACAGGGCCAAGCCATATGAAGACTTTGCCCGTGAAAACCAGGAATCCAATTCCGAGGAGATTGGCAAGCAAAGCAGCAGCAGCAGCACCTACTTTCTGCCAAAAACTCAATCTCCGCCATATTGCCATCATTCGTTGCGATGTTTCATTCAAGCGATGAGCGACCTGCTTCCAAAGGGTAGGTGATTCGGAGGGGTTGGCGGAATTGCTCCTGCCAGATGCCAAATGACTCCATGGCGGATACGAATCATTGTCTGCGGGTGAAAGCGATTCTGAAGGCGAGGTGGGGAGGGACAAAGCCCGGGCGGTAGATGTGTAGTCGGCAGGCATTTTTCAGGAATATAAGAGGGTGTGTGTTGTGATTCCAAAGCCGGAGAGACAGTCTCAGAACAAGTATTCGCAAGCCAATGGAGTTCGACGGTTAAGTGGAAGCGCAGCGCAACCCCAACGATTATCTTATTGTTGCTTTATTAGAACTGGAAGGTAGTCCCCGATAGATCGCCACGTTACTGGTCGTTGATCAATTAGCGAGGGCGTATCTATGCCCCCAGCGCGAGCTGATACATGGGAAGTTGGAAAGGGATCGGTGTTTTGTAACAAGTCCAAATGGCTGGAAGGCGTTCCTGAATTGTTGGGGAAATGGGAGAAAGATTTACCAGGTAAAAAGCTAAGCAGCCATGATGAACCTTCAGTCGCGACAGCAGATAGATAAAAGCATATGATGACAGTTGAAACGTGGCATAGAGCCCCTATAAAGACTGACAGTAGTTTGTCTGCCTGAGAGTGAAACGGAGGCTGTGCTATTAGGTTGGCGGTTAATTAATGGAGCTGCTGACTGTACGGTATGAAGTCACCCCATTACCTCATGAGTACCCCCAGTACGGTATTATTGTACTCAGCATCTGACATGCTTACTATGTATGACCTGCCTACTGAAGCTTGGTTCTTTCCACCTATCAGACTACTTTTTAGGGTTTTTATACATTTTTCTATCGATAACACTTTATTCCTCTTCAATATCTTAGGAAAAAAAAGGTAAACGTAGCCACTGCTTTCTGGGTACTTGCCTGTATGCAGCCCTGCATCCAAGGTTCGTGATCCATGATCAGTGGGTATATGTATGTATCGGCAGATCGACCAGTGATCCTGCTGGGTTATCGCCCGTGCCAAGACCCTGTTGCCATCAGTCTAGATTTCATGGAAAGGCAGCAGCAAGGCAATAAGTTTCCCCCACATTCATACCCAGCGATTTTCTGTGGGACGGGAAAGGGAGTCAAAAAAAGGTAAAAGGCTATATATGTACCTCGATATATCAAACTCTATGGAATAATCAATCGGGTTAAGAAAATGAACATACTAAAGCAGAAAAACAAACAAAGACCCGTATAAGACAGGCACAGCTCATTTAAATTTTATCCTATAGTCTGTAACGCCTAGTCAATATCAATCGAATGGATCCATCCTGGACATTGACGCCTGTTTCCATTCTGGTTTAGTGCTTCACTCAATCGGGTGGAAAGATCGAGAGGGGAGGTCGAATTGGTGGTCGGATTGGAGCCACAGCCTCAGGTTGGAGAACAAATAATCTACAAAGGTCAAGCTCTCGAACAGACATCTGTTTTCTCCCCCCAATTTAATTCCCACCTTGACACCCGTACCCGTACCTTTCTCCCCCCCAACTTACTACTTAGTCTACACCTGACAATTCCTTTCTCCCTCTCCTTGTTTTCTTTTTTTTTTTGCTTGCGTTTTCTTCTCATGTTTCTTCGCTTCTCCCATTAAGCTACTTCTTCTTCTTCTTTTCTTTCTCCTTTATTTCTTGGATGTCCTCTTGTTCTTCCCTGACTGATCGTTCCCTGCTCAGATGCGATGCGCTTACCGATGGTCTACACCACGTTTCCTGTCGCATCCTGCTAACATCTCTCATCTAGCATCTCGTTTCATCCATGACTATACACTGGATTACCTCTTCAGACAGGGAACAATGAAATCTGAATGTTAAACCCCCTTCTCAGTTTGTGGTGGTGTTGCACAATCTCATTCTTGTCCTCTATTCAACCTGCTGTCTTACCCCTCATTTCCCTCCGCCCCTTTTACACCGCGTATCTCTACCCCCCCCCTTATCAACACCCCTCAGTTGCATGATCGCCTCCACTCAGCATGATTTCCGAAGAGCTTCTTGAGGACTGCCTCCAATCCCTCCAAGGCCAAGACTTCGACGAGGAAGAACAGGCCGAGAAAGCTGAGGATTTCCTGCGAGAGAAGACCTCCTTGTCGGGGTCGTCCTTAGAAAATGCCGTGCTGGACGTCCTATGGAGGCATCGAAATCGCACCCTTCCAGGTTCCTCTCCTCCTCCGCCCCGACATACCGTCATTCGCCGCTCATCCCCAGCCCCCTGGCAGATGGGCCGTTCGTCGACGCCGTTGTCACCCCATTCAAATCTAGGAACGAGCCCGGGAAGCACATCTTGGCTTCCTAATTCACGAGGTGGCTTCTCGCGACCGGCACTGTCCTCTACCGTATCACCATTTACTTCCCCGCGCCCGTCGCCCAGACTCGCTCTTGCCCAGCCGATCCCTCACTCCCCGAATTTAAACGCATACGAATTCTCCGACCAGACCCAGGTGTCCGATTTCTATGGTGATTTTGGTAGTGACAGCAATGTGGACTGGCTGGTAGCCGACGATGCCAACAGTACTACCTCTTCCGTCGGGACGCTGAGTGCCCTTGGAGGCCTCAGCGCTACGGCCCCTGAATTTGTCCCGGATATGAGTCCCCATGATATTTTGCGCACAGTGCTCGGAGATAAAAGGACAAACGATGAGATAGAAGCTGCCCTCGAGGCAAACAGTTACGACTTGGGTGCGACAATTGCATCTTTGTCCCAAGGTCATGATGTGGATGGGTTTATCCATCACTCTGATGACACTCGCGTGGTTGTCGGAAAATCTATGGCAATGGAGCAAGTCAAACCTGGAAGTTCCCCAGGCCAAATCCGTAGCCCAGTGGTCTGCAAGTATTGGTTGTCTACTGGCCAATGTCTCCGTGCCGATTGCCGGTTTAGCCATGATTTAACCAATCATCTTTGCAAGTGAGTCTGACGAGGGCTCTGTAAACATCTTCTAATAGACAGTGGTACTGACGATGTTACCCTCCCTTTATAGATACTGGGTTATGGGCAATTGTTTGGCTGGCGATGGTTGCCCTTTTTCGCATGACCCTTCGGCGCTCGTCGCCAATCTCAGCGTGACAGACGGCAGTCATCAAGGCTCAACTGGCCCTCAGTTCCACGTAGATAGCGCATCCGAAGCATTCCCTCCTTTGCAGCCTACGCTAGGAGTGGGCGATCAATGGGCGAGCCAATACATTGGCAAATACCCAGCTCATTTATCAGGTCTAATTGGGGGCAAAGGCGTTTCGCAATCAATGCAACTTGTCACAGGCAAACGAAATGGAAGTTCAACACATGGATCTCGCCCTCATTCCCGACCCGGTAGCAGGCATCAAAATCGTGAATTAAACCCGGCCGCTCCGTCTGTGGATGACCCAGATGCATTTCCTACACTTGCTGCCGTCAGCGCCAAAAATAAGAAACATCATGGTAAACGTGGCGCGCATAATCGTGAAGCCAATTCAAATAAAGATAGTGTGCCTACTTCACTAGCAGATGTCGTACGCATGTCTCCATCTCCCGCAGTTGGGAAGGGCAAGACCACATCCAGAAACAAAGAAGGAGCCAAAGGCCGCGAGAACAGCGCCGCTGCTCAGTCTATACCACCGCCGCAAAACATCCCTTGGCTTGAAACAGGCTCGCGAGCCAACCAGCAATATATCAAGTACCGTACGGAAGCCATCCGCCATGGCACAGTAAGGAACAAGTTTCTCCAAAGGTAAGGGTCTCGAGATGTACCTTGGTGAGAGTAAGCTGACCGTCTTTATAAGTGCGGCCCAAGCCTGGAATCGTAATGATGCCAGGGCGGCAAAAGCTCTATCTCTGCGGGGCCAGGCGGAGAATGAAGCTATGCGTAAGTGCCATCGAGAAGCTGCGCGGCAATTATACGAAGAACGAAATAAGCACATAGTCAATGCCGGTCTGGACGATTCCTTGGAAGAGCTCTATGTAGATTTGCATGGCCTCCACCCCGAGGAAGCAATTGAATATTTGGAGAAGATCCTTCTCAAACATGCTAATGAAGGCCGACGTGTTGTCTATGCCATCACAGGCACAGGTCACCATTCTAAGAATGGGAAAGACAAGATAGGAAAGGCAGTCAAGGCTTGGCTGAACGAGTGGAAATACCTATTCCGTGAATTTAGCGTACCCGGAGAAAGGGGAGGGTATGTGGGTGGGATCTTGGGCATCGATCCCACGAGTTACGACAGATCTCTAGCGAAGAGTCTAGAAGACAGTGCTGATGCAAAAGCGGGTGCGGGTGGGAATACACCCGTGCTGACGATGGGCAAAATCCAGCTGTTGAAGCGGGAGGATTTGGAGGTGAGCCACTAAAACACACTTGAGAAAGGCCTTCCAATATAAGAGTTCAGTGGAAGGAATGATACTTGTGTTGTACTACAAGTCGCCTTTATGATATGTGCCCACCTTCCGCCCTCAATCGTCTAAGATGCGGAATTGCAAGTGGCGGTGGCTTTCCCGCAGTCTGAATGCAAGTTCCCCGTGGAGGTCAATTCCAGCAAGTATATGAAAGTATGCAGGAATTCAGGGAATGAAATAGATAAATCTCTTATCATCTGTTCCTGTGCATAGCACCAACTTTCTTCTGGCATCCTATCTGTCCGTCTCCTTATGCTCCTTCAACACGGAGGCTGGCTAGCAATAAAACATTATTTCAATATACATATCCATTGGTCATTTTCTCTTGAGTGTTGGTGAGATTTGCAGCTAAAGACTATTGTTTAAAGTGAGAGCAGAGGGTAATATTTACTCGGGCTCCTGGTTGTGCCACTTCTCGCGTAATTCTTCGACATTGAAACCGCATGCCTCGGCCTTCTTCACGATTGCCCTCGCCTTTTCAGCAACAGGGACATCAATCATCTTTCCATCCAACGTCCAAGCACCCCGGCCCGCAGCCGCCGCCTTGTCATCTGCAATAGTCACCCGCACGGCCCACTGAACCTCATCCGAGTCCGGGCCAAAGATCTGTTGTACAGTCGGCACCTGAGAGGGATGGATACACTGCTTCCCATTGAACCCCAATTGCCTGCCGCCACGACATTCCTCTTCCAAAACAGCAGGCGGGGACCCATCACCCTTAGTCGATTTATAAGTCGTACAGACAAGATCAATAGTAGAAGGCAGATTCGCCGCCCTCGCAGCAGTAGCAATCATAGACCGGGCGAAGAGAAATTCAGTCAGATTGGGGGTCCGGGTAAGACTGAGGTCGAGGGCGAAATCCTCCGCGGCGAAAATCAACCCCTGAAGAAGTGGCGTGGAGGCGCAGATCTGGGTCAGATTGGTCAGGGATTTGGCCGACTCAACGAGAGCCAGGAGAGAAATCGGAGGTCGCGAGGAAGCATCTTGGGATTGGGACTGTTGGGAAAGAGTGTGGGTGATGACGTCGTTGACGAATGTTAGGTCGGAAGCTGAGTTTACTTTCGGAATGACGATAGTGCTTAGATTGGGGGATTGGAGCTGTTTATTCTGTGAGCTGGTGGGATTGGAAAGAAAGCAAGCAGAATGTAGAAGACATGAACTTACCACTTCTGTTAGATCTGCTAGGGCTAGACCGCTGTCTACGGAGTTGATGCGGACTGCCCGTTCGCGGATGCCCGAGGGTGCGGGCTGGTCGAGAGCTCTCCGCACCAGAGAACGAGCTTCCGCTTTTTTGTGCGGAGTCACACTGTCTTCTAGGTCATAGGCTACGCAGTCGGCTGTTAATGTGCGTGATTTGTCGATGAAGCGCTGCGATGAGCCCGGGACTGGGTTGATTAGAGTCAGCGACGGCTGTCTGGGTGGAAGCGATGCGATGCGCTTGCAATCATCCTTGGTTTGTAGGGACAAGGTGAAATGCGGGGAAGAGCTGTTTGGGAGGGACGTACTGTAGAGCAGTGCGCGACGGAGCGCATTTCTGGACGCCATTGTCGCTGGATAGTGAGCGATCCAAAGAGTCTCTGTGTGTATCTCGCTTCTCTTTAGTTCAGCAGCATTTCAGAGGGGTGAGAAGAACGAAGACCGGCGGCAGTTGAGAAGTCGTCAGTCTTTTCCTCCCTCGGCAACGAGGGCATAAAGGCTTCTCCGGAATCTAGATTTCAACATTGAGAGATCAGTAGAGACATCTATAAGCTTATTGTAAGGAGGAATATGATGCATCATCCCGTTCCATTGTAACTTGTTTCTGACAGTTCACACCACGTGTGAGTTCCCTCCACATTATGATTCGGTTGTAATGATGCCTGTCGGTCTGCACACGAGAGATCATCTTTATCAAGCCCCGTCAAACCCGCAATACGTACATACATAAATAAATAACCGCGTAACAAAAACCTCCACCGCCCGCATTCTGTCATCACTCACCGCCCGGTCATGGAGACACGCAACATCATCGCATTCATTCCGCCCTGTCAACTATTCTTCCTGAGAAGAAGAGTGAAGCGAGCGTAATTGCTCCTGTCTTTGTTGCTAGCTTTCTTGCTCGTCCTGTTACTAGACACTACGGTTTTTCCTCCGTCGACATGGAGCAACAACCCCTTAATCCCGAACCCCAGCAGGGGGATCTGAACTGGCGTCTGAGTGCGCATCCGATTACGTTGCTTTGTTTCCTAGGCTTCCGCACCAGCGCCCTGCTGATGTACCTATTCGGGGTGCTCTTTATTAAGAATTTGTATGTGTCTTTATTTTGTTCTTGCATAGATGCCTCCTGCAATATAAGACCGACCCCCCGTGGGCTCCCTCGGAGATCTCTGCCCCTGACTACATGGCCGATCCAATCTAATCTGAATCTACAGCATCTTGGTCTTCATCATCACCCTGCTTCTCCTCGCAGCAGACTTCTATTACCTCAAAAACATTGCCGGACGTCGCTTAGTGGGTCTCCGCTGGTGGAATGAAGTGAACAGCGCCAGTGGTGACTCGCATTGGGTGTTCGAATCCTCGGACCCAACAACTCGTAGGATCGCGGCTACAGATAAGAGGTTCTTTTGGCTTAGCTTGTATGTGACGCCTGCGCTTTGGGTTGGACTGGCGATTTTGGCCATCATTAGACTGAGCAGTGTTATTTGGTTGAGCTTGGTTGGTGAGTAGTGTCCTGTCTTCTGTCACCCTGTGGTTTCTGATACTAATCGGCATAGCCATTGCCCTCGTTTTGACAATCACCAATACTCTTGCCTTCTCACGGTGTGATCGCTTCAGCCAAGCGTCCACCTTCGCCAACCGGGCACTGTCTGGAGGAATTGTGAACAACATCGCGGGGGGTCTGCTGGGCAGACTCTTCAAGTAAACAAGCCAGTCTTGAACGTTGTGCATTGTATGGCTGTCGTTCCTCCCTTGATACATCTGGATGTATTTTACAAATCACGTGCGCTTTATGTATGCTCCTAAGATTCAGGCCTCTCCTTATGAAATGAATGCAACCTGTTTTGTGTCTTACTCCTTTATATCTGTTGATCTTTATATCATTAGTCATTTTTGAGGGATTTTCCGGGGCTTGAGTTCAGTCTCAAATGGGATCCCATCTCCCACAAGGAATGGACTCCTCAAACGCTGCGCGACGACAATGATTAGCACAAGCTATGTGGGACCGGACCGGACCTGTCAACTCTACAAGAAGCAAATCCACAAGCAAAGGGTGCTAAATCAACAACCTATTTAACTTCAAATTGTTTGCTATTGGACTCATCACTGCGCTAAGGGCCCGTCTTCCCAGGAACACAAAAATCACCAAACCCACCCCCTGCTATTTGCAATGACTACCTCCACCACTTGACCACAACAACCCTTTCTCAAAACACAAACAGTACAGAAGAAGAAGAAAAAAAAAAAAGGCTACCTACCCTAACCCAGAATCTCTCACCCTCTACCTTCGAAATCTATGCATCCCAACCAAAACTCCCAAAACCCACAACCCACAACAAAAAAAAAAGCCAAGGCAAACCCACCCATCGATTTACAAAGATAACAAAGAGCACTAGCCTGAGAAACTAATACAGGGTTCTTATGCCAGGGATTGGAATAGGGGTTGACTGTGCCGCAGTACATTAGCGTTGTTGGTCAAACGTACTCAGCCTCCCGACGAGGATTCAAACGTTCAACAACACACACGAGGCTGGCGCTATTTCGATCTAGTATCCATACTAGTCATCCGACGTGGCTGTCAACAAAGAAAAAACAGGATCCAGGATCCAGGATTCAAAATTCAAAATTCAAAATTCAAAATTCAAAATTCAAAATTCAGTACAGACACTCTCATGATACAGTGCTGTCGTGGACGGTATACCTATTCGCAGAGGAAGACATGACAGTAAAAATATGATGAACATGTATACTCCATACTCCGGACTCCGTACATGCTACATACATGCATACACCTCTAACCCCAAGCCCTATCGTCATCCACGTACCTTAATTCCAAATCCAAATCTAGATCATCCCAACTCAAGAATCAATCTCACCCAACACACATGACCAAAGAAACAAAGAGAAAAGAAGGTACAATCCCCCCTAAAAAGCTCTCACCTGCCCAAATCCCAAAAAAGACCAAACCGCCCCTTCCCATCCCCCGTTCCCCGAGGAAGCTAAGTTCCTAGTTCCATCAGCCATGTATCAGCTCTCCCCTGGCATCTAAGAACAACATGCTTCTATTCGCTGCGGCACTTCGCGCCTCTCGCTCCTAGTTGAATCTTATTTTGGTACGAAGTCATGACTCGTGCAAGGCTGCAACGGTGTGAATTGTGAGTGATCACAAGACTCCAGGCAGCAATTGTCTATTTTCTTTCATTTCATTGCATTGCATTGCATCGCATGGGTTTGTTTTGGTTTGCAGCCTTGTACTTTTGAAAAAAAAAAAAAAGAAAAAAAAAGAAAAGAAAAGATAAACAAAAAGCAATTTTATCAATTACAAAGTGAGTCTATGCAAAATACCCAGGGAGAAGAATCGTAACCACAACAACATTATGATAACGTTATGATAACCAAAAGGAAATGGTCATTTCCTCTCAGAGCACACACAGACCACAGCCTCACAGTATAAAACCCAGCGTGCCAACTCACTACCTCTGCCTTGAATTTTGGTTGATCTTTCTTTTCTTTCTAGATGCAGACCAAAACCAAGCGGAGCCGATTGAGTAGCGGTGGTCGTTGGACGACGGAAGAGCGGCTTCAGCTGTTACGACTGCGTGATCGGAACAAGCATCTTGCTTGGGGTCAGTTTCAGAAGGTGCGTCTTGTCAACTTCCTCCTTGTTGTTCAGGTACTAGGGATTTGCTGTATGTCAGGGTTGCTGATCTAGATTACGTTCGTGCTAGATATACTTTCCACGACGATCCTATATGGCTTTGACGAAGGCGTATTCGGTGTGTGTTTCTTTTGCTTTTTTTTTCTTCCCCCTTTCTTTGTATGGCTTCATTGAGATATACCTCGTTGGCCTCTTCTGGTTCCTCTCCGGTTACTGTTTTTGTTGGGTTGTTTGGGTTGAAGACGTTTGCTGACCTGGACAAGGATATGAAATTGAAACGACAAACGAGGGACAACGCAATGGTGTGCATTCCGTCCCTCGGCCAAAAACAAGAACAACATTTGCTTACCCGTGCTATTGTCTCATACCAGACCAATACTACTAGCAATGGGACGACACTCCCATTCAAGACCAATAAGCCAAACAAACGGCCAAACACAGACGAGCGCCCCGCCAATGAACGGGCCAATAAACAATCTAAGACAGCTGAGAGAGATTCGACCTATGTGCCTGACGAAGACGGCGAGGGTTCGGAATTTTCAAGTGGCGAAGATATTGCTCATGGCATCTCGGTATGTCACCCCCATCTAGCCAGGATCGAGTAGATTTACTAATAAATATGCAGTTGAGCCCCGTGAATGGTCGAACAAGAAGTTCGGCGAACTCCTTAGCAAAGAATAAAGCCCAAGCAGTCGGCATACAGCTGATATCTCAAAATCCCAGGATTGCCATGAGCTCACAGACAAGTGCGTCGGATAAGACAGCTCCGGAGTCCCCTAGCCGGGCTAGACAAACCAGGGGCACTGAGAGGGTCCTGGGCTCTGTTCATAATGGCAAGCCTGTATCGACCACTGCAACGATGCAAAGTGCCAGCCTGTCTAAAGCCAATCCTGACAAACCCCCTTCTAAAGCTTTGCAGCCGCCACGGCCCAGTACGCAAATAGAAAGTCTGGGTTCGGGCACGGCGCACGACCTGTTCTCCAGCATGGTGAAATCTATTGCAGATCACAAAAAGTCGTATGAATTACTGCCAAAATTTCCTGAGAGACAAGGGAGCGAGCTCATTAAGTGGGGTCTACTCGACTTGATCTCTGATGCTCATTCTTACCAGGCCGCTCAGCCACTTATTGAAAAGCAAACACGAGAGCTTCAGGAACTCAGATCCGAGGTCGACACATATAAAAAGGGCCAGGAATCCCTGGAAGCAGACCTATCCAAAGCTAGTGGCGAGATAGCCAAATTATATCAACAACTCAAGTCAGGTCAAACTCAGAGCTGCAAAGAATGTCGCCGACTGCAGGAGCGAAATACGGCTCTGGAAGAGACGATCAACCTGATAAGAAAGCAAATTCTCTCTGGTCCAGAAGGAAGACACCCTCCTAGCTCGTCGACGTCTACCGGAGTGGTATCTGGTTAACAGCAAGCTGAACCGGCTTTTTTAACCCGTGTTAGTTTACGTATCTGTAATGTTATATATAAGCAATGCATGTTTGAAAGCTCCGCCAGATCACTCTATAGTTAAGCATGTGTGCGAATGGCAACCCCGACTTACCATGCATTTGCAAATTATATACCTTGGAACTTATATGCCCACAGAATTTCATCAGAAAGAACTCTTGCAAGCTCCGGAGCACGTCAAGACCGGATAGAAGGTAAAATGTTCAGGATGGCAGCAACTTTTGCACTATCATTACCAAAGTATGTAATAAGATGTAAGGAGAGTCCTGGATTTCACGCGTGTCACATTTAGTGACGAGATAACTACTGCTCCTCCTCGATCTCCTCCTCACCATACTCAAGTCCCTCCTCGTCATCGATCGAGGCTTCTTGATATTGCTGGTATTCCGACACCAAGTCATTCATGTTGCTTTCCGCTTCCGTAAACTCCATCTCGTCCATACCCTCGCTGGTGTACCAGTGCAAGAATGCCTTGCGACGGAACATGCTAGAGAACTGGTTGCCGATACGTTGGAACAATTCCTGGATGGATGTCGAATTACCAATGAAGGTGGAAGCCATCTTCAGGCCCTTGGGAGGCACGGAGCAGACCGTGGTTTGGATGTTGTTCGGGATCCATTCGACGAAATAATGATTGTTCTTAGTCTGGATGCCACGCATTTGATCTTCGACCTCCTTCGTCGAGACCTTTCCACGGCTAAATCCTAGTTAGTCTTTGCAATCATCAACTGCGGAGGAAACCTACAAGATCGCGGAGCAAGTCAAGAAGCGGCCGTTATGGAAGTTAGCAGCAGCCATCATGTTTCGGGGATCGAACATCTGTTGGGTCAATTCAGGCACTGAGACTGCGCGGAATGAATGGGCTCCCCGGCTGGTCAGTGGTGCAAAGCCCACCATGAAGAAATGGAGCCGGGGGAAGGGCACCATGTTCACAGCCAGTTTCCGCAGGTCCGAATTGAGCTGACCAGGGAATCGAAGACTGACAGTAACACCAGACATGACTGCCGAGACCAGGTGGTTAAGGTCACCATAGGAAGGAGAAGACAGTTTCAGGGTGCGCATGCAGATGTCGTAGAGGGCCTAACTTGGTTAGAACACATCGTCACTTATGACAGTGATGGACTCGCACCTCGTTATCGATACAAAACGTCTCGTCGGAGTGCTCCACAAGCTGATGAACAGACAATGTGGCGTTGTATGGCTCGACCACCGTATCCGAGACCTTCGGCGAAGGTGCCACAGAGAATGTGGCCATCATGCGATCCGGGAATTCCTCGCGGATCTTCGAGATCAAAAGAGTTCCCATACCGGAACCAGTACCACCTCCAAGGGAGTGTGTGATCTGGAATCCTTGCAGACTGTCACAGCTTTCGGCTTCACGACGAACCACATCCACAACGGAATCAACCAACTCAGCACCCTCCGTATAGTGACCCTTTGCCCAGTTGTTTCCCGCGCTCGATTGGCCGAATACGAAGTTGTCCGGTCGGAAAAGCTGTCCAAACGGACCAGCACGGACGGCATCCATCGTGCCGGGCTCCAAGTCCACGAGGACCGCGCGGGGAACATATTTCGAGTTGCCGACCTAGTGTATTGATGAGCAGCCGTAGTATACATGATTTAGAGAAGCTTAGCAACCTCATTGAAATAGACGTTCATCCGCTCCAGTTCTTGGTCGTTAGAACCGGTGTACCTGAGACTCAATTAGGAGTAGTCCGTCACGTCATAGCCCATGTTACTCACACTCCAGACGCGTCGAGACCATGTTCGCCGGAGATTATTTGCCTAAAACAATGTCAATATGCGTTCCATTCAGGACACCCTGCTTGTTGAGCATGTGAAAAGGATGAATCAACAGTGAACTTACCAGAAGGCGGTACCAACTTGGTTACCCTAAAAGAAAGAGCGCGACGACTCAGCTGTCTTGTATGGGATATTGCTCATGATTTTACTTACACACTGGCCAGTTTGGAGGTGCACCTTGAGGGAGTTAGCATTGGTGTGTTGTTCACGTTGGAGATGGAGCGGCGGGGGAAGAGTGGGGAAAAGAAGAGCTCCGTGACTGCTCTAAACAAACTTACGATCTCACGCATTGTGGAGAAGGATGAAGTATCACGATACAAGAAGGTATTAGGGGGTAAGAAAAAGGGATTGTGACGGAGAAGATGGGATTGAGATAAGAAAGACGGGGTGGGAGGTGATGTTGGGCAACGAAGAAGCGGGAAGATTTATTGGGAGAAGAAAAACAAAAAGTAGGGGAAACCGTGATCAGTCAGTCAGGTGTCCGTCAGGCGACGCTGGAGCTTCTAGTTTTTATGTAAAGTCGTAAGTAAGCAGTGCATTTGGTGCTAACGGCATTTCGACACCCTCTTTTTGAGCGAATTTGCCTGGGCCTATGGATTCATTCGATTCATCCAGCCTTGGGCCCAAAGCACACTAGTCCCAACTTTGCCTCCTGTCCGTTGTCCCCTTTTTTTTTTTTTTTTTTTTCGGGGTTCCTCCTTTTTTTTAGAGACCATAATATCGACAACCCAACGGCTCGATCCGATTCAGAATTGGACATATAAGCGACAGGAGCAAACAATAACAGAGCGAAATCAATTCGATGTTGATCCGTGGGTACCCGAGTAGTTCTATAATTTGTAGCCACTTTTTCTAATTGACTCCGGGGACTGCACAAAATGACAACAACGAATGTATCCGGATGTTTGTGTTGCTCACCGCTCTATTTGCTTTTCTACGTATTTGAGAACGCGTGAGAGAGTTTGACTGGGATGCAACAACTCCAGTACCTTGCGGATCAGACAATAAAATGCCTGGAGGACGTTAACCCTAGTTGGTAGATACCTACGCTAACCCGTCGTGGCTTAAAGGTCACCAAACCCCAAGACTGCCAATAACCGTCGCTTAGAAATGAGACCAATCTGAGATCATAGGGATCAACATGCTTTCTTGCAGATAGGATAAATTTATAGCCTAATTTCAGTAAGGTTAGACCAAAGAGCCTGAAGCACAGCGTACCTCAACCTGAAAACCTTCTCAAACGCCTCCATCAACGGGGAAATATGCTCCTCCCTGAAGATCAGCATCGGACGCAGTCGAATAGTTGATACACCGCAGCTTCCAATGTTAATTCCGAGACTGCGCATTTCCTTTAACAAGGTGCTGGAATCGGGCGTGTCAAAAGCAAGATAGGTTCCCTTGCGCTTGCCGCGAAGGTTCTGGATGAACTGTGGATATTTCGTGGCTAGAGTAGCAAGTCTGTCATGGAGAATGTCGCCTACGCGAGCCTGGAAAGGTCAGAACGCTGGATAAAACTAAGTGTGATAAAACGTACTGTCTTTTGTACAAGATTTTCGCGGAGTATCTCATCAATAACTGCATTACACATGATAATGCGTGCAGCGTCACCCATCCACCTAAGAAACACAACAGTCAGTTACTTCTTTAAACACTATAAAGCCGGGCGCAATTTTACGTATTGAATTGCCGGTAAGCTTTATCAGGACGAAGAGAGCTGTCGCTGAAGAAGTAGCCCGCAGTCTGTGCCTTCTTTGAGAAAGTCACGATATCAGCGGGGGCGGAAAGATTCCAATGCTCATGGCCCCAGAATTTGCCCGTACCACCGAAGCCTGTCTGGACCTCATCAATGACAAGGCAAATTTCACGAGTCTTCGTAATAGCCTGCAAACCCTGGAAAAACTCCGGTGAGGCATGGTTATCGCCACCTTCGCTCTGAATCGGCTCAACGATGATTCCAGCCACAAGGCAGTGCCATGAATCAATGAGGTGCCCAACCTCTTGCAGACAGCGCTGCTCTTCACGACGGTTGTCCTGCTCGTGTTCTTCTACAGGGTATTTTAGCTGAGGAAAGAAGCCTGGGGCCACTTGAAGGACGAATATCAATCTTGTGTACTGGCTTGGAGCGAGTAGCAGGCAGGCTAGCGAATCCACGGCCGTGGAAAGAGTTCTTGAAGCTAAGGATAGCCAGATCCGGGGATCCGGGTGCTTAGTTTTTCATGACAGATTCCTGCTCATGCTCGGACCAGGGCACATCCCCTCTTTGTTTCCGGTGATAGGCCATGAAAGCGGCCTTGAAGGCTAGCTCGTTGGCCTCGGATCCCGACTGTGCTGTGAAAACCTGGGTGCATCCGCGTGGAGCGGCGCGCATGAGGCCACCACGTAACAGATCAAGCCACTGCTGAGAGGGGAAGTTGCCAATTGCTGGACGGTTAACCAGGGCTGAAATCATCGCCGGTGATTGCGCAGCCTTCACCAGCGTGGGGTTGTTGTATCCCACGGGGATCGAGGCAATCTGGGCGTACACATCGAGATAGGCGTTACCATCTATGTCGACCAAGCTATGAAGTGTAAGTTACAACACTTCATACCATCGCGTATTGGGAAGAAAGCTTACTAGTTTCCAGAGCTTTTGTCATAGTCTATAACCAGCTGCGTAGTTCGGGCATCAAAGATGACATCTAGTTCCAACTTTGTAGCATTCGTTAACAGACCAGGAACGGCCGTCTGCATAGAAGGTGCAGATGGCTCAGGAATGACCGTCATCTTGAGACTTAGCGATACACAAATATGCGCGGAGTGAATGTTTTGCTTGCCCAGATTGAAATCTAGAAAGCGGGCGTGTGTAGCTGGCTTTTATCATCTAAAAACATCGACCCTGACAACTTTTCCGAGTCCTTCGCCCCACCCGGACCGGGAATTTGCCCCAGTGGCTCATGATACAAGTCACTTTCAAGTAAAGAGAGAACAACTAGCAGTTTGACACACGGAAAACCGATAAAGCCAAGCCGGGAGTTGAGAAGAAGTATTCAAGGTTCCCCGCAGTGAATTCCGGTCGGGTAACTGCACCCGAGCTAAAGACGGACTATAAACACCCAGACTGTCGCTTATCTTACATATAAAAAACCGCCCCACGAGAAGAACAACACAAAGTCATCTAACGACGAATATCAATCTATTATCCTCCCAAGATCGAAACCTCCAGACAAACCACCATGTCCAAACTGACCAACTACCGTCTTCTCTCCTTCGACGTCTACGGAACCCTAATTGACTGGGAAACCGGCGTCTGGAACGCAATCCAGCCAACGCTAACCGCGAACAACACGCAAATAACACGGGCAGACTACCTCAAGCTCTACCAGGAGCTCGAAAAAGCCCAACAAACCAAGACCCCAGATATGCCCTACTCACAACTCCTCTCCACCATCCACCCGCAAATCGCTTCCCGCCTGGGCTTGAATCCACCCACCGCAGAAGAAAGCAACCATTTCGGCGAATCAGTCGGCCAGTGGCCTGCGTTCACGGATACGGTGGAGGCGTTGAAGCGTCTGTCGAAGCACTACAAGCTGGTCGTGCTTTCGAATGTGGACCGGGAGTCGTTCCAGAAGACCAATGCTGGCAGCTTGCAGGGGTTTCCATTTGATTTGATCATCACGGCGCAAGATGTGGGGTCGTATAAGCCTAACCTGGCTAACTTTGAGTATATGTTGAAGGCTGTGAAGGGGCAATTTGGGGTCGAGGCGGAACAGGTGCTCCAGACGGCGCAGAGTCAATTCCATGATCATCATCCTGCGAAGAAGATGGGGCTCAAGTCTTCTTGGATTGAGAGACCGGGGGCTTTGATGGGGAATTTAGAGGATACGATTTATGATTGGAGGTTTGATACGCTCGGAGATATGGCTGATGCTGTCGAGAGGGAGTTGTAGACTGGTATCTTGACCTTGATTTTTACCAGGGTGAGCTTCCCGACGATAAGATTTTAATTGACATGTTAATTCCTTCTCGATGTCAGTGTCACGAACCTAGTAAATGTGGTGCATCCGTTGCTATATATAGTATTCACATAACACGGCCTATTGTACTCCGTATACTTAGCGGCTATAGTACAATCCCAACCGTCGCCGTCCGAAAGGCCAAGGGAAAGCAAGTATGCCCAAGTTAGATTGAAGATACTTTCGAGTATACTATACCAGAAAGATTAGCATAAAGTCCAAACACGAAAATAGCTAAAATCCTATGGTTAGTGTGCGATTCCATGTAAATATGTGAAGTTGTTGAGCATACGTAGGTATGTAGTTAGGATGTTCATACAAAAATTTCGCAAAACAAGCCCTCCTTTCTTTTAGGTTGATATAGGTTAAAATCTCGGCAAATTTCAACCTGTTGGGGCGCTGGCGCAACGGTAGCGCGTTGTAAGTTACCATTACCTACTCAGGTACGAGAATTCGGTCTAATAAATTATCACAGTGACTCCAGATCAAAAGGTTATCCGTTCAAATCGGGTGCGCCTCAATTCTTTTTTTGTACTTTCCCCCCAGCCCTGTACAATATCTTACTACCATGGTGGAGATATTGGAGATTGCACAGTGGTTACATGATTGAACACCTTTTATTCTTGAACTTTGCCATAATAGGTACAGTTATTCGCAATTTATGCCCCCGGAACGTGGATGTACTTTTAACTCGGGTACATGCACCCGAGCCCTAGTTCCTTGGTCTGGAGACTGGTAGATGTAGATGCAACGAGAAGAGAGGGAAAGCATGATGCGGAAATTCAACTAGGATGAGACACAGACAAGAAGAAAATAACTCCCATATGGCAATTGGAGACTGCCATGGCCGTAATGAATATAGGCCAGCCCAACGCGTATCAATGCTCCCTCCCCGTGGATTACTACGTCTATCTACCTATTCTTTCAGCACACAAGAAGCACTACTTGAGTATGACGGAACAACATCCGCGTATAGGGACTTCTTCCAGAGCATAGCTTCGGATAACTACAGACATCCGCTTCAAAACTCGGCATGGACCGGTGTCCCTTCCCGGCCCGAGTGGATAGCAGGCAAGACATAGGGTATTCTGTTGAATATAAGATAGCGTCGACTATCGCCAGATATGAAAAATATTATCTTGCTCATTGATCACAAGTCTTACATTGCAAGTGTTGTAAAGCTCTCCATGGCCTACGCCGTCCCAGAGATATGTGATAACCTATCGAATGGAAACCACTCTGGAGTCCATTGACAAAATTCCAGTTAAAAGACAAAACCCTCTTCAGAGAAAAATGCTACGTAAACGGAAAATGGTCCAGCTCCCAAACCAACGCAACCTTCCCAGTCTATGGTATGTACGTCCTGCCATCACCACCACAAACCCACAAAACACCAGAACATACAACTCAACCGACTAACACAACACAAAACCAACCGCAGGCCCAGCAACCAACCTCCAAATCGGTACCTGCCCCGACTTCACAGCAACCGACACCACAACAGCCATAACGGCAGCCTCAACAGCCTTCCAAACCTTCCGCCACACCTCCATCCGAGACCGTGCGCGCCTCCTGCGGCAGTGGCACGACCTCATAATCGCAAACCGTGACGACCTCACCACGCTCATCACCTGGGAAAACGGCAAGCCCTTCCCCGAAGCCCAAGGCGAGGTGGCATATGCCGCCTCCTTCATTGAGTGGTTCAGTGAAGGAGCAACCTGTCTATACGGGGATACTATCCCTGTTTCCGTGCCAGGAAATCTAGTCGTCACAGAACGCGAGCCGGTCAGCGCCTGTGGACTGATCACGCCGCCATGATCACCTGGAAGATTGGGCCCGCGCTGGCGGCGGGCTGTACAGTCGTGGTAAAGAGCCCCCGGTGAGACGCCGTTTACGGCGAATGCGTTGGCGGAGCTGGCTCATCGAGCTGGGATCCCTGCGGGGGTGATTAATGTTGTGACAGCGATGGAGAATACGGTGAAGGTTGGACGATGTCTTTCTACGCATGCGGAAGTCAGGAAGGTGTCATTTACGGGTTGAAGAGGGTGGGGAAGTTACTTATGGGGCAGGCTTCGGGGAGGTGAAGCGGGTTTCGTGGGAGTTGGGGGGAATGCGCCGTTTATTGTGTTTGAGGATGTGGAGAGCCTGGATGAGGCAGTGGATGGGTTGGCTTTGTCGAAGTTTTGGGGCACCGGGCAGACTTGTGTTTGTGCCAATCGGATCTATGTGCATCGGTCTTGTTATGAGAGGTTTGCGGAGAAGTTGGTTGAGAGAGTGAGGGCGTTTCGGGTTGGGCCTGGGTTTGGGGATGGGGTTACGCATGGGCCGCTTATCCATGGGGCTGCTGCCGAGAAGGTGATGGCATATATTGAGGATGCAAAGGCTAAGGGGGCCAGGGTCCTTGTTGGTGGAGAACGGTTGGGACATCTGGGGGAGAACTACGTCCAGCCGACTGTGTTGGCGGATACGACGCACGATATGCGACTGGCCTCCGAGGAAACATTTGGACCTGTTGCAGCTCTTTTTGCATTCAATGAGGAGGAGGAAGTTATTGGAGAGGCGAGCAGGTGTGAGGTTGGTTTAGCCGCTTATATCTATACTCAGAGCATCCGAAGACTGTTCCGTGTCGCTGAGGCGCTTGAGGTTGGGATGGTGGGTGCGAATACGGGCATCATTCGTAACGTGGCTGCTCCGTAGATGACCCTTTCTCTGGTACGTCAAGTGGACCTTCTGCTAACCAAGTCAAACAGATTTGGTGGTGTCAAGGAGAGCGGGTTTGGGCGAGAGGGAAGCAAGTATGGAATCGATGAGTTTACTCACATCAAGACCATTACAATCGGAGGCCTGGCATAACCATCATTTGAGAAATCTCTAGCTACTCTATGGCATAGTACGGGATATTGTAGATAGAGAGCAGTAGCTCGGATCGAGACCTAGGGTTGATGCCAAAAGATTGTGGCCAGTCCATAGCGACTCGGGGACGAGCACCCGAATTGCTTCTCGATCTCTGTTCGATCCTTATACATTGTCCAAAGCCCATGAGCGGAATGCCGAAGATGCCACCTGCATCCTTGTCCATGGTAGTATAGATTCTCCAACCATGAGGCCCTGTTTTATTTTTAACTTCCCGCGGGAGCCCAGTTTCAAACTCCGACAGGGGATAGAAAAATCCGACTTTGTCTGGATGGAGGGTTACATTGAAACATGGGGTGTCAGTGCTCGTTGCTCTGATATTGCGGTTAATCGGTTTCCTCTAAATCCCGTGGAAAAGACGCACTCGATGCCTGTGGATTGCCTCGTATTTTGTAGCTGAACCCCTAGTGAAATGTGTCTCAACTGTTAGCTGTACACTCGATCGTCTACATGATTGAGGATAGACTTTGCGTTGCAGAAGTGGTCGGATCATCCAACGCCAGTCGATTGCAACGATCCCATTCACGGTATTGTATACAAAAATTCTCCTCTAATGCTCCTTTGTTTGGCCAAGTGGAAGCCGGCGTAAACTCTCATGAGAGTTGGGGTCCGGACAACAATGAAGGCTCTACTACCTCCAGAAAGTCTGTCACCTCCATCTCAGCAGTGACTCTATGCTACCAGATACGAAGGGATAGAGCTCACATGCCTGACAGTAAGTTCAATCAATCACGCCTTCGTGACAAGGCACCGACTTAACAGCTCTGACCTTGTAATTTACAGAACCTGAGATTGCTGTGAGAAATTCACACAGAGCAACGATTTAGGCCCTCTCAAGCGCCCAATACTACCCTCATAGGTTGCCGTCAAACGGGAGCATCCGGGTTTGGAGGGAACGTCGGTAGTGATAAGTCATCAGGCCAAAGCATGGTCGGCAAGCTTTCGCCGAACTGCATCCCTGCTTCTGGGAAGGATGCAAAAGCTCCAAGCTCTTGAGGAAAGGAAGAGAAGAACCCGTCAAAGGATCCGGCTGGCAATTGCGAATTTTCGAGCCCAATAGGTTCAGATTCGTCCGCCATATTAGACGGAGGAGTCTCAGATTGCCATAGCATAGCCCAGCGTCTAAATTGGTTGTATCCGACGCCTGATTCCCCAGGGACTGTGTCTTCATTTCCAGCTCGGCTGTCTAGACGCCGTGCTGCACGCTCAAGCGCCTCGATAACTGCTACTTCTGAACGAGCCGACTGGAGGCCAACACACATCCGGCGTATCAAACCCATGCCTTGCGTAAGTGCCCCACGTAGCCGTTCCGTTCGTGCATTCAAACTCTGGGCGATAATGGCCAAGAGCGCCGCACGGCAGGAGCTAAATTCTGTATACGAAACTCGTGCTACACCGACAGTGTCCTGTAATAATTGGCATAGCTCGACGATCCGGAGAGCAGCCTGAACGCAGTCAAAACATAACTTTGCACCAGCATCTACGGCTGGGTCAGAGCCGCCCTCAGCAGAGGCCGATGAGTTTGGTGTGCCAGCAAGAATCAAGGGACGACCCATGTACATGATTATCGTAGCGTATGTCATTTCCAAATGGACATTATAGCGGAAAAGCTGCTTGGAAGGATCAAGGTCACGGCAGTGCACATCTTCGGGCAGTGTGGTCCACCAGTTCCTGAGTTCATCACGCACGTGTAGAAGCTGCTTAAGATAGATCTGGTGTAGCTCCGCCGGGCAATTTCTCAGCCGGGATCTAAGTTCGTTAAAGGTAGTCAGCAGAGGGACCGGCTTGGTCAGAAGTTAGGTTTCTTACACGATGGGCGCAACCTTCGCAAGCTGCTCAGTCAGCTGGAGCGTGGCAGTCATATTAGGTAGATTTGTGGCTCGGCCAGAGGGACGCAATTCGGGTATGTCTTTAGGCATGTCACAGTCTATCTCAGCTGGGGACACGGAGACTGGGCGCCCGTGAAGGATACTGATCCGTCTATATTTGGTATACAGTTAGAATAGCGACAATAACAAGAGTTACTGTATTCTCTCTCACCTATCCAGTGCGTACGCAGACCACCAAAGGCGGTTCCGCAACTCAATGGTGCGCGCATCTAGGCCTTCCTCTCCAAACTGACGATGCATACCATTCTGGATAGCCATCTTTATGGCAAGCCCAAGGTAAGTGTAGGCAAGGCCGGAGGTATCAATCGGCATTGTATAAACTCCGAATAACAAAAACGCCTGGACAGTTTCAACGGAGGCGGTGGTGATAAGATCGGGAATCAGGCGGCATGAGAACCTATAGAGTGCCAACCCAATAGTATCATCAGGTAAGTGATCTTCGCCGGACGTACTCTGCAAGTATGGGGGTCGGCTAGAATGCATGTAAGCGAACTGAGTCCCAGATGCGAACGTCATGAAAAGGGTACAGATCCAGCCGGCATCGTTGATATCTAGGTACCGATCCTCGGTATAGTAGTAGTCTAACTTCTGCCGGAACTCCGTTTCGTCGAAATAGTAATAATTCGTCTGGGTATATTCAAGAAATGTTTCCAACAAAAAATCTGCAATATGTCGTGGCGGGAAATACTTTCTTGCTGAAGCAACAATTGAGCTAGGAGACTGAAGGCCGGTTGCACGGAAAGGATCATGAGCTGTATGGGAGTCACCCGTCTGGATACAGTTGTCAGCAAACATATGAAGATATGGAGTAAAAGAGCAGTACCATGCTGTCATCGGGGTCGTTTCCCAAGCTTTGTAATTTTCGACGGATCATCCGTGAGAAATTCCAGTGAGAGAATTCCCCAGAGTAGACTGTACACGGGATCCAAGTAAGATACTCGGCATCTGGAGAGCAAAGCTACGTCCACCATGACTTACTCATCGTACTCGTGGAAAGTGGATGAATGGAATAGAGCTCGCTTGACCCCGGAGCTAGAGTCGAAGGCTTCGTTGAGCTTACTTGGTCCCTTTCCAGAGCGTCCGCCACGAATTGAAGGTTTGATGGCTCAAACGATATGTCGCCCATGAAATGGCGTACTATCCGTTCGAGACATTGTTCCTTACCAGAGTCTCGTTGCGGGGAGGTGCTAGCTCTATAGTAATGTAAGTTGAGACACCAAGCAGCTTTTTGACAAACTATTATTTCATCATACCTTGTGGTGCCATTACTGGCTGGTTGCGTAGGGGCCTGGCTGTACTGACAGTTTCTTTTGTACCGTTGGCATCGCAAGCAAGGCATCCCGCCCTGACCTGGAGCAATCAGCAACTGTAAATGAAAAAAAAAGTGTATGGAATCAAGCCCATACATTTCTCTTTATGGTATCTGCATGGGTTGCATCTGATATAGAGGTAAATTATTAGATTTCAGACATAGAGCATGTGTATCCATTGGTCAAGATTTAGACGAATACTTACGCTTGTGCGGCCCTCTTCCGCAAAGCGTCGGGAACCTCGGTCGCCTCCGGCGGCCGACCTGCCTGCTAGTCTGAGGCTCTGTCATCACTTTGATATAGTACTAGCAGCCTGACCCTAAGATAGGGCATCAACGGGGCCCATAAACGTCGCTCAGGGATTAACACTAAGGAGGAGTGCGGAAAGAAGTGACGATACTGTGGGGAAAGCATCAAGTTAAGGTCCCTTACTACTTTGGGGTTAGCGCTGATATCACTTCGCATCCATGATACAGCTTTGAAAGTACTGAATGCAGATATCACCCACTGTAACTCCGGTATTTTAAGGCTCAAAAAGCTATTCCCGGTCTTATAACTGGGTTGATTGTATGAATTAATCCGATATAGGTTTAGTGGTGTATCCAAAAGAACAGCTTTTGTTGGTGTATCGTGTACCTATTTTCTCTTCAGCCCTAACTCCCTTCTGTTCCGTGGCAGATGTTCTAGAAGCTGGTCATTGAAATACCAGTAGAAGCCCAACGGAACGGGCAGGGCTGCGTGTTACTTGCAGGCAATTTTGCACTTAGCCTTGTCGACTGAGTTTGGACAAAGTGGAACCAATGGATCCACAGAAAGACCGGTAGATGATCAACAGATCAGATATGTATTACAAGCAGCACCAAAAAGCTAAATACAGAATAAAAGCTGGGTATATTATTCATCATTTCTGGTCTTCCAGAATTCAGCCCTACCAGAGACAAAAAACTGAGTTTTGTATCATCAACGCAGAAAAGTGGCATCGGGCTCACGCCTTGTTCGTGATGCTGTTTTCAGAGCTATCCTTTTCCAACTCCTTGTGAGCGTGGCTCAGAACACTAGCCCGGCGCACAGCATCATCCTCCACATCGTCCAGCGTATGCAGGAGCTCACCATGCTTGCCATACATGTGAGGTTCATCATTCGCAATACGCACGACCGAGAATATGCTCTTCGTCTTTCGGAAGATGCGGTCCATTTCTTCCAGCGATCGACGGGTTGTCTCCGGATAGAAGAAGAATACAACCGGAACGATGAATGCGTTACTGTGGTTGGTCAGCACCGGGAATCTGACTGCAGAGACTGCAGGGAAAACTTACATAACGGCAAAAATGATGTAGGTTTGGTAGTCAATGTTATCGAAAGCAACAGGGGTGATCATCACGACGAGGAAGTTAAAGATCCAGTTCGACGATGTCGCCAGGGCGTTAGCTGGAGCACGAATCTTCAAAGGTACGATCTCGGCGGGATACAGCCAAGTCATTCCCAGCCAGCCGATGGCAAAGAAGGTGTTGAACACAAAGAGGAATACAATACAGGCGATGTTGGCTTGAGGGGTTTTGAGACTAGCTGTGATGGCGAGGATCATCATCGAGACCGACATGCCCGCGGCGCCGAAAAGCATCAGCGTCCGGCGACCGAATTTTTCGATCGTGAACACTGCAATCCAAGAGGCAATGAAATACTCGGTTCCGTTGCACGCCGCAATCAGTCGAGAGTTGATCAGGGTCATACCCATCTGCTCTTCCAACACAACCGGGATATAGTATGTAATCAGATTGATTCCAGAAATCTGCTGGAACATCTGGTTGACATAAGCCAGCACAGTGCGGTGGAAATGACGGTCTTCGTCCATGGTGAACATATCCTTAAACGAACCCTTAGCCATCTCCAACACGGTCGCCTTGATAGCTGTGTACTCCGTCTGCAAAAAGGTCGGATCAGTTCCATCGCCCAACAAAGCCTCCAGGACTTCTTTGGCTTCATCCTCCCTGCCCTTAAGCACAAGCCAGCGGGGAGATTCGGGAAGAAACATGACAAAGGCCAGGATGATAGCGGCGAAGAAGATCTGGAAGGCCAGTGGGAAACGCCAGGCGACCTCACTGGGGTCGGCAAAGAGCAAACCAAAGTCGATCCAGTAACTAATGGTAATACCACAGGTAATCATGCGCCCTCGATCATGACCAGTTTGCCACGATGGTTGGATTTACAGCACTCAGACTGCCAGGTTGGCACGGTAGATGTGTTCATGCCATTTCCTAACAATAAAATATTAGCGGGGGGGGTTTTTTTTTCTTTCTGTTTTTCCCTGGCACGTTTTGCTACTTACCAAACCCAGTTACCAGACGTCCAACAATCAGCTGGGGTAAATGGAATGCGGTACACTGTAGCAGAGCTCCAATGACCATGATGAAAGAACCAAGGAAGATAGTTTTACGTCGACCAAGCCAATTTCCAACCCAGATTGTCGGGATAGACCCCGCAAAACATCCTAAGTTGTACGCAGCGACAACAATACCTGCGGTCCAGTTCATAAGCCTTCAGCGGTCTCCTACGGGGAGTGAATAAGGCGCAACTTACCTTGTCGAGTAGACTGGGTACTCTGTTCGGCCTGTGTGAGACTGTCATAGTACGCGCCACTGGTAGCAATAGTGGGGAAATATTTGATGAAGGACTGAAGGGTCAAAAGACCACCGGTGACACCCTGATCGTAACCGAATAGTAGAAAGTCCATACCAGCGATAACACCGATGGCGATTTGCAAGGCATTGCCCTGAAGGCCCAAGTACCTACGGCCCATCTTGGAAGCTCTTGCGACTGTGCTTTCTCCTAACAGGGTTGACTAAATTCCCGAACGGGACGAGACTGCTTCAGTTGAGTGTGGATGAAAATGGCAGTCTCATGCGATAGTGAAGGGGAACCTAAGGGGGAAGAGAAGGAAGAAAAAGATGCATTAACGCAAGACGGGATCGGAATAAAAAAGAAGAGGAGGAAGATCAGCAAGATGGTGACAGCAGGGGAATGAACGGGGATATAAAAGCGAGGCAATGACCTGGGGAAGGCACGGCTACAGGGACTAAATAATCTAAATAATAATAAATTCATTTAAAATAAATAAATAAAAGGATGAGAGTGAAATTCATAAATTCTAAATAGAATTTAAAGTTCCACGCATCAGACGGTAACTGCACATACATACATTCAATGAGACTTTGCCCAAAAACAGACAGGGAACGGGGTCGCATGGTCTCAAACTAAGAAAAGTACACGTTCCTTAGGGTCAACTTGGTCAAGGTTGCATGTTTTAGTATCGCAAACGATCAAAGACTTCTTGCAATTCGATCCATGGTTGGGCTACCGGGATTGATAGTGATGGAAGAGAATCTCCACCGAGTGCCAATCTCTCTCTGGATCGAGGTAGTAGTCGTCTCGCCTTAGTACCAATTTCCCCGTCTTTCTCTCCAGGCTTTTGAATCTCGCTCTTCTCCATCCTCCACATCACATTTCCATTGGCTGAACCGGAGGCTCCAGAAGGGAAGGGAACTGGATCTGACTCCCCACATACTACTAGGAGTAGGATGACCCCCAGGCACCTTGATGGGCCCCAGCGTTGGGTTTTTCTCTCACACCATCACTTTCATGTTTGAAGCAGAGTCCTCCGGAGTATGACGATGGTGGTCGTCGGGCGACACTCCACACAAAAGTCGATCGGCGGGGGCTGAATGGGTAGACGAATGAAGTGAACAGAAACGCCGAGAGAAAAAAAAAAAAAGCAACGCATTTGCTACTCTGCTTTTTTTGCTGCTCCACTCCGCCCAATGCCGTCATGGCGTTGGCATCGGCTTTCCGGTCTAACCTGTTCTGGATAATCCGACGGGACGGTCTCTTTCCTGTTTCATTTTTTCTTTTTTCTTTTTGATTATTTCTCTCGGGTTCTCCGTGCACGAGATATCCAACATCGATTACTTCCTTTGCTTCTTCCATGGATAAAAATAAAGCTCGGTTCAATGGTTATACGAGGGCACAATTTTCCGGTCATCGTACGTACGTAGCTAGTGAAGGATCGCCACTAGACTCCCTTTCTTTTCTTTTGCCTTTCGTCCTATTTACGCGGTGCGAGGGACTGGATCCCGTCTCCGATTCGGGGACCTTGCCTTATGTGCATCGTATCAACCGCTTTTGATGTATAACTAGATTTCGCATGGATCGCGTGGTCGAGCACTAGAACTGTAAAAAACATGATTCGTATCTTAGCGGAGGGGCTCCAAGGGGGGAAAAAAAAAAGTGTGTCCATTCATCGTCATTGCTCCGCCCATCTCACTTTGACCTGCTCGGCCGATTACTCAGGAATCCGGGGAGTTTGGAGTCTCCGGATTTTGCGAAGAGGGGTCTACTACTCGGCCCTATCCGCCAACTCACGATCCTCGCCCTTACTTTTGACGCCTCAATCCGCCACAGCGAGATCGAGCGAGCCTATTTGCATGTTACCGGTTCCGTGGCGCTTGTTGTTCACCCTTCGTTCATTTTGTTATTAATATCGAGAGCATTTATCTGCCTTACTTCCAAATCCAGTGAGGGACCTGATTGTTTGATGCCTGGATGTTATTCCGTAATATTATCGTTGGACGGGGTTCCGTCCCAGTGACTAGTGGTACAGTACTTATCCAAGTTGGTCTACTCCCTCGTCGTAGTATCATGAATGTCAGGTAAAATTGGCATCCATTCCTAGAGGTACTACCTCGCTAAGTCAGTCAATCCAATCAGGTGGCACCAGGGAAGAGTTCCCCACTTACGGCGAAATGAATGGAAGTCGTCTGATTGAATCCGAGAATTGTACCAAATGAAGTAGTATTTAGCCAACCACCGGTGGAAAACATCTGCGTTATTAGAACTGTTGGTTGAGGGTTTAATTGATTCTACCATTTTGTGGTTAGTTTAAGAGAAAGGCCAAGAGGTACAAGTTGTTCCGTATGTCTCTTTTATCCTTTTCTTTGTTTTTACCTTTCCTTTATCCAGTGATCCAGGCCGAAGCCTGCCGAAAGCATCCAACTTTAAATCAACCCGGTCCGGAGAAACCCTCTCCGAAATGATCCCAGTTATGGCCGAGAGGCTAAACCACCGAAGGATCGGCCTAAGGCTGCCATGAAATGGTAACAGCCTGTTGTTTGATGCCACCCGTCTCGGCGCGCTCTCAAGCCCTTCCCATACGAGATCCGTTGAAAATCCTAGCAAAGCCAAGTACCACCAAGCAACAGTCAAGACTCGTGAATAACTGTGCCCAGAGAAAGCTAAGAATTTCTTAAAATGACTCTCTGTAGACGACTCCCCGAAGCCAGGATAGAGATCCGAACTGGGGATTTGATACCACAGCTCTCGTATAAAGTTTGCCTCCTCTTCAGCCGCCATTGTTTTGTCCTAAGGTTCTGCCGGGCGGCCGTCACGGTCCATAAGGGCGTTGGGCCTGCGCACCTCACTGGGTGTGCCCCCATATGGGCCCTCACGCTTTGAAGGCTTCCAGCCAACCAGTTGAGATCTACTCCAAACGGGATCCAGTTAGTCATTCTTACCTGCGGATCCCTTCCCCGTTTTCTCCCCATTCTGGCTTTCGCCCCTCCTGAAACGTGCACTCCCTCTCCACAGACATTCGGCTCTGTCCGAACTGTTTTTCTATTGTGTGTTTTTGACATCCAGACGACTTCTCGGATTACCTATTCTGGTATTTCCGATCGTCCCATGGTCTTACATTGGAAAGTTGTGAGGAGACCGAAGCAACCATATCAATGGCCACCTTGCAACTTGGTCCATAGATGTCACCCCTTGGGCCATGTCACCTGTCATGGGCCCAGATCCATGCCCATTACCTGTTCTCTTTTATTTCGCGCAGTATGGACAGCTTGGGAAGATATTGCCAGATTCCCGTTCAAGGGGATCTGTAACCCGCCTGACGCAGACACCCACATCAAATCTGACATGCCGATCAAAGACACAGCAAGACGCATCACACACGCGGAATGGTAGGGCGTATCTGCATACCTACTTTACAAAGTAATTAGTATTGTCGAACAAACAGCCAAGGAACCATTATTCTCGCTACCAGGTCAATTGCACCTCTCCCCAACGGGTGGATCAACTCGGCAGACAGAATCAGCTCATACCACCTGCATGGACTGTAGAGGGGGCGAACCGACCGGTCCGAGTTCCTAAATCCAATTAGCGTATCAACCGGAGAATACATTGACCCATAATTACCTAGTCACAGATGGTGTAGTGGGTTACAGCTAGACTGAACGAAAGGGAAGTACCCTCAGGCCTGGTCCTTCTTAGCCAGCATTAGGGTATATGTTTTACTCAAGAACACTAAACTGTAGTGTAGTGTATTGTTGGGTTCAGGATGCACACAGGGCTTGGAAGCACGTACCTCTGTACTTCAATTACCTACATAGGCAATTGCTACACCGTAGGTACAGGGCATCTGTCGGGATAGAATCTGATGGTTGCGGCCATGTATGGACCGGTAAGTTCAAATTGACGGGGAAAACTGAGAGTTAGGTTGGGGTTTGTATGGGGAACCGTCACGGGCCAGCCCCATGGCCGGCGTTTGGCCGAAGAAGCCGAGGCATTTTTATATTATCGTTACTCAATCACCCATGCCATGTATATATTGATGTGTTGGATGAGTAGTGGAGGAGACTGGTTTCATTAATTTTGAAATAAAATAGTCTGATGTTCTCAAGGGCATGCAGTTTTTGTCAACGAAGCAAGGGTTTCCCTGGCTTTAAATAACTAGATCGAAGTACTAATCTATACGACGATTCAATATCATGAATAGATCTATCATACCGAAACAAAACTTGATAGAAGAACGACAGACAGCACAACTCGCATGAACTGAGAGAGGCTCAAGGAAGCAAGGTCAACTTGAAAATAAAAATATTTCTGACAACAAAGTTATCCCACCGGATCACTCCCGAATCCCGATAGACGGCAAGAGAGGCACCCCTTGCATATCTGTCGCTACACCGCAGAACATATCAACAATGTACCAGAATAAGTTCGTATTGCTGCTGTGCAATCGTGTAGATTATATTCTACATATACCGTGAGGATATTAATCAAATATAGTGCGCAGTATAACATGTCCATGAGAGCCAGTCATCGAAGAACCAACCCTTACATGTATGTACGTATGTACATAGATCTAAGACCACATAATTATTCAAACCACGAATAGAACGCAAATAACCACACGTATACGGAGTACATCACCATCCATCACATAACCCACTACTCCATCTCATAGCACGACCAGAGGACCACTTACCCCTTACATCACAGCCATCTCATCTCACATTCCGATGCTAATCCCAGTGGAGCAATATATTAGAATGTTGCATACTTACAGAGGCACGTACATGGCCACGTTGTTTGGCTGCCCGATTCGAAGAATGTTCTCGGGATGCCTAAATGCGGACGGTAAGGGACGCCTTTTGCTTTGTTTTCGGCTTGCTCAGCCCGTCTTGGGTCGCATTGGTTAGGTTGTCCTTACACGTAGACTACGATGTAGTTTATATTACAATTATTATTTTATATTATTTGACTTTGCCTTTCTACTTGGTACTTTGTCGAGGTGTATATGTTTTTATCTGAGTTAATGAAGGTTCTGGTTTGTTGGATGGGTGTTCTATCTTCGGGTTCGGGATTTGTTTCTCGTAAGCTGACTCGGTTGATGCGTACACAATACCAAAACCCCGGGCAATGAATGGCCAATGTTTTTTGCACCCTCTCCGAGTAAGTTTACCTGGCTATGGAACTCCCAATCATCCGATCAGGTCGGTGGTGGCCTATGAAGCATAAACCAACTACAGCGCATAATAGTCCTACGCTATTTAAAGCATACATTGTACAGTAAAGAACCAATGATGGACATGGAAATGTTTGTAGTAGTGCATTCAGACTTCACTTATTCTGAGGCAAACAGATAATGGAATCAGTCCGTCATGAGACAGGAGTGGTTCCTTTTCCCGATTGTATCCTGGTCCGTGTGAGTGACTTCCCTTCCCGGCCCCGCCGGTCGAATTTAGCGTTGCTACCATGCTCCATAATTCGCACCAAATTGACTGAGAATGGACAAAACTAGAAGAAAACCTGGAGCAGACTACACGGGTACGATCCGTGCACGTGCGATGACATCAGACACCGTCTCAAACGATCAATCCGACTCACGCCATGCTTTGACCGGTACGCTAGACATCTACCAACCTGGCTTCCATCCGCCTTCTTCGGCAGGCGAGTGGTCGGCCATCCCGGTGTTATCGGTAGCCCATCCCTCATCTGCGGCCGCGTTCTGATTGTCATTATCCCCCAAACCCGGGCTGTCGCCTATATCAGTATCATTGACTGCGGCGCTAGGGCAGCGCTTGACAGTGTGGCCCACTGAGTACTTAATGTTAACATGACTATTCGGAGATATTATCGTGGTTTAACCTACTTTGACCGCAGTTGTTGCATTTGACCTTAGACCAGTCCCTCTTCTTCGGACACTCGCGGCTGAAATGGCCAACTGACACTGGTGTTAGCTTGAGGACACTGAATGGGATGGAACGTCGATTCGAACCTTCGTCACAGTTACGGCAAGTCACGGTTGAGATATCTCGGGGCTTGTCACAGTCTCGTGCAATGTGATCCTCGGATCTGTTCTGTTAGATCGTAGTCATACACAAAGAGCCAAAAATTCAAAAGAAAAGTGAGGCCCTGGGGGAGTGGGACTCGTACTTACCCGCAGTTGCGACAGGTTCTCGGGGCAGGGGCCTGTGGACAATCCTTCGCAAAATGACCGACTAAATGTACATATCAGCATGTAGAGTGTTTTAATTTGAACTGAATTGTACCACCTTCATTGCAACGCTTACACTCAACGCCCTCTGCAGATCGAGGGTTAGGACAGTCGGATGCTTTATGCTCAGAGGATCTGCACACGCTCAGCAACATAATCATGCATTTGAACAGAGAAAGACTTTACCCGCAGTTACGGCAAGCGAATCTATCGCGACGAGGCTCAGTACAGTCACGGGCACGGTGTCCGACGGCGCTACAGTTAACACACTTCACTTCAACACGTTCATGAACAACACGCTCCTCCTTGCAGCCACGCGCAGTATGGCCCATTTCTGCAAAACTTGTCAGCTATATTCCTTCCTAGAGATGCGAGGATATGGATTACCCCCACAGTTTGAGCACTTTGGGATTTCTCGATCATAAGGGATACCGGCATCTTCCAGACGCTCAAGGTTTTCTTCACTAGACTCAGGCCAACGCTCTTTGAGATTGGCACGCTGAGGCTTCGAACTGTAGTAAAACCCAACGACATACTTGCAGTCCAGCTTGCCTTGAAGATTGATCATGCTGATGCAATCACCCACTGGCTTTTCCTGCTCCCAAACGTGCTATTAGTACTCGGGAATGGTAACATTAGTACTACTCACCATGGCAATGAGGTAAAAGTTAAGGTTGTCCTGACGCATCTTGTTTTCAATTTCAACGAAAGTCGCATCAGGGACTGCCTTAGAGTAGATCTTCAAAGCCTGTCTTTCTGTAAGCTCCTGTAACATATGAAAAGAATTAAAAATGTTGAAAGGAAACATACTTCGCGGAAGTCCTCAAGATCTTTTTCCTCACTGGCCTTTTGCATGGCTGCCCAGGCCTCCTCTGGAAGCTTGTCTGGTATGTTGTTCAGGTCGAACTTGCGGTTCTCCTTGCAATGAATGGTTCTATGGCCTTGTAATCATAAATTCGTATACCTTGTGCAATTAACAGTCGCCATTGTCTTACCTTCCATTTTGCAGTTTCTGCACACATCAGGAGGTTTCTCAGGGCACTCAGCAGCAGGATGTCCTTCCTGGTTGCAGATGCGACAAGTGCCTTTGAAAACATGAGGCTTGGTGCATTCTGCTTTGCCATGGCTGCAGCTTATTTCAGCAACAGGGAATCATCTAGTTGTCTTATTGCTTACCCTTCCTCACCGCAGTTAAAGCAGACCATACCCTTACGGGGCTCGGGGCAATTACGGGCGAAATGACCATCACTTCCACAGCTGTACATGCATTAGTAACATGAAAAAAGAGAGTCATAGAAGCCGACCTACTTGCGGCATCTGTTGTCGTCATTCTGTTCATTACCAACAGACGTGGTCTCCCAGGCGTTGCCTTCAAGCCCAGCATCTTTGAAGTTGCCGGATGGGTTGGTATTCTCATCAGTGTAGGCAGCTATCTCCATTTTAGCATCGAGGGATAGTATAAGAATGTATACATCGAGCAAAACAGAAAATGGGCAAAGTCATGATGCATGGTCAGGACTACGCCCATGATCACGAGCACCTACCAGTATCACCGATAGTCCCCCATCCAGCCGCTCCATCATCAGCACCCCAGCCACTCATCTTGTCCGTATGTGGACGCTTGTCACTGTGAAGGGCCAGAAGGATGTCAGCTTAGGACTTCAGTGGGTGAAAGCGTGAGATGTGTAAACAATGCATGTGTAGATGGACAGTGAATCTCACTAACAGTGGAGTGCCTATTGCTTGGTTGACTACTAATATGGGAGGGAATGTGAGACTCAGGAGGATACTCACCTGAAAGCTGTTCTCTGTAGTTGTAGCAGTATTAGAAGTCTGTACACACTCAAGGAAGAAAGAAGAGGGTATCGAGTACAGAGAGTAAAAAGCGAATACAGGATGAAGGGGAAGAAGAAGAAGAGGGAGGGGAAAGATACAAACAGATGCCGACAACAAACAACAACAGCCATTCACTGTTTGGCTGGGGTCACATGTTCTAACCAACACAGCATCGGCTTCCATATCTAGCAGAGCAAATACTAAGTCTTCCTTCTTTACTATCTTTTATTGGATGTTCCCAAGTTTCCCAATGCTAGGGATATGCGCGCAGGTACAATGTCAGCCTGAGTTTGTTTCCTTTTCCAACATGCCTACTCAAGATGGATGAGATACCACGCCCAGGTAATATTTCTGTGGTTCTCATTCCCTACTGTTTGTTTCTCTCTGATATCAAACATTCTGGTATATACTGAGCTTATTCGTGTCCCCCTATCATGACTCATTCTCTTCCTAAACACACCTGCTTGTTTCATATAGTGTCCCTACTGTACTCAGTTCAAGATAACAAAGAAGAGACATAGTGCAATTGAACAGATAGGTGTACACTTCGCGGCTCCTAAAGGATAAAACTACAATACAGTGCTCTAAGCAAGGATCAAACTCAGCAGGAGGGACTCATACACTTGTCCGGCTACACTAAGCAAAAAGAGTCTCATCGAGAACGCCATCTTCGCATAGCATAGCAAAGGCACCATACTAGCCCGATCGCTCTGGCAAAAACGATGCAAAGGGATACATCGATGCATAATAGTAACAACGTGGAAGGTGGCTGTTGCCATGAAGGTTAAATGGCAGTCGGTGACTGCAGTAGTTGAGAGAATTTGCTGATTTGATGGTTGCTCATATCATCTTAGCCTTCCTCAGAACACAGCCATAAACCAGAAGATTATCTGATGAGAAATACACTGATGCACATATGCTTAGTTGGTCCAAGGAAGACCTTGCTCCTCAGAAGTCATAGACTGGACTTGAGTCACGCAGACTGTTAGATGATTTCCCCTTCAACTAATAGCAGTACTCACAGACACCAATGGTCACCATGAAGACGAACTATACCAGACGAGCAAGATTTATACGGTGGATGGATTGCTTTTCAAAGGCAGCAGATGGGAAGTATACTTCTGATTGGCGCAGAGCTTGATACATGTGGAACAACTACAGTATTGCCCTGATAGCCCACTAAGTTTGGAAAATTCTTTAATAATGCCCCAGACAAACAACACTATTTTGAAGTCATTGTTGGTCTCTCGAGCTGAGAAAAAGTTTTTCTTAAGTTCACCGGTTGGCTCACCGATCTCCCCATCTTGTCGCTGTTGTCACTTGGCACTCCCTGAAGCCAAAGCTGGGCGATGAAGGGCCCGACATCGGATTGAAGCTATCCGAGTGAGTCATTCTGGTTTTTTTTGGACCCCTTATAATCGTCCCTCTCCACAAGTTCTGTCAATTGACATTGGTCTGTTCGATTTGACGTGCAAGGTTAGTTATGCTTCCGCGTTCCAAGCTTCTCATTGGTGGATCCGCTTTTTTTCCTTTCTTTCCGCCGAGCATCGGATGGACTGAGTCGAGAACATTTATCCCTACTTTGCAACTGCTTCGTTCAATCTTCTTTAATTCCTGTTGAACTCCAGCTCTTGATATATTGTTCCCCCTGCTGAATAACCCTAGGGCACCTGCGACGAAACGACCAAAGCACGAGACGGGTATTCTATTGTTGCCCCACAATCCGCGCCTCGGATTTAAAGTTGGATATTCTACGGAGCAGCTACCGAGCTATCGATAATAATTTTTTATCAATCGCTATCAGCGCCGAACCCCTCCTTTTAATTAAACAGTCAATCAAACTACCAAACAGACCGATCAGAGACAATATCCGCAATGACTCTTTCTCTTCAGGTATGCGCCTTTTCCGTACGATTGAGTTGACTCGGGGCCGTTATGACCCATGGGAAGTACAGCACGACAGCCGAGGATATGCGAAAGCTCACGGGTTTATCCGTCTGTTTGCATATTGACTCTGCCGCAAATTTCAAAGCAAACGAAAAAATATTATGAGAAAAACTCTGGTCTAATTCCATTTTTAGGGCTGATTGCGAATCGAATCAAGAAAACACTCGGTGAACTTTCCGGTCTAGTCGATCCATAGGTTTCTTGTCGGCGTGCGGGGTTGTTATCCGACACCATTAGCGGAGTTTTTATTCTGCTCTTGTTGCTGCTATTTGGACTTCCGTTTGCCTCCAACTTTTCTTTAAGGCGTCTCATTCCATCTCACCCGAGATAGAACATTGTTTGTGGCGTCGGTGGTGCTGCAGGATCCCATCAGCTCGCGGTATCATAGGTCAGCCTTATTCTTAGCCGTGACACTATCATGTCTTTAGCTCAATCGCAATACCCATCCGAGGACATGGGTAAAAATCCTGATAGTGGAGATATACGGGAGCAGTTTCACGACAGCCGCGACGATGTGGAATCGGGTAGTGAGCCAGATATTGCCGACATCGAGCGCATTTACAGGTAGGCTCTCATCTCTCATCCAGGAAAAAGAAAAAGACGTATCTGACAGACTCCTAGGAAGCTGGATTTGCGCATCATCCCCGCCTTCTGGGTTCTTTATTTCCTCTGCGCAGCCGTCCGGTCCAATGTTTCACTAGCACAAACAATGAATATAGACACCAACCACACTATTTTCGATGTTCTGCACGTCAACGACCACCAAGTCTCGACTGCTCTCGCCCTATTCTACGTGTGCTATGTCATTTTCGACCTACCATCAAATCTGATCATGTCCAGACTCAGTCCACATGTGTGGATGAGTCGCATTGTCATTAGTGTCGGCATCATTGGCGCCTGCATGACCGCCATGAAAGCCGCCTGGAGTTTCTAGTATGTCTTTGGCGCTCTTTAAAGCTCTACCTCTGATCCTCCAACATCTAAGGCGATCCATAATGCGGTAACTAACTTAACCTAGCCTCCTACGTCTACTTCTTGGTATCGTTATCGCGGGCATGTGGCCCGGCATGGCCTACTACCTCACTCTCTTTTACCCTCCGTCCCGAACAGGGAAGCGGATTGGCCAATACTACACAGCAGCACAACTTTCTGCTGCTGCGGTCGGGCTGGTCTCGGCCGGATTCCAAAAGATGGACGGTGTCCGAGCTACGCCGGGTTTCAGTGGATGTTCCTGGTATGGGGTGTCATAACAATCGCCGTCGGCATCCTCCTCCTCTGGTGGCTCCCAGACCGGCCCACACCCCCAGGCGAACAACCCCCGAAGAAGAAATACCTGCGGTGGTTTCCGCGCAGTCCACCTGCTCTGACCGGCCGGGACGCTGAAATCCACTACCACGACCTGAAACGCGTGTACCATCGCTCAGCATGGACGCTCCAAGACCTCCTCCGCGTGTTCCTCGACTGGCGCCTGTGGCCCCTCCTCATCATGTACTTCGGTGTAGTGGGTGTCGGTATCGGTGTTCAAAGCTACGCCACAGTAATCATCAAAGCCATCAACCCGAATCTCAGCGGAATAGACCTCAGTCTCCTCTCTGCCCCAATCTGGCTCGTAAGTGCCCTCCAACCAACACCGCAAACCCAACAATAGCAACATAACCATAAAACTAACCAAGAAAACCAACAGATGGACCTAGCCGCCATCCTCCTCGTAACCCCCTTCTCCGACCGCTTCCACCATCACCGCGCCCTCTTTTTCTGTGTCCCCGTTCTCCTCCAAATCCTCGGCCTCCTCCTCACCACCTACGCCGGCACAGACACCAACTCCTGGCCCCGCTACGGCGGCCTCCTAATTGTCGGCTTCGGCCTCGGCCCCACAGTCCCCATAACCATGACCTGGACCACCGAAATCTTCCAACCCCGCCATGGCGAAGTCGGCGTCGCAGCTGCTTCCGCCATCGTCTCCGGCCTAGGCAATCTCGGCAGTATCGTAACGACATACGCCCTATACAATGGCTGGGCCGAGGACAGCGCCGCGCCCGGCCGTCTCAAGTTCCGGAAAAGCAACTTGGTCATGGTGGGCATTCTGTGTGGAAGTATCCTCGCCGCGATATTGATGCAGATCCTGGTCCGTGTGATTGACGGACGCAAGAGCGATGAGAATGACCCGGACAAGATCGTGGATGGAGCCGCTAGACGCGAGGCACAGCAGAGGGGTCTCGATGGATTGGGCTCGGGTGTATTTTCTCTTTTCAAGAAGAGGAGGAACAACTAACTTATCGGTCAAATATTGCGTACATACTCTCATTATGTAGTATGTACGTGACATTTTCCCTGACAGGGTTTACTGACCTGACGAACTAGTCAGGCTGAGTTGACTTCTGGTATAGTGCCATTGTTAAGAAGTAATACATGTATTTATACATACATATCTACATCTCGTTAACATGAAGATGCTAATTCTAATAGGTAGATAGTCTAGACTATACTTACTATACAAAATCCAAGCTCATCGTGATAAGAATTCAGCTCCGTAGCTGTATATCTCGTTTCTCTACAATGATCTTAGTATTATTCCAGATGCCCTTTGTCGAAAGGAATATAATATTGGAAGAGCTACATGAGTGACTTGTATGATAGGTCATGTGCGGCTACGGACGACCTGACAATGAATCTTGCTCAGAAGGTATTTTCGTACACGCCTGGTCGACTGGAGCAGCAGACTACCGCAACCGATACTTCAACCCCCCTGGTCCCCCATCCGGATTCACAGACGACGATATCGCCGTCACCCGATGCAATTTTTGTCTAGAACCACTATTTACGTCCATCCATTGCAAAAAAGGACTTCGAGAAACCAATTACCGATCAAGATATAGACTTAACGTGTGGAAGATGAGTCAAGTGCAGAGGTTCAAGTGGATCACCTGCTACAATGGTAGGTTGAGTACACCGACATCAAGCTCGGCGTAACATTACTTCCAGTGAAACCATCAAAGAGCGATTGGTTGTATTTGATACACGATAATACTATGACAGTAGTTGCTCCTTTCCTTCCTGTTTCCTAAACAGTTGTTCCATTCCTAGTGATTGTCCAATTCACTGTGAACCTTCTATGTTGTTGTTGTTGACGTAACACATAACCCAGTAACAAGTAACGAAAGAGAAGTAATTAGAATATAAACGGCATGGGGGTAAGGAACGCAAAGGCAAGCTCTGGCATCTGAGTAAAAGAAAACCTGAAATACCATCGTGAGAAGAAAAGAAAAAGAAAAATCTATGTGCTCCACACTGCCAGGCTGCTCTCCTAGTTCGATCCCAACTGACGCCGGAGGGTATACGAGCGCTAAGAGGAAACAAAAGTCTTCACGTTTTTATTGGGTAGTTAAGGTATCTAGTTGCCACCGCAAATCTGATTGTAATCTGTTAGCTCCATATCCAAATTATATCCAAAGTTTTCAAGATAGAACTTACAGTCTCAACGATGATACCGGTGATCTGGTAGGGGCAAGCATTGCTGGCGGGACGGCGGTCCTCGAAGTAACCCTTGCCATCCTTAGCCACCTGGCGAGGAATACGAATACTGCCACCACGGTCGGCAACACCGTAGCTGAACTTGTCAATGCTGCCGGTCTCGTGGCGGCCAGTGAGACGCTCCTCGTTACCCTCACCGTAGACAGCAATGTGTTCAGCGTGACGGGCCTCGAACTTCTTCATGTAAGCCTCAATGGCCTTCATACCACCTTCAGCACGAGTGGCGGCGTTGGAAACGTTGGAGTGGAGACCAGCTCCGTTCCATTCACCCTTGATGGGCTTGGGCTCGAAGGAGATACGAACGCCGAATTCTTCAGCGACACGGTGGAGAAGGAAACGGGACATCCAAAGCTGGTCACCCACTGCAAAATTTGTTAGGGCCCGAATATCCTAGATGAAACAAGATGGTGCAACTTACTCTCGATACCGGGGCAGGGGCCAACCTGGTACTCCCACTGGGAGGGCATGACCTCAGCGTTGATACCAGAGATGTTGATGCCAGCGTACAAGCAAGCACGGTAGTGAGCCTCGACGATGTCACGGCAGTAAACCTTGCCAGTTCCGACACCGCAGTAGTAAGGACCCTGGGCACCGGGGAAACCGCCCTTGGGCCATCCGTAAGGCCAGCCATCGTTACCAAGGAGAGTGTACTCCTGTTCAAGACCGAACCAGAACTCCTCCTTGGCGTTGACCTCCATCAGGCGGTTGGCATCATGGCGGTGGTTGTACTTGTTGGGGGTTCCATCCGAATCCCAGGTCTCGCAAAGGACGAGGATGTTGTCACCGAGACGGAAAGGGTCGGGGTAGATAGCAACGGGACGGAGGTAGACATCGGAGTTGTCACCAGGGGCCTGACCGGTTGAGGAACCGTCGAAGTTCCATTCGGGGAGTTCGTCAACGGACGAAACAGCCTTGGAGAGAGTCTAGATAGTGGGGTCAGTAATCGACGTCTCCATGTCTGGTCACGTGGTACGGGTAGGCGCAGGAACAGGGTGCATCGGATCACCGTGCGCAGGGCTTATCAGCAAAGAGTCGAGATAACGACCACGATCCCTTTGCGTCTGTGCGCCGTGCACATTCAATGCCCTAGCCCATACTCCCGACCAATACGCAATCCAACGGATAAGATTGTAGGATGAAGGTAGTATATGAATACATACCTTGGTCTTGCTGCGGCATCCACCGACGGAGTCAATCCAGATGTACTCAGCCTGCACGCGTCCGCGCTGGTCGAGGTTCATGTACTTCATGAGCTGTTGCCAGCGCAAGTCAGTATGTTTGTTTCCTCAAGGCCGGGAATTCGGCTGAAGAAAGCATGATAGCAATCAATAAGAAGTGTAACGCACATTCTCCGTGTTGGAGACGGTTGTTGTTTCAGACTGTAGCGATGAGTCACAAGTCAGCACTTATCCGACCGATAACGAAAACCACCACGCGATAAAGGCGCGAGATAAGAGGATGATGAGTATCACATACCATGATGATTGATGTGTGTGTGAAGGATATAGACAAGAAACTTTTTCTTTTCAAGATATCTCAGCTTGCAACGGATGCAGAGCAGAACCAGTAAATTTCAACTGCTTAAGAGAAGCTTTGTTCCTGCGATAGAAGAAAGACGAAAGCGACACGATGATCTGAGAGATCGATTGGAAGGTAGCGAAAGGAAGTGGAAAGGAGGAGATTAAAAGCAAAGCGAGTTGAAGGGAAGGGAGATGGGTAAGTATACGGATAGAAGGGATAGAGATGTAAGTGACAATGGTTCAGTGGGTGGGGAGGCGATGCTTTAAATTTAAGAGAAAGAGAGACTCAATCCATTGTAGCTTTTTTTGGGGGAGGGGGCAAATTCATCCAGATCAGGTATGGGGTCGTTTCGGCTTGAAAATTACGGTAATGGCGCCGGTCGATATTCTCGGTTGCTGGGCACCGCCGGTAAATTGAATTTCCCACTGAATTTTCTTTCGTTCTTTTTTTTCTTTTTCTTTTTTTTACATTTTTCTTTTTTTTTTCTTTTTCGGATGCATAACTGCCAGACTGGTTTCACTTTGAATTCAGGTAGCTCTTTTTTTTGTTCCATTATTATTATTATTCAAAAATAACTTTGGATAGCTCAAGAATCTAGTGAATTTTTAGAACATATACGTGTAGTAGTTTGGTAGATTCATTCTGGTCTGATGGTTGGCATGGAATTATCATTTTTGAATTAATTGTTGAAAGTGGATGCGTTATTGCGGTGTTTCAGAAAATTCAAAACCACAAGAAAAAAGGCGCAACCCACAATTGTGTGGTTGAGTGTCTGGACACTGAGAAGATGCGGCAAGGCTGCAGCTAAGACAAGGATTGCTCTCCGCCATTTAATTCCCACTCCCATTGAATGGATCAGGTACTCTCCTATCTGAGAATATATGACTCGGTACTAAGAGCTACATGGGGTCAGTTGGATAGCCTCCCAACCAACATGAGATAGGCGTCGGCTAGATGGTTCTATCTTCCTAATACACCGTCGATTACGAGGTTACTGCCCAAGTCCGCACCTCAGGCACTCAATAAGACTACCTAATTGGGTAAAGAGATGGAGCCATGATGGAACCAAAAAAAAAAGATAAAAAGATAAAAAAAAATGACTCCCCCTTTCCTCCTATGCGCCGATACAGTAACTAGAGTAAAATGGGTAAAGAAAATACCTGGATGCAAGTAATGCAAGTACTATCTGCAACCAAGCAACTAGGCAGAGTCATTTGAACGGGCCAGTCCAATGCGATAGTTAGAAATGGCTGTGAATACTAATCACCGGAATCTCCCTCGACGGCGCTTGGATATCTAGCCCGTATCTCTCTTCCCCAGATAATCGCACCCCACGCCACGGTGATCCGGACGCCTTCTATCGATGTTTAATTATACTTCCTCGACATGTTCCATGCATGGTGACCTCCCCTTTTTCGATCATTATCAGTCGGCTGACCAGGCCTTCGATACACTCGCACCGTGACGAACGAGGGTTGCCTGACTGAGGCTTTTAGATAGCGATGTGAGAAGCAAAGCTGTTGCTAAGCAGTATTATCAACGATTAATTGACGAGGGTGCATATCAGCTGCAGGACCCGAGTATCTCTCCATTTAGTTTGAACGTTGCATGCAACTAATAGTCCTGGACCGTCACCCCATTGGTAGATCGGGCGCATGGCTTATAGCAAGTCATATGGGAGACTGGTTCACGGATTGGATCTTATTCGTTTCTTTCCTTTCTAATCACACTCTTTCTTTTTCGGTTTTTGTCTTTTTTTTTGTCTCGATATGTGCCTTGTCATACTGACCGACAGAGTTCCGGGATCAGATGAACAGACATTCTGGAAAGGGTATTGGTAGGGTCTTTCCGATAGGAATGTACTGTACATGCACCTAGTCCAGGATGTTCATGATGCATATCAAAATCTACGGTACCTGCGACTTATCAGAAGGATTCCTTATCAATGCCCCTCAAAAAAGACACCCCGCCATAGTCGCGTGGGTGGATCATAGCGCGTCGACCGATTGATGACTCTGGAAATTTAATTGTTTTTGCTCTTATTTCCTTTTATCTGTTTTGGGGAGAATACAAAGATAGTGCCTTTTAAATTAAATCCTTATCTACTGGGCAACAATGATCAGTGTAGTCTATCAATGGATTAAAAAATAAAAAAAATCAGTTACAAAAAGGAAATCCTCGATAATCACCCAAAGCGGCAAGATTACACCCAGCCGGTAATTCGCAGTACCGAAAATGAAAAAGGGCAAATTTACAGAAAATAAACCTCCACGGATGTGGGGCGTGGCAAGAAATTCTCGAAAAAGGCGGGCACAAGAGAGAAAAGTTAAGCCGCTCCAAGCCCCCGAGACCGGCCCAGATGGTTAGTCAGAGTTATTCTTAGAGGGAAATTAGGCGAGGGATTGGTCCGCTTGAGGGAAACTGCGGTTTGCACCGCCTCGAAGGGCGTGGAAGAGGGTCGAGAGGGCAGAGGGGGTTGTCAGGATTAAGTCACTTCAACCTCACAACTGGTTGGGGGGTAACAAGGATTCTCCAGAACGTCCCCCGGAGTGGCGATCTTCTTGGAATTGTATCATTCTTCCGTGAGAACTGTACTACAGCAAATGATAGGCGTCGGTGGTCGGGAGATTCAGGAATCAACTGCATCATGAGTGGCTGAGAGGGTTCAGAACGAAGAGGGGACAACTTGAAAGGATAGATACTAGACGCCTTGGTGAGGTTTCGGTTCAGCCCTGTGGTTGACATCCACTGCAGGAGAGAGCCATATATTCTTAGTACTAGTATTCCCCTGATAGGGTGAGACTGTGAGACTGTGAGACCGGGAGGGTTATTATTAGTTCGTGGTGAAACGAGACCAGAAAAGAATAGATTCGGTCTATCAAATGTAATGGTGTATTGATTGTATTGAGGTCTAGATATTCTATTCTGAAATGATATCCACTCTCGTCCCGATCTGGTCGGGTGCGCAGCAGGCGGCTTCAGCCCGCCGTAGGCTGTCAGCCAGTCATAAGAATAGAACATGTGGCGCAGTATCTAAGCCCGGAGGGGTTTAGCGTCCTCCCGCAAGAAGTTCCAGTTTTTCCGGGTAATTGAACGTGCAAGACACCGATGAATGCGTCATGACTGACATCTGAAAGTCTCATACCGATACTGATCGTGGAAAATCCCTTTCGACCTCGGATAAGACAGGCCGAAGGGAGTGACCGCCGTGAATATCCCTCACCGACACCACGATCTAAGCAACTTAATCACAACGAAGGGGATGCTGGTCATCCAATGACCGGAATATCAATAATGATATTGAGGGGGTTAGAGTAATAGTTGTGATGGACCAGCCTGATAATGAGTAATGGCTTCAGTCGCCAACCATGTTTTTCCCTGTGATGCTCCGCACTCGACGGGGTCCCTTATCGTCGCGCCCTGATTGGCCCTGGGCCGCCGTCCATGACAAACGCCGCTGACTGGATTCGGCCCGAATCGTCATCGCTGGCCTGGAATGCCTCAGGTTGACGACTGTTGAACATACATGGAACAATAGCCTGGAGAAAGTCCTCCTATAGTATGGATTCATCGTCAGGACCAGTCGATCAGCCAAGACATCTGCGAATCACATTCGTCTGGCTTGGCGAGGGGATTCGTGGTCGATTGACAGTCGATTCATGTCCACATGTCATTTAATCGACGAGTAAACGGGACCAAGGGAGCAAAAAGGAAGAAGGGATAGGAATAATGAAAATCATCATTCCACTACAAATTTTATTTTCATTGGGCTGGTTCTGTATGTCTTGTAATGAAGAATTCCAATGAAATTTTTAATGCCTCATACCTCAACGCAAACAGAGGAATCCTCATGCATATTTCTTTTGAACCCCTCGATGGATCGCTTTTTTAATGAGGTATCCAGTCCAGCAGGGTAATTCGCGCAGTTGATCATGCCCTTTTCTTCCTCTAGCCTTTGATTAATTTTTCTTTTGTTGGGCTTTCTTTCCGTCGATTTCTCTTCTTTTGGACATCGATGGGAATCTTTTTGGGATACCACGAAGCAAAGAAGATCTTTGACAGGTCATGCTCATACTTGTTATTCCCTCACGGTTTAGATAATGGAAAACCACCAAACGGTCTCCTTGCAGTGGTTGTTCATGCACTGGGATGTACAATTAAATCCCTCAGCCCTGGTATAAGGCAGCCAGGCATTACACTAGCCGCCTCCACCGCCATTTCCACCTGGGTCGGAACTTTATTTCTTGGTAGCAACAACATTCATTCTGCGTCTCGCATGCCTGGGCATATGTATGTATGGAAACGTGTAAAGCTACAGATCCCCATACCACCGGATCTTCTTTCCTTTTTCTTCCCATTTTCACCGATTGCTGCCCGTCGGGTGGTCATGTTCTACGTTCGATTATTTCTTCGCCAACTGCGCGTGGACAGATAATACTAGCAACGGATGATTCTGATCTAGTGGGGGCAACTGCTTTCGGCATGGTAATCGTAGTTCCCAGAGAGCTCCCATGGCAGAGCTCTGTTGACGGATAGAGAGGGGATAGAGTCTATGCAGGTACAGCATCGATTGCTGGGCTAGCTCCGGACAGGAAGCTGGGTCCCCGCCATCGTCTGCAGAGCCTCAGATGAGGATCTGGTCAAGCCTCAACTGATCCGCTGAAGACAGGGCTGGTGGACAGTGGACACAGCCCTCTCCACTCGGCGGCAGCGGCAGCGGCGGCTACCCAGCCAATCCGGGATATGTGACAGGTATTCTCAACGGCCCTTTCGCTGCTGCATCCATCGTAGGATCCATTCCACCAGAGTCCCAAGGTCTTGAGATATTTCCAGAACCCGGGCTATCTTTTTTTGTAGTTCAGTCACTTCGTTCTTCTGTTCAGCGGTCATTTGCACGTCCATATCTCCAAAACTGCTAGAGTGGTCCAGCAATCCTGTCATGTCTACAACCGAAACACGGCCGTTCAATCCAACTTCCAAACTAACGGAAACCTTGCTTATAGTGGTTTCTTCCTTGGCCGATTCTGCAGAATCGGGTGGATCGTTTACCGTGAAAAGTAACATAACGACGGGCGCTTGACCAAGCTGTGTCCGCAATGTAACGTCTACTTTCACCTCATCGGCATTATCGTCGACACCATCAGCGTTCGACTTGAATGTGTCTTTCCCTTTGTGCTTCATGGTCCTGTCACTGTTATTGAATCCCTTCAGCAGCCGATCGAGCTTTTTCTCGTTGGGATCGTTGTTGCTCAAGATAATCACATCTTTCTTTAGCTTCCCTGGTTCCCTGAATTTCAGCTGACTAGCCGAGTTCTTTGGGGAGTCTGTCTGGGCATCCTTTCTGTTATCGTCGTTCTTGGATGCGGGACTGAAAATGTTACGGATCATGTTTGCTAAAAGCGCATATTGGCGCAGTGTCTGTGAGGCGGAAGCAAAGAGAATCAGTAACTTCGCTCAAGAGTAGTTTGCTATTGAGCTCACCGGAAGAATATCTGCAAGCTGCCGCGGGTGCGCAAAGGGGATGTCACGCATCGTACGCCCAGCAACAGATTCAAAAGGTTGGAAAGTGTAACTATGTTGTTTAGTACATGGTTTTCCATCCTGGTCAACGGTCTGGACGGCCATCCTGCGCCTTCTACGACCAAGTTGGGATGCTTCCTCAGGCCCCAGACCCATAGCTCCCGCCGCTGATAATGGCGACCATCCCGGTGCTAAGAGTCCATCGTAGGTCACCATCTTAAACTCTTGTGGCATCTGAATGCCCAGGTGTCTGTATATGTCCGAAGCTGCCAAGATTGGCAGTTCAAGGGGTGGTTCCATTCTCGCAACAAACCTCCGATTGGGTGCGGCACCTAGAATGCCCGATTCGAGCGCCATTGCATCTTGTTGATCTTGGGAAGGAAGAGTCGCTGGTGGGTCTGCCCAGTTAACAACAGCAACATCTGACCCTCCTATCTCGTTCGACGACGACGGTTCGTTCGCATTGTTGTTCATGACTGTAAAGACCTCGGAATTCACCCACTCTTTGGACACACGGAGCGACGGATATCCTTCTTCACACTCTATTATGATGTTCCATTTGCCTTTAAGGTTCCCTGATTCGCCATCCATCGACGATTCGGACGGCTGATCTATAGCCATGTCATCGGGGGAAACTTTCTTTTGCTTGGCGTCCAGGACGCGTGCTTGATGTACCCAGTACTCTAAGTTGAGGCCAATACGGCCTCCTTGATGCAGACACGGCTTGCCAACCCAACCACTGCAGAGGTGATCGTTGATACCAGAAAACTTGCGGTGATCTCCTTCCTCATCCCAAATGCGCTTCAAGCTTTCGTGGAGGCCTTCTATGGCCTCAAAACAGTTGACTTCTTGGCTGAGTCTATCATGCTTCGCAAGCCACTGTAGATTCTCATGGAACTTAGTCAACGTTTTCCAAGAGCTCCGTCCTCCACCTTCAGTCGATTCTATCAAGTCACGCTTTAGGACAGCTGTAGCTTCCCGACGCTCGCCGTCAGTGGTTTCTGGCGTTGCGATATTCAGGCTGACATCCTTCACCGTATTCTGCGCACGGTAGAACTCAATCTCAAGATCCACAAAATTTCCCGCAATACTGAGGCTATCCTCCTGCCAGATCGACTCAAAGCCTTCGAGTTGGCCCAGTCGCTCAATGCCTTCCCTGCACACCCCTCTTCCCGCGACTCGTGTCCGCAGAAGCTGAACCACGTCCTCAATGTGTCTCCTTCGCTCTTCGTCGCTGTCGCGCGCGCTTCCGATCTTCAGGCCTTGCATCCCGAGTGCCTGAATGTCGCTGTCATGCATACCGGGTGCCACTAAAGCGTCGTGGACTGCGGGAGACGGGCTAATCCCGCCATAGCCACCAAGTGCAAGAAGCGCCGATGGGGAGCTGAGAGTAACGGGATCGTCTGCCCCAGTGGTTGTAGCCAGAGGTGTGGCGTTCTGATGCGTCGAAGTCGGTTGATGGTTGGAAGCTGATGGGGTTCTCGTTGAAGGTGATTTGTGTGATATAGGTCGAGCCATAGGCCCAGAGGGGCGGGGAGAAGAAGTCAGATAGGTCGGCGTTGCGCCGGGATTTTGCTTGGAAGACGGAGTCGCCATTGTAGCTGCTCAAAACAATGAATTGAAAATGTAACCAGATCAATAACTAGATAAAGTGCGGGGTATCACGCGTGAAACGATAGCAGCAGTTCGATTCGGACCTCTTCTCAATACTGCACCGCTGCGCAGTTCATTATCTTCTTCTATCTGACGGGCGGACCGGGCAACGCCATGCAATTGTGAAAACTCACTAGACTATTAAAAGCATCGCCAAAGTATGGGAGTAGAGAGTGAAAACTGAGAAGGCCAGAGAAAAGCGAAAGGACTGTTTATCAACCAAAGCACCACCCAACTCTCTGATATTCCGGTGAAGGGACTATTTGATGCGCAGTAACTTGCGGCCAGAACGCGGAGTCACATGAGTTTGTTGTGTTTGCTTCCATCGTCATAGGTAAACCGACTATCGAAGATCAATTCTTACCTCCAACTTATTTAACGACATACTCAATTGAACCATTCAATATGTTTGCCTTTAGGACTTTGACCCGTAATACCCCTAGTCTGTCAAGATGGTCGCAAATCCGGGGCGTCTCGACATTAGAGGGCCATCCCTACATTGTATGTTTCCAATGAAGGTAATCCTTGCTATGATTGGCACTGACGATTTATCTAGTACGTTTTCCCATCTAATGGAAGCCACATCTTGTCATTGTTGCCGTCAGAACCTCCAAACTCTAAATTTTCTATTGGCGTCACCTCCAAACTGCCCCCTACAACGGACTCCTTTAAGGAGAACCCGGAATTCCTGAAGATCCTACAGGATGTGGTCTCCGAGTATGGCCACCAGGACCCCGACGCTGTCGCCCAAGCCCAGGTGATGGTGTCCACATCCGGCGCTAATCTGGGCTCTGGTGGCGTCTTGTTGACGGGTGGACGTGCCAGAAGACGGCACAGTGCGGCGGATTCCAGCGGTGGAGCGAGCGGCCAAGGTGGTGCTGGATCTGCCGGGCGAGGAGGCTGGATACATCTTTCTGACAACCGGCGGCCACCCGAGTATGGCCGGATCGCATGGCCCGAAGATATCTTTGGAAGTCTTGAGGTCGATTGTAACGGTAATTTCGTGGGAAGCAACGGAAATTATCAGCCAAGCGGTACGGTGTTCCTGTACAGGACGTTCCAGTAGAAGTAGCTGACTTCAACAGGTACTTATCGGATCGTAACTCGGGACGGATTGTAGGTCACAAATCCTTGAAATGGCACCGAATAGTACTAACAAGAGATCTAGTTTTGGTTTGAGTCCATTCCTTAGAGAAAAGTTGGTACAGAGGCTGCGCCAGCAGGAGAGTCAATAGCGGACGCATTGAGAAACCATGTACATTATTCAACTGTATTTTATTGGGCTTGATGAAAGTTATGGTTAAACTGCAGGCCAGTTTGACTCATATCGCATCTCATATCGCATTATGACGAGTTGGCATTTGAGGTCACAGTCCGAATAGCACGCTCCATGCTATTCGTTGATACAGACAGAACAACTTCAAGTTGAGAAAAATTTTGTGATTGGCTGAGATCCATCAGCTTTCTTTGCATTTACCTTTTTCGTGGGCTTTTCATTATGAGTGGCACTTCGCATCTTCTGTCCTACAGGGGTTGTCTGTTGCTTCGACCCTGGGTTATGCTCTGAGGCCATCTTTGGCAAAGGGGTGAGCGGCTCTGTCTTTGGTTTCTTCGTCCCCTCGTCTGCTACCTCTTCAGGTCCCTCGTGGGTGCGTTCTCTCTTAGTGCCCGTTGCTGGCTTGGGTGCATTGTCCTCACTCCATTCACCGTCCCTCGTTGGACGCGGATCATCTTCGCTCTTGACTATATTTTGATCCGTAATGCCATCGCCTTCGACTTTGACACTCGGCTTGGTTTTTTTCTTTGCATTTGCAAAAAAGCTCGCAATATTACTCTTGTTTTCCTTACTACTTACCGGCACAATGAAGTCAGGGGAGTTATTTCCGACCTTGCCAACCTCCTTGGGAACGGGATAGCATTCCAACTCGCCCTCGTACGGCTTCAGGACAGACTGCAGTTCCTTCGACCATGTCGTCCGATTCGGATCCAGCCAAATCTTCATCGCCTCACTATTTGGCTCAAGAATCACCGGCATGCGATCATGAAGGAACTTCAGATAAGGGTTCGAGGACGTCGTAATAATCGTATACGTGTAGAGCTTCTCATCCTCCCCTTCCGCAGTAAATCAGCCTCGTACTCGCCAAATACCCAGTCCAATAAATGTCTACAAACTCACCTTCATAAGAAACACAATCCCACAACCCAGCAAAAAGCATCAGCTCCCCATCCTTCCTCTTCACAAAATGTGGCACTTTTTCCTTCCCCCCAGGCCCCTTCTTCAACCACTCATAGAAACCCTGACAGACAACTACACACCTCTTCTTCCGCTTCATGGACGTCCACATCCCGCGATCCTCGACCAGCGAGTCATCCCGGCAATTGATCGTCCGCATCATCGACCCGTAATCCGGTTTCCGCTTCGTCCAGAACGGGACCAGTCCCCACTTCATACTCTGGATTTTGTATTTGAGCTTGGGGAGCGTCTGTTCGTCTTTGTCTTCTGTCTTGTTCTGAGCGGGCGATGTGGTGTGGGATCCACTGTCGTCGTCGTCGTCGTCGTCGTCGTCCTCATGCTGTTCCCCGTTGTGTCCCGAGGAATATATATCCGTGCGATAGACGGCGCCAAAGCTCCCCGGAGCGAAGTTGTATGTTTCTCGGACGTCGTCATCGGAGGGTGCTTCGTCGACCTGAAGGCCTTGTTCTTCAAGGCGGCGACGCATGAAGGCCATGCGCTGTTCTGTTTGTCAGATATCTAGTTTTCTGGCTATAGAAGTCGGGGGATGTAACATACCACGCCAAGAGCATATCTACCACACATTCTCAGATTATTAAAGGAATATTGAGAAGTAAAAAGCAGTATTCCACTTAAGATTGAATACTCGTCGCTAGCTACAAACGTTATCTAGGGCAGAGATCGAAGAAAGGCACCGAGAATAACAGTGCAGGGTAATCGATACAGGGCGACGTCATACTGCGACGGGAGGAGCTCCGACCAATTGGGGCCGGAACATCGATAGAAATTAATTCTTTTTCCGCGATTTGAATTCTTTCTCCTACACTCAACTCTTCATACACTTACTCACTCACACCAACCAATCCAAGCCAATTCACTCAATCACACAACACTCACGACCAACCCCTCGATGCCGAAATAACCACACCCAAAGCAAAAACCAAAACCCAAGATGTTCCCAGCAACAACCCGCCGTCTCCCCAGAACCCTCACGTCAACGCTGACCCGCCGCCTCTCAACGCTCCCTAAAACCCCCCGTCCCAGTCTCAAAAGCCACCTCCAACCCTTCCAGCCTTCACAAAAAAGATCCCTCTCCACTCTCCAAAAATGGACCCTCGGCCTCAAACAAGCAAGACGTGACATCTGGCGCAAGAACCCCATCCTGCTCCCGCTCGCGCTTTTCTCCGCCGCAGCCGCCACCGCCATATTCACCTACATCGCCTACGTCGAGTATACGCGCGTGGGCCCGCAGTACCACAAGTTCCCGCCGCCGGTGGCGGAGGCGCTCCGCTCGGCGGTGTACTACACGGAGGTGGATCTGAGCCCGCCGAAGGCGCTGCAGGCGTACAAGGAGGCACTGCGGATTGGGATTGAGATGGGGATGCATCCGTATTCGGACGAGGTGGTTGGGATTAAGATCCAGGTTGCGATGATGCTTGAGCGGGCGGGGTTGGCGAAGGCATCGGTGGAGGTGTTGGAGCGCACAAAGGGGGAGATTATGGGGTTTGTGGAGGGGAAGGATCGCGGGGAGGGGGTGATTGGGGTGAAGGCTGATAAGGAGGATGGGGAGGAGAAGAGGAAGGAGATGGAGGAGTTTGAAAAGCAGCAGCGGGATCGGGTGCTCAAGAAGGCTGTGGGCATTGAGATGAAGCTTGCAGAGCTATACTCCAGTGATTATATCCAGGATGAGAAGAAGGCGGAGGCGGCGCAAGTTGCGGCTGTGGAGCTGTGTTTGAAGGAGTTGCATCGACGCCAGAGTCTGGGCCTCCCTGTGGGTGGCGGGTTGGAGGCTGATAACACTGAGGGGTGGTTGAATGTCACGGAGATTGCGACGGCGTTGACGGATCTGGCGGGTCGGTATACGGCGCAGGAGAATTATGAGCTTTCGATTCCACTCCAGATGCGGGCGCTGGACCTGCTCCATACCGAGGAAGGGGATGCGCCGACGTGTAAGCAGGTTGTTCTGCTGAATAGTGTTGCTGGGTGCATGGCTGGACAGGCGCAGAAGCCCATTAGGGCTGAGGACCCCAAGAAGGCCAGGGAGCAGCTTTTTGATGCTGCCCAGCAGTGGGCGCAGAAGGCGATTGACGTTGCAGCGAAGATTCAGCCTCCTGTTCGGGATGAGGAGTGTGATACTTCTTGCGTGGCGGCAACCTTTAACCTGGGTTGGCTGGCGGAGTTCCAGGGTAAGGCGAAGGAGGCCGAGAGGCTCTACGGAGAAGCCAAGTCGCTGTCACAGGGTCTGGGCTTTGAACAGGGCGTTTCTATGGCCGATGCCGCTCTGAAGAGGCTCACGAAGAAATAGATGAGCGGAGACCTCTGTAACCATAGACCACATGTACAATATGATATAACAAGTGTATGGATAGAGAAGTAGACATTACGGGGAGTCTCTTTTACTTGTACGGATACGGCAGTGACATCAGATATAGTACGATCACCTTACCCTAATGGATCAGCCCCAGTAGTGCTTTTTAAGGTATTTTTTGTCTTTGTATTAGAACATGGCATGTCTTCCTTTACAAGATCCCAGACAGTCGGATTTTATGAATCGAGTAAGCTAGACATGTTTAGAAAAACCTCGGGTCCGGTTAAGGAACACCGAAGTGCTTCATTGCTCGTGGCTCATACATCCCAACCAATGCCTGCCCTTTTTTGTTAAGGAAAAATAAAAAACAAAATAGTTATCTTCCTCTCATGTCCCTCACCGATGGGTATTCATCATTTATGCCCTCGACATGACACCCCAGGCACGGATCTTGTTGTCAGTGTAACCAGCGAAGAGAGTCTGGCCGTCAGCGCTCCAGGCCAAGCTGACACACTCGGGCTCGCGGCTCTTCTTGCCCTTCTCGATGTACTCGGGCTTGAGCTCATCAACCTTGCTCTTCTTCTCGAGGTCGAAGATGGTGATGCTGCTGGCGGTGGCAGCGCAGAGCCAGTAGCGGTTGGGGGAGAAGACGAGGGCGTGGATCTCATCGCCAGCGTGGAGGGAGTAGAGGTGCTTGGACTCGTTGAGATCCCAGAGCATGGTGGTACCGTCCTTGCCACCGGAGGCGCAGAGGGAGCCATCGGGGGAGATGGTGACGGTGTTGATGTAGCCGGAGTGACCAATGTGGTCGGTCTGGAGGCGGCAGGAGGCGAGCTCCCAAACCTAATAACACAGTTCAGATTAGCTGTGAACACACTTTTCCACGTGCAAATACAGAGATCTAGCATTCAAGTGTTGGTTGTTCATCAGGGTATAGGTGATTGTTGGTCTCATGGCCGTTAAGGCTCTGAAGTAGCAAATACGTTTTATACAGAAACATCATTTGAACCGATTGAATTCGGCAAAGGGTAGAAGGAAACTGTCTGATGCGTACCTTGACGAGCTTGTCCCAGCCAGCGGAGACGATGACAGGGTTCTGGGGGTTGGGGCTGAAGCGGACGCAGGAGACCCAGTCGGTGTGGCCCTTGTCGGTGATGGTGAACTTGCAGTCACCGAGGGTGTTCCAGAGCTTGATGCTGCGGTCACGAGAAGCGGAGACAATCTGGCGGTTGTCGGCGGAGAAGGAGACGGAGAGGACGTCGTTGGTGTGGCCAACGAAGGTACGGGTGGTCTCGCCGGTAGCGAGCTCCCAGAGGCGGAGAGACTTGTCCCAGGAGGCGGACAGAGCGTAGGCACCGTCGGAGGAGATCACCTATTGAGTTCGCAAAATCCACGTGTCAGCCGAACTTCCTTTCGCACTAAGTTCCCCGCGATTATCCACGGTCTTCGGAAGGGTTCGGTATGCATACACAGTCAGAGACGATGTGAGAGTGACCCTCCAGGCTGCGCTTGGGGTAACCGTAGGCCTGCTCGTCGCGGGTAAGGTTCCAGATGATCAGGGTCTTATCGCGACTGCCAGAGAGCAGCATGTTGGGGCTAGAGTCGGAGAAAGAATCAAGTCAGAAACCATTTTATCCAAAAACAATCAACCAATGCCATTTCTTGAATTTCTTCATCGCTGAAGATTTTCACATCTTTCTTGTATGGCTTCACAATTTTTTTTCTTTCTGTCTTTGATATCGGATCCGGAATTCCCTTACTTCTCCAAAGAGGTGGCCAGGGAAGTAACCCAGCCATTGTGACCCTCGAGGGTACCGCGAAGGACCAGCTGCTCAGCCATGATGACGATGGTAGGGGACCGCGAGAGGGAGAGAGGATGAACGCGGGCGGAGCAATTGTCGTTGACTCTGAGGTAAAATCCCAGCGTTCGAAGATGGAGGAGCAGAGTCGGCGTGCCCGCCTAAGCCCTAACTCCCTTACCGCCCTCTGTGTGCGTGGTCACATGGAACCCTAACATAAGCGAGTCACGTGTCGGCGGTTGGTTTTCTTAGTTTCTGGTTCCGATTATACAGGTAGTGGATCCTCGATCAATATATGCCATTCGCTGTCGGGATCTTTAAGAGATGGAGCTTCTCTCTATTGCCTCATTGGTCACATCCTATACACCTCTATACACATCTGGATGAATGATTTGTCAATCACTGACAACGTACTGCCTTCCCGACATACTTCCAACAATACAATACAGTCCTTCTGGTGGATCTATCCACTCAATACTCATTGACCAGTAGTAGAACTCTTGCCAATGACGGTTGAGGGTGTGAAGCATCTATCCCAGACAGGCAGTGTAACTCGATGAAAGGCTGTGGCTAATTGTATATTAGGGGTTGTACAGACATACCCCATCGCATACTGAATGGATACTGGCTGTCATGTATCTATCCGTTATCTATTACCCTTTACTACTTGCCTGTACAGCACATGCGCCAGATCCATACCTCACTCCAACAGCACATCCCAAGAGCCCTATGAGAAAAAAGATAACGAAAGGAATCAATCCAACACAGAAATGCATAAATTCCCTACGCAAACTAACTATACAGTACAAACCCAACCCATCATGCTTTTATACAGACGTCTTTCTATACAACACCCAAATCTCCATCACGAATCAAACACCTGAACATTCGGCATGCGGCCAAGGCCCGCACCACCCGTCTTCTTACTCTTAGCAGCATGGAATCCAGTAGCACTGTTATCCTGCACATGCTGTCGCAGCAGGTGCAAGACCTCAGACTCAGCCCAGCGAGACGGAACGGGCCGGTAAGCAGCCTTATAGGCACCGACCGTCTGGGCCCATTCGCCGCTCTTAGCCCCAGTGCGCTTCCAGGTCTCGGTGGGGGTATCCTCAGCGACATTGTCTTCGGTAGGAGGATCCTGTGTCGCCCAGTAGTAGATATCCCAGTCATTCTCGTCGAGGAAGCGGTCGTACTCCTGCAGCTGCTCCTTGTCCATCTTGGAAAGATAAACATCGGCAAAGGTAGAAAGCAACAAATCGGACTCAAGAATTCCTCGCTTCCGGCTCTGATCTGTTCCATTCACCCATATCAGTCCCCAGCAATGAATTAGTAATACTAGAGAAAGGGTATATACTCACACAACAACCGGGCCCTTATGGTAGAAACATCCTCCCCAGTCCGCTTCAGCGGCTCAACCTTAAATGTAATCCCCTCCATCTCACCCACGCCCAGCTCCGGCTTCTGCGCGCCCGTCTCCTGGCGACCGCCCGTGAAATGCTCAACCTTTCCGGGGTAGGAATCCGCCGGCTTATCGTCTTTGGTACGAATTGCCGAGCTGCCGAAGGAGCGACGGACGAGGGTTGTTCTGGGGAAGAATTGCAACATTGAGGGTCGCGCGAAGCGCTGGATGAGTCTTGGGGCAGACATAGTGGCTCTGCTGGTGTGTTTATGGCAGGAGAGCTGTGCAGGAGGGAATTGTCGCTGGGGAGGATCGGAATTGTTTCTTCGTTCGCCATGACGGGATTGACATCATCCGGAGATTTGCGAGGTGTTGTTTGCTGTGTTTGCATGCTCTAAACACAACCAACCGGGGTTGTGCATTACAAAGATTATATTGAATAGCAGGGACGCGGCTATGCACATGGTACATATGTACAATATGTACTGACGAACTGGTCTTTCGAAGTCGGAGTAATCCATTACATCATCCCCAGTTGTCTAACGCTATCATAGGATCATAAAAGTATTCAAACAGTATACCGTGAGATATATCCGAGACTACATAAAGCCGAGACCACACTCGACAGATGCATAGAACTCCGTATTTTGTCATGAGAACAAGGAAACTACAACGCAAAGTGCCGTTCCGCCCAGTCCAGGCACTTCGAAACAGGGACGGTCTAGATAAGATGCTTGGATCTGCAAGTAGTCGAAGCCGTCAGTCGAGTTGTAACCATCTGCAACCAGAAATACATACCTGAAGTAAGCCCTCAGATAAATGACCTGCCAAACACCCAATCCAATCAACATTCCCATTGTGCCAAACGCAAACCACTTCACACGCTCGTTGGTGCTCTCGTTGGTGTCACGCAGCTTCTGCTCACGCGCACGAAGGTATTCCATTTCGCTGACGATTTCTTGCACCATCTCCTCAATGCGACGGAGATCAGTTTCGAGGGGCTTGAGTTTCTCATGGTCCTGGATGCTAGACCAGTCACGAGCATCGGCGCCAATGTCGACATCGAGTTCAATCGACCGATAAGGGTTCGCAACACCGGCTGCTCAAAAAATCAGAAAAACAACCCAACAATCGAATGTTATCGACAGGATAAGAGCGAGAAGAATAATGGTCAAAGGCCGGAACAGGGTAGTTGACATACACCGTCCTTCAAGCTTGTTCTCGAAACAGACATCGAAAGCAGTATCCTCCGAAGAAGTGAATGTCTGGCGAGTCTCGCCTACAACATCCCTCGGGCGACCGTGGTCATTGCCCAGGGCATCTTTGATCTAAATTCCGTAAAGACGATTAGCGAATCCGCTCCTGATTCAAACCAGCCCGACCAACACCAGTCCTGTGAAGCTGACTTCACGATTCACCGCAAATAACCATTGATCGAATATAGGGGCATAATGCGACATACATGCATATTGACCTTCTGTCCATCGCCCTTCTGACCGCTCACAATAGCTGTCACGACGACAAGCTGATCCTTGAAGACGAAGTTGCGGATGCATCGCTCGTTCTTTCCGCTCACGGCGGGCAGGTCGAATTTCAACGCGGCGGAAATCTGGACAAGACACAGGAATAAGATTCCAAGAATGGACTTCATAGTAGGCTGTGACGTCCCCATTGTCGAAGCTAAATTGTCGCTGTGGTCGACAGTGAGGTCTTGGAAATTGACAACAAAGCTCGGGAGCTGCCATTGATGCCACGCCGCGCTCAAGGGCTCCGGAGCGGTCGGGAGAACAATGTTCCGCCATCAATTGACAGCACGTTTTAAGAACAGATATTGATCTCTCCGTAGTCTGGATTTCTTAAAATTACTTGAGGATCATTTGAATACGTCTACTGTTTTTGTAAGATCTTGGAAATTTTGAAGTGAGATTAAGGAAATTAGTCATTGTGTGGCTAGCAGCTTCTTGATATCATGTACGGTCCGCCGATTTTTGCTTATGATAGTAAACGCATAACATGGCTTCCCAGGGGAATAGGTTGCAACAAAGAAAAGAAGAGAAAACAATGTCCCGATCTTAGAAGATTGAAGGCAGGATATCATTTGTTCCAAATGCCATAAAGTCGAACACGACGGGGGTACAATTTCAACAGGACAGAGTGGTATATGGAGAAGAAAAAGGCCAACGATTGTTGTACCAAATCAACGATGAAAATAAGGAAAGTACGTGGAAGGGAACTCGTCCACTCATGGCCCAGATATCAAGGCTGTGGGATTTTGACCCGTAGACCAAGGTAGTAAGGAAAGAGAAAAGCTGAATCAAACGAAACACAGGATGGATCGTCACATGGCTTAAAACGCTCCCGAAGAAAAAGAGAAGATAAAGGCAAGGGCATATCTAACGAACACGTGGGCTAATTGACTTGAGAACGGAGATGGAGAGAGTGAGACTAGGGAATAGGCAAGGCATTAAATAGGGTTACAAAACGGCATTAGACTTCGAGTTTCTTCCGGCGCCCGAAAAGGCGAGAGAGGCTATTCACCCCTGATTCTTTACCCTTCGAAGCCAGTGATGAGGACACTCGGGGTGCAGGAGGCTCAGGAGGCCCCGTCGTCCTGAGGAATTCAGCCAGGGAACTAGTCTCTGTTTGCCGGTCTGTGAGGGAGGGAAGGCCGCTAGTTCCATACATTGCGCCTCTGCTCCTTTCGGCGCCAACTTTGACTGGATAGCTAGATGACGCTGTAGCATAGCTGTCCTGCTGTTGGTATGGAGAAGCCTTTGATAGTTTCGTAGTTGGCACCTTGTCCCCAGATGCATTGCGAAGAAGTCGCGCCTTCATTCCAAACGCACCGGATGAGCTCTTGGAGGGCATCGTGTTGACTGCCAGGGGCTGCGGGGTGGGCTCCAACTCCGGAGGAGGAGGAACGTTACGCAAGAAATCTATCAAGCTTTCCTCCTCACGCTTGGGCTTCGGGTCGTCCAGGAGCTCGTCAAGGTCCTCATCGTCATCTGAGTCAATGGCATAGGGATCTGGCACCCTCCGTTGTTTCCGCACAGGACGAGGGTCATCCACTGGAGTTGATTGGACGTGCTGAGTAGTAGTTGGGTGGACGGTAGTTCGGTTGCCCGTCTCCAGTAGCCCTGTGCGAGACCCGACGGAAGTCAACATTGATCCATCTTGCGTGCTAGATACTGAGGGTGCATTGTTTTCAGAGTGGCCAGTTTCCAGCGAGTTTAACTCGTCTGAATCCATTGTGTCTCGGAACGGTGCAACCGCACGTGGAATGCGGCGTGCCCCTGCAGTAGGCGGACCTTCACGAATGAAGTCGATCAACTCGGTTGTCCGATCTTGATCCGCTTTAGAACTGGATGCTGAACGGGCCTCCATCTTAGGGCCACTGCGAACTGTGCTCGACGGGGATCGTGGTGATTGGGTTTGTTGGGTACTGAGGGGGCTACCTGGGCCGGACGACTTGATAGAGTGATCGTAATCGCTGGACGACCCAGTATTTGGTTTCCGATCGGCAGCTTGTTCCGGGTTTGATGTCTGTTGCGAAGTCGCAGTCGAGGGTATTTCGATAGCTTTGTATTTGGGCGTGTTAATAGTTCCCCTGGAAGACGTGTGGGAAGTACTAGGACGTGGAGCTTCCTCCCCGGGAGGGGCGCTATTCTTCAGAAACTCAGCCAGGTCCGCAGTGCTCGACCGGACTCTCCAGCGGGGTGAATCAGGTTCCTATAGGAGAATGTTTATCAGTCGACGAGCTCCAATAAAAAAAGAGAGAAAAGAGTAAGAAAGAAAATTAACCATACCTCAATCTCCCTCATATTTTTCGGGGTTAGCGTATAATGGAGAGTTTCCTCACTGCGGATCAATTCGTCCAAGCCGGTCGTGTCGTCATACAGCTCTTCAGCGAACGGATTAGTCTCGCAGGAGTTGCGCAGGCGAAGTGAAACAGAATCCCCCTGAAGACCAATGAGGCCTTTCAGCCTGCTTGAAACCTGGGAAGTGGTCGACCCTGCAGTAACTGGGCGTTTCTCACGTTGGCTACTAAAACTGTCGGAACGACGCGATCTGGAGTAGACGGAAGAGGCTGCTGAAGTGGACGGTCGGATGACACGCTGAACCGCTGCACGTTCAGTTGCCGAACTTATCGAGGATACCCCTGAACTTGAGCGGCCGTAACGATGGTGACTTATACCCACCAAGGGGCTTGGTCTAGGTCGAGTCCGCGAACGGTTAGAATAAACGCTTTCTCCAGAAGTAGAAGGCGGACGAGAGATCTTCTCTTCCAGGTCAGTTGAAGTCCGAGTCTGAGGGACCGAGGACTCTGTTGACGGTGTATTTGTATCAGAATTCTTTGGCACATCGTGACTGATGGCAGGCTGCGCCGGGGTGGAGTCTTCCCCTTGCGTTTGTGACGGATCATCGACCACTGTTGGTATCACTTGTTCGCTGATCACTCGGGTGGCGGTAGTCGACCTGTCATTTTCGCGATTTGCGTCCCGGCTACAGACACGCTTCGGTCGCTGTATCGGAGCCAATTTTGGTTTCTCACACATTCCTTGTCCTTCAATCACCTCCGTATCGGAATCGGTCTGGAAACGATCGCTCAGGGATGTTGACGAACCTGAAGTACTACTGGCTTGGCTCGACTCTACCTCCACCGACACGGCAGATTGTGACGACGTAGCCATCTTATCCTGCTCCAACGATTCCTCGGGTAGAACATCTGCCTCTGATGCCTTTGGCTCAGCTTTGGTCTTAGGAACCTCATCATCCTCATCGTGTTCGTACATGGTTTCCAGTGGCTTTTGTTCGTCAGATGCGGTGGGCGATGGCCGGCCGGTAGTTTGGTCAGCTTCTGCCGGCTCCTGAGGGGTAGTATCAGGCAACGACTTCGCGCGGACATGACGAGTGAACTTTGCGCTCAGTGGGGTGATAGGGGATGTGGGAGATCTTGGTGATGGCAGAGTCAGCACCATGAGGCTATGGGGTCGCACTTTGTGGGCCACTACTGCCTGCATGGTCTGGATCACCTCAGCACCTTCACCATCAGATGTGAAACCTTCGATCTCTTCGACATCGTGGTCGCCAATTGGGAGTGCAACAGAAGCCGGGTCAACCTCTTTCGGGATCTCGATGATCGGTCTTTGTGGCAGCTCATCCCCGGTAACCATACTGCTCTTCCGACATGATGAAGGACCAACTGTTGAACGGCGTCGAATAGACTCTCTAGAAACCGCTCGGGACAACATAGGAGATCGAGTGTGCCTGCGCCACGTGCGCCAAAGACGACCCAGGGTTGGATTCAATGCTAATTTCTCCATATCCAAGTCCTCCACGACCAACCGGTTGATGGTGCGTCGTTCTGCGCCTGACTCTGCCTCCTCGGGACCCTCGCTCGGTTTTGCGGATAGTCGTGACCGAGCTGTTTCGCCCGCTATCACCAAGGCCTGTTCACCGATATGCTCGATGATGGAAGTCAGGAAGATGGCAGCCGCCGGCGTAATATTTCCTACATGCATAGAAAACCTCGGCGAGACACTTCCGTCATCATCCAAACCATTCTGTGCGATATACTCCTCCTCGTCATCTTCTTCCATATCTCCCAGCCGGGTATAGACCATACAGCGCAGGCGAGTCAATTTCCAGGAACGGACCAGGTCGAAATCACCGTTTTGAGACATACCCCGACCGAACTGGAATTGCTCATCCTCCGGACCACCCATATACTCGCTCAACTCCTCGTCTGCCGCAGAGACCACTTGGTTTGCGAGCCGCGGTTTTAACACATCCGCCACCGCTGGTCGAATACATGCTAGTTGTGTTGACTTGGCAGCCGCCAGGATATTAAAGAGAAGATGGTCCAGGAATCCATTCAGAGCTGAAAGAGCTTCGGGGGTGACAATCGCTTTGGCATCCGAATCACCGCCATCTTCTGTCACGAAGTCCGCAGTATTGAATTCCTGGTCAGTGGTGACGATCTGAGCGGCGGACGAAGATGCAATAAAGGACGGCGGAGGATTCGCCGCTGGCGGGGTCATGTGAATGCGAGAATGAGAATCACTCGACATGCTGTTACTCCGGGAGCGTGAGGCCGTCCGCCCCATGTCGGACTCTGAACCTTTTGTATGCAGCATCGTCGATATGAGGGATCACATACAACTGGCGGGGCTGCGCTACTCCGGGGTTCGGGGGTGTGGCGGTGACGTATTTGATCTTTTTGTCTTCTTCTATTGTTATTGAATCTGGGAAACCTGGATCATCCTGGAACGGTGAAACCATGGAATTTCGTCAGCCTTCTGCTCAATTGTACAGCCCACCTTCGGGCCACTTTTGCGATGACTGCTATGTAGAATGCAAGCTGACGGCATCAGGCCGTCCATGAGGCGAAGCTCAGGGTCATCCCCAAGACGAACCCGGGGGGTAAAAGAAGGCAGTATTCAACTGTGAATGCTGAAAAAACGTTGGACCGGTACTAAGACATACCCGTGTAACAAGTTCAAAAGCTCTTCACATTCATTTCGTTAATTGTACTCCGTACCGTTGGAATGGTTCCGAGGAACCGATAAGTCATTAGAAAGGTGAACCGTAGCAGACAGACGATGTGTATCCGATCCCGCGGCCAGGAAACGCAGCAGAAGAAGGAGAAGGAGAAGCGGGCGACAGTGAAGAAAGAACGAGAGAAAGAGAAAGAACCCAAGTGCCGTCTTCTTCCATCCGGAGGCAGATCAGGAGTACTAAACCAAGGCTAAGGTCGTAGTAACGGCGGAGAAGTTTAGTAAACAAGTCTAATACGGAGCACACCACCGTATTAGAATTCTTTATTATTAGTCTAGTCCCCATGAATTTAATTTTAATTACAATTTATTTTATTAGTATGACTATACGACTCTGGTCCAATTTTTTTTTTTTCTTTTCTTTTTCATTTGGCGGGAATACTAAGGTTGACTGCCCATTGAAGTTTAGCGAGGCTGCAGGATCAGGAGAGACAGAAAAGTGGAGACGCACGATGGCGCATCCTCTTTGGGATCCGTGGGTGGAGCCAACAAGTACCTGACTAGTCACTTTCTTTCTAGTCAACTGCACTAGTCTAACCTGAATGTTACAGGGTCAGGTCTTAGTCTACTCTGTATGTACTAGTTAGTAGTCGTAGTAGGTACAGAATACATCCACTGTGACCAAGGTGTCTCTTGTCATTGCTCAAACCTAAGAGAGCCTTTACGACACTCCCGTGTCTCTCCCTCTTAGTGTCAAACACTGATCTAACTCTCTCTTGACATGAAGCCAACTGGTGTCATCCAATTGATTCTATTCATCCTTGCCACTCGTCGGAGTCCATCTCCGGGACGGGATATCCCCGGCAGCCCATGGAAGAAACCTCCGATAGTGTTCTGATAAGCAGTCAATCGTTCCACGGTTCCTCCGGTCATCATTCTGAGGTGATAAACCGACAAGTTACTGCGACAGGCAAGCCCTGCGAAGAGAGAGAAGACGAAAAGAAGACCAAAAGAAGGTCAAGATGACACCGAGACGGAAACGATCTCCATCCCGAGAAAACTAACGAAAGAAAAGGCCCCCACTTAGTCTTCCGTCCCAAGCCACCTGAAGAGCCAATCCGATTGGGGTTTACCCGTCCCAGCTCCCAGGGTCAGGGGGGCGAAATCACAAGAAAAGGAGCCAGGAAGAAAAAGAAAGAAAAAAAAAAAAGAAAATAGCAAAAGGGAAAAAAAGAAAAAAAAAAAGGGAAAACGAAACAAGGAAGAAAGTAAGAAGGCGGCAAGGATTTCACCGTGTTTCAAGTCTGTATTAAATTAAATCGATCAGTATCTGTAAGTTCTGGGGGATCATCATCTTTGCTTTTTTTTTCGCGGTTCTGTCCGGTTCTTCACCACGCTGAGGTGAGAGAATCACTTAGTCCCTAACTCTCTATTCTTGCCTTACGACCGAGCACGAGATGGTCCGCCTCGTGTCCTAAAAATTCGAAGCATTATCATTCCCTCTTTTTTTCTCTCCGGATCGGCTCTCGCACACACAGTACCAGACAACCGACTCTCCATCCAAACTTAGTTTCTCAAACTATTGGAGCTGATCCAATCGTGTCCCAATGCCACTTGGGGGAGGAAAAGAGGCTGATCCACCTGACACTATTGTTCCTCTTTATCCATGCCCTGCGGTGAGATACTCTGATTGGATGTACCCTCCATCGGTATTTCCTCCGGCTGTGTCTCCTTTTTTATTAGTCGTCTTTTTTTCCCTTGTAATCCACCGACCCGCCAGTCGATACTCCATACTACTCCGTATAGTAACCAGGAGAAAAAAAAAAAAAAAAAAAAAGAAAGAAAGAAAGAAAGAAAGAAGAAGACTGAGACTATGCAAACCAAACCCACCAGAAATACAAAGGGACGATCATGACAGCACGCCCGAGCACAAGAACGGGGCACAGGTCAACAACTTCCCCATACTGGGCACAGAGCTTACTCGACGGCAACAAAAGCCATGACGCTTATAGTTGTAGAAATATACATAGCACGGGCTCCTTGATAAAGCAAAGCATCCTTGATTCGAATCCTCCCGTCCAATCCGCGCCTGAAACTGGCCATAACCCTGCCGATATGAACCCACTAAGTTATCAAAGTTGGACCCCCCGCCCTCCCAGAGATTGATAATCTTATTCGGCAGTTACAAAGTCGAAAAGAGAAAAGGCAGGGCCCCATCCAATTTCGGGGGAATGAATTTCAAATCAAAGAGGGTGTGGACTAACTTCTATTGATGGCGGGTAGACTAATGCCATATCTCCATTCGTGGGTCGTTCGTTTGCTCCAGCGGGGTTCAACGTAATAACCATGGTTGATGGTGACAGGCTCATTCAGATTGGATTTATCAACTAGTACTAGATCATGGGATGATGAAAGTGATCTCAGCTGAGATCAGCTCAGCCAACAGAGTTCGAACTGGTGTGGTAAGCTGAGCAGGAAAGTATATTAACTACTATATTGGATGTATGCACATAGTACATACATACTACTAGTAGTCAGTAGGGTATGTACCGAATGAGTCCCCACGATGGAGACGATAGGGTACGGAGTACTCCGGACCTACATGACTCGAGTAGTCGATCTTCCCAAGCAAATTTCCCAGGAACCACTGAGAAAGACCGAACCACCCAATCTATACCCCAGTCCATACGTACGCAGTGCTAGTATACCGTGGCAGTCGCCATGGACTATGTACATACCTACCCATCGCCCATAAAGTACCAATACCAATACATCCCTGAGGGAGAACTGCAGGATTCCCATCCCAGCACTCACCAATGTAAAACACATCTGAATCAGCCCACGGCCGCCGTCTCACGATGGACCAGGATGTCGGATCCCTGCATGCATGAGCTCGGCTCCACCTTGACTGACCCAGATGATACTAAAATCATCCCCCCCCCCCCAAGAAAAAAAGCAATAACATAACTGTTTGATTACGTCTTGGGCTAGCCCTAGCCTTTCTGCCTATTATTTATTTTTTTGCTTTTGGGGGAGCGAACATCTAGAATCTTACTCGCATATCATATACAAGTCAGGTTGCACTATCGGATATCGTGGCGTTTGAGGGCCAGATGATGACGGTGCCGTTGGTAGGTTTCAGTAATTACATGCGCGTGGTTGGATCCGTATGCAGTTGGGACTCTGGGGAGGCGGTTCGAGACATTTCTGTCCATGTTAGGAAGGGTCTGCATGGTTCCCATATCTAACATTTATGGATTTTGTGGCTGGTGGCTTTCAATCAGTGGATATGTGGATAGGAAACGCCTGGCAATAGGTTGTGTCAGTGCTGTCTTAAGATCAGTGGGGACCAGCAGGTTCGTTATGTCTTTGTCGTTCCACGTCTGTCATGGTCATGTCCATGTTTTTAACTCTCATTGGAACTCTGATACTGTCGCCTCTTAAGTGCGGTTGTAAAGACAGACTCACTGGATCAGAAAACAACCTTTGATCCTGGGGATGATGGTAGAGAGCGCAACAATCGCTGACAACCAAGATAAATGCGACGGACTACATAAGGAGACAATCGAAGTTACCCTCCTTGCCTTGGCCTGGTTATTGAAAAGAGAGCCATGTAGATATACCCATATGGTTGAATGGGTGTGGCCACGCCCGTTGAAACTCAAGATTTCAAAATTGAGTAGATTAACCCGCTAGATAAAGCTTTTTGTAAATCGCTATAGACAAACCAAATAAATTCCCATGTTTCCATGCCAGACTTTTATACCACGTTGGCTTCGTTTTTCCTGCACTGAAGCTTTTTCTTGCTCGTAAATCATTTCAATGGACCATATAGGGTTTCCAGTTTTCGAGGGCATATGCAACCCCACCAGCAAAAAAGCTCAGTTCATCATGTCCGATCTTGACATCACTGGCCAATCTTTCGGAGAGAAGGCCCTCAATCTTCTTCAATAAACTCAGGTTAAGACTCTCACGGGTCTCGGTCGGCTGCTCCAGCGCCCCCTTTTCTTCGCTAAGGCTTAGAAGTTCATCAAACTCCTGCTTGGCAACGAGGTTGGGAAATGTTCCAATCACATGATTGAGGGCATGGTCGAGATAAACCCCATCGGCATTATCTGCTTCCAGGTACGGTGATTTCACACGGCCCATCTTTATGTCGCCAACCCGCGCGTGAAGACGGGACTTGTAGCCGGGATTAGCGATCCCATTGATGCCATTCATATAGGCGATGAACAGCCGCTTGTCTAGGTCCACAACATCGCTGGGATGTTCTTCAGGCAGCTGCTTGATTGAGTCACTGATACTGCCATGTTCGGAGTCATCGAAATCGTCACCGATATCATTTTCCTCCTGTATATGGAGGCTGCCAGATGCCCTTGCCATCTCCATTAGCTCATGGCAGGTCAATTCAGGACAAGGTGCATCGTCTTCTTGGACTTCTGGCGCTTCAATATAGAACACGTTGGTATCAAACCTAACGTTGTTCGACCCGAATGAAATAAACGAGCCATCGGCCGAGTCGTCGTCATAATCATAGTCATTGTCATCATCTTCGCTGTATTCGGACATAGAGTCCGATTCATCTTCCCAGCATGTGACGTAGTACACTTCATCATCATCCGAATCCGAATCGGAGTCGGAGTCGGAATCATCTTCGGATAAAAACTCAAACTCTTGTTCCGATGCACCGGATGCATAGCCGGACTCGGATTCTTCATCATCCTCGATTTCAGCATACCGTCTCTTTAAGATCGGCTTCAAGTACGGACGATCTGTCGTCGCCGTCGTGGGTGTTACAGACGAGACCACCGACGAAGTAACGGTGGTCGGGTTAGTCGATGTGACTGAAACCTCATCAGACGCATAACAGCTGTCCTGAGAGAGAGAGATTTCGAGGCCAGAGAATGTCGAGGAAAGAGACTCCCAGGACTTTTTGTTCATGGTTTGGTTGCTCATCTTGATAACCTGTGATCTGTGTTCGTTCGAGACACGTTCTGTCAAGTACCAATGTAGGTATGTTGAGACCCAAGGCCTTGACAACAGGTGAGGAATAGGCCGTTTGATTTATTGAAAAAGGATCAGTAGTTGTGTTTTCGATTTTGGAAGTTTTTGGCTTCGAAGGCCTCCGAAGATCGGTAGGAGTCCATGGTGAAGCACGAGCGTAAATCAAGGTATTCACCTAGTGGAGGCTGACGAGGGCATCCCCGACAAAAATAATCTTGGAATACATGTTGGTGATTACTTTGAGATTCGTGAACTTCCTGAGGTAAAAAACATGCACTCCTGGTGCTGCTCAAGGTTACCGATACAAGACTCCGGTTTAAGTCCTCTCCTCGTTTTCGAAATAGGGTTGAATTTGATGGACTCTGCGTTGATATACATATAGACTGTAGGTGTGCGTATTCGGAATGTTCCAAGGTATTTTGATTGCCTGCGACGCGTTGCGTGGCTTTAACAGGAACAGGCGAGTCTGGACGAGAAAGCGCGACTTCCTCCGTAGAGATAGAGGTGTTTTCGCGTCGCTGTACCAGAGATGATGAGTCGGGCCCTAGGCTTATAAATTCACGCCACTTTGCGTGGGATGGGGGGATTTGGCGGGGGCGCGAGGGGTAACAACCGGAAGATCAGATTGCCCCTAGGGAAGTTCAGAGGTACACTATCATGTACCCACACAACAAACGTGTGGTAGCGACAGGAGTGGTGATGATGGAACAGCACAGGGTGCCTGTGGGAAGAAGGTCAAGGAAAGACGACCGTCGCTGACAGTCCTGTCTTGGGAGTCAGATTTCCGTCATCACCCACCACCTGACCAGTTGCGGCTGTTCGCCCCCTTCCTTCGGCATCTTTCGGCCCGGCGTCGGAAGTCTAGAAATGGTATAGCGTTCCTCGGCTGCCGCTTGTTTCTCAACGAATGAAGTCATGGCAACCAGTTCGGTAGCTAAGTTGATCCGCTCCGGGTTAGGGCTTTCTGGACCGGAGGACCCGATCTAGTACTACTCCAGTATAAGCTATAAGCAAGTCATGAAGGAGAAAGGAACCGCGTCAGGCGGGACGATGGTTGTGAAACACATCAAAATCGAGGTTGCACAATCAAGACTGAGTAGATCCCTACTAATTCTATAAAACTTCATGTGTACTTATGTTTAATTAGCAGAAGTACTGGTCATGGGTGGTTGAATGAATGAAGGACACTCGCATTCATCTGGTGAGCATCAGTCAAGGAGATCTTTGTTCAGTACCTGCATAACTGCATGTCCCACGATTGAGTGTATACTTTGAGGCAAGGTACTGATATGTCCCTTGTACTCTCAACCTAATCCGTTCCTAGATGCTTATCATTCTTAAGTGTCAAGCATTCCAATCTCAAAATAGGTCCTTCTTTGAGCAACACAAGGGATGCAACGATCTTATCTGCGCTTTCACCAAGAGTAGTAGTTCAAGCATTCTTTCATATGGCTGCTTCCTCCCTTTACCCTCTCAATCCCTCCCACCTTGTCCACTATTCGAAAATCGATCCTTGGCTAAGCTGAGTGTTTTTCCTGATCCTGGGCAGCAGCTGTACCCAATTTAGATTTAGGTGTTTGAGCCTCGATGGTTAATCTCCTACAGATCTTGGCAAACCATGATCATCGTTTGTTTGTTGCACAATAACTGCCTTCCAGAGATGAGCTAAGGGTAAGACGGATTTGGACAAAGAAACCGCAGTTCGGGCGTTCTGAGCTACATCGACATCGCGTGGTCTTGAGTGGAACGTGATAGCTATACTATATCCCTGTACAACAACCAAATTACCTGCTGAGAAATTAGTCTGTGGCGATCTCTGACGATCTCTTGCGATCTGGAACACATTTAATTTTGTTGACATCCAAGATGAGAAAGACTGAATGCAAACAATTGCAGACTGGTTGGTCAAAGGGAGCCGTTACGCGTAAAGAGGATTAATTATAGAAACTTCAGCAGAGCAGATTAGCACCTGCCGTGCATATCTTTTGTTCCAAACTTCTTTGAAGCTACTTACCAATTGGAACACAACTAGAACCTGCCAGTATGGAAATGATTTCCCCTTGATGAACACTTGTTCCGTGCATGGTTACTGGAGGCGCGCATTCCTTCCCAGTTCTAGCATTCCGGGATCCATTCCAACAGGCCGATCAACTCCTCAGCATTGGAGGGCTCGACCGCTCGAGCAGCTCCTACTCCACCGAACTACTCAGTCAAGAATCCCATTGAACAAAGGTTCAATTGAAAGTGGAGAGAGGGTCTTTCCCGGATACCCACACAAGCTCTGGGTCTAATTCATAGGGTAGTATCATGATTCATGACGCTTACATTCGGTACGTCATTTTACCGTTATGGGTGCTTCCCATTAAGGACCGGCCCTTCTCTAATTGAGAAACACACCACGGCTGCGTGTACAAGCCGGCCAGTAGCTACTCCCATTGTTAATGATCAGCACTGACCATCATTGGCGCTGAGAGTTCCTCTCTGGAGTCCTCGTATGACTGTCCTGCTGATACGACACACCCTGTTTCTGGTATAGTAAAGGTTGCATTCCACCAAGTGGCTAATGGAGACATCCGAGCATTTTCTCTGTCAATGAATGTGGGCAAGCTCTGGAGGTATCCATTCAGCCACCCAGTTTTCCAGCTCCCGTGATTGGTCGGAGCAGGGTACTCAGGCATTCAGGTCAAGCAATGGGCCCAGAGTGGACCATATGGAGAGCTTCCCATCCCCCTCAGCTGCATTCCTTACCCATCTTTAGAGCGATTGGAATGTGTAGAGAATCCCAGAGGCTGGGTCCCCAGCGCAACGATTCAAATACAGGCCTCTGGCTGTTGTTTGTTTTCTTTGTCTCCTTTGCATCTTCTGCAGTGTTTTCTTTGATTGTCAAACCATCAAACCACTCCTACACACCAAACATTCCAACATCGGTCGCTGCAAAGAATCGAAGCTCTTGGACGGATCGCCGGCTAAGGATCCGCAGTTCCCTCAGCTTCGACCCAGAGTATACACTGGTCGCCAATCAGGTTGGATCCTGCCCACCACTTTGTTGGTAAACGTTCTCTTTGACAGCTGAGGTTGGAACCACCATCGCCGCAAACGGAAAGGGAATATCCGACAAGATGTTTGCACAACCGTTCGACCATTCGTTCAACAACGATGATTTATTCAGTCAGTACGTCAATATTGATGGCTCGAATACCGACGGCAACAAAGACGTTTCATTCCCTAGTGACTTTGATCAATTCTTTTCCTTGGACTCATTGTCAAGTAATTGTGGCGAGCAGTCGCCCATCATCCCCACGTCCAAACAACAAGCCCATCCTTCACCACAGTGGGCGAAGGATCTCTGGAGCCTACCGCCAGATGCACCATCATCTCTAGGCCAAGCCCCCCTTGCATTTCAAGACACCATTCATCCCTCTGCTGTTTCAGATCTAAACGTCAACCTTGAAGCTTCTTCGACGACTCGCCCTGCAGAGACCCGCTCATCGCCGACAACTCCCCCGGGAACTCCACGCTGCAAACCAAAAAGAAGTGCATTAGTCACTCCGAAGTCTATCCAACGTCACCGCGAACCTAATGGTCGCCGTGGTTTGCAGCACAAACAAAGCTTCTCCCCCAGCTTGACACGTCCTTCTCAATTCCAGAAAGGAAGAATGGCGTATCAAGAAGCTTGGGCGCACCGATTTCAGAACTTAAATTTCCTGCGTAGCGCCGATGACCGATTCCCACTGTCGCCGCCACCGTCAGATATCCTGCCACAACAAGAGAACATCGCGGCCGACAACAGCGCCGTACACATCCATCATTCGGGAGATTCTGCCGAGATGCATCATCACTTCGACACTAGCATTTTCACTCCATCTCCCGCGATATCCATGCCATCGCCGTGTACGGGAGTTTTATCAAGACAGCAAGCCCGGTATTTAAGCCACTCCAACAACTCCACGGTGACTTCGAGCCCCCCTTCAGCAGACGACATCTTTCCCTCCCCGCATTCCTCGGATCCCCAGTCCATGTCCTCCTGGCATTCCGATACGCTCGGCACTCCCGGGCTTTCTTTCACGCCTGATCTTCAGAGCCACGATGCTCAAGCCTGGTGGCCTCCTATGAATGCTCGGGTGCCCCAACGGCAACATTCCTATCAGCAAATAGTCGCGTCGCCCCCACCACAACAGCCGATCCAGAGCACCACCCATCAGCATGACTTGGCCAATAATCAACACGACATCCTGCAAGGGGGTCTTATGATCCAGATAGATCCCTCTGCGTATGACATGACCGCTACGGCCAATTCATCATTTTCCTCAACTACCATGGCTCCGACGGTATCCAATTGTCAGGAGAACCACACTTATAGCCACGTGCCGACCGCTCACCCTAAATTTGTTGACACAGCTTCCTTTGCAACTGCCCAGCTTCAGCCCCAGTCGCGGTCTCCATCTCTGTCTCCGCGAGCAGACCGATCCCCCAAGGACGGATTAGCCATGCATCACAGCATCACCATGAAAGCTCAGCGCCGTCAGCCCGGCCGGAAGATTTCCTCCAACTCCATGAATGTCCCCAAGCCCGTCAAGGGCCTCCATGGATCGGAGAGCCCCAAGAGAGCCGGCAAGTCGGTAACTGTATCATTTGTAAACTTTACGCCAAATGACAGTCAGAAAATTCTCACAGGAGTTGCCCCCAGTGGCAGCTCCAAAACTAAAGCGCGCCGGGAACAAGAGGCCCGTGACCGGCGTCGCAAGCTTAGCGAAGCCGCACTTAATGCAGTGCGGAAAGCCGGTGGAGATGTGGAGGCTCTTGAGGCTGCACTGAGAAACCCCGTTAGTTGCAAGGATAACAGCCAGGCATCCACCTTGCAAGTCACGGGGTATTGCAACTAACGGGGGGGTTTTCAGCAATTTGCTAAAACTAGAGGTAATCCCGTTTGCCTGTTTGTTTGTTTTAGTTCTGCTATATACCTTTTTGTCATTATATTACTTCATATTGAGTGTTTTTCAGTCGGTCTGTTCGGTGTTCTGATGGATCCGGAGTCTAAAACACTGAGAGTCTGTTTGAGCGTTAGATTTGTCCCTGACATCTTAATCAGCCCCCCGGCCCGTCTTACCTAAACCTAATCTGGCATAGTTAATGTATTCCACCTTGATGTACATATCGAGTCTACAAAAGTACCACAAATGCCATACCTCTTTCAAACATAATTCTGATCTTCTCATTGGTTAAGTCTTCTTTATTCGTTGATGAATATATAATATCGGATCGAATGTCATGTGAAAGCCGTGAATGTCTTGGTGGACTCTAACATGTAGGAAAGTCTTCTAGCATATAGCATAACTATTATACACAGAGTCAGTGGCAAGCCCACCCCAAAAGAGCATAGATCTCATAAAATACATATCTATAGTACAAAGATCCAGTTCAAACTCCAATTTCCAATATGAAGTATTAAACCACTCGGACGAAATCATTATATCCAGAACCCTGAATGGGTCTGAACCCAGCCTTTCCCCAAATCACCAGCAGAGATAGCGCAGTCGTGCCCCTAGATTTCTTCGACGGGAGAAAAGCGCAATACAGCTTTGAAACCAAAGCTACCTAATAATTCCGAGCCATAACAAGCCACATAGTAACCGGGCCTCAAATTGGAATTAACAGCGCTCAATCGCGATAGTCTGAGCGTAATCATTCAAACGGCGCGTGTAACCTACCGACGAAATAAAGATCGACAATCCTAATTTCTATCCCGTCCTTCAACCTCATCTTTGAGACGGTTTCGGTGTCCAGGACTGCGGCTCCCACCCCTGGCTAGAAGCTCCTCGAGCTGCAGCCCAGGGGTCCTTTTTAGTAGCGGGCGCTCGACATTCTCTACTTCTTTCTGTTGGGGTGGAGGGGAGGTGTTGCTGCCCTGTGTGGATGCATTCATGGTCGCATCTGTAGTTTGGGTTGCTGGCGCTGGTTGTTTGGTTTGTGGCATGTCGAGGTAGGAGGGCTTGCTGGCCCAGCGCTCATCAGCTAGCCGGGCCAATTGCTTGATTTGAATCTGGCGGAGGACATCTTGTTGTTGTTCTTGGACGGAGGGTGGTTCGGCTCGGACGTAGCGGAGCCATTGGTGCCATTGTGCTGGATTCCCAATTTGTCAGTTCATGACTGATTTCTTAGCATGTCTTAGGAGGACAAATGAGAGCGTAGTCGAGTAAAGTAGATTGAAAAAGAGAAGGTAGATGCACTTACGGCTCACTTGGACATCTGCGTAATGGGTTTTAGGATTGAACTTGACGATCCGTCGGTATCGCGCAGCATTCAGGGCATCTTTAAATTCCCAGAATGTGTTTCCGGAGAGATCCGTTCCTATTGCAAAGACATTTAGTCTGAGACATTGCTGATGACTCGGTAGCAACGCTGAGATTGAACATACCGACGAGGAAGGATTTTCGCCACGGCAATCGAAGGCTCTTCCACTTGAACCACAGACTATTCACCGGACTCATTTGGGCCGATTGAGAAGAGGAATCAGGCAGATATGAATAGTAAGAAAATAAAAATAAAAAAAATGGGGAAATCGAAGCAGCGTAATCCACCTTGACTTGAGCCGGGGGGCTTAGACTTAGGCACTGAAGGGATTCATTGAAGGACGGACGTCATCGGGTAAGGCAGGGCTGTGATAGGTCACGGTATCACGGCTTAGTCGATCTACAGGAGCAGAAGGACAACAGCATTCCATTCCATTCATTTCCTTCCCAGTTTCTTATGAACAGGTATATTCTATTTTGTGTTAATTCACTATTCTCCTACTAAGTGTTTTTTTTTCTCTTATATTTCCACCCCCTTTTCATTTCCACTGTCCTTCTCCTTACCTGAACGCTACTTTGTATATAATCCACCGAACTATTCGATTCTAGATCCATTCAATTTGCCTCTTCTATATCAGGAGGTACCGCCTCCTATTTCGCCCCCCCTGGTTCCCGTACCACGGTTCATGCCAACGGCTGGCGACATAAACAGTCGATTCCATCTGTCGGTCGTAGTGAGAAAGAAGTCTAACGACTACTCACGACAGACCGATCGTTTCGGATAAAATCTGAATCTCAAACATGGCTTCCGTTACGTCACTGGATAAGGATTTGCGCAGTCTGCGCCTGTCCCGCTATACCCCGCAGGCTGCCGCAGAAGTCCGCAACTGGATTGAAGAAGTCCTCCATGAAAGACTACCAGCCGGTGATCTTCTAGATGCGCTCAAAGATGGCGTCGCACTGTGCAGGTAAGTTGGATAATTAGATTTCTGGCATACTCCCATCGCAATTCGACGTACTAACATAGCCCTAGGCTGGTCAACCTTGCCGTTTCGCCCGGTGTCAAGTATAAGCAGTCATCGATGCCCTTCGTACAGATGGAAAACATCTCACACTTCCTTCGCGCGTGTCAAATGCCACCCCTGAGCCTTCCTCCGCATGATGTTTTCCTCACTGTCGATCTTTATGAGGCCAAGGATCCCGCACAGGTCCTGCAGTGTCTGGTGGCTTTCAGTAGGAGGTCTAATGCTCTCCAACCCGGCAAATTCCCTCGCACCATTGGCCCTCAGAGCAAAATTGGTGCTTTAAGCCCCAATGCGACCGGCTCTAGTCAGGGCGCCCATACACCATCTCGGCCACGGGGGCTCAGTAACGCAAACTCCAGCGCCTCTGGATACTCAAGCCCGGCCAAATCTCCAGGCCCAGTGAGCAGTTGGAGCAAAAGAACGGATGAGCGCACGACAATGCCAGCTTTGAATATCCACCAATACGGCTATATGGGCGGTGCTAGTCAAGCCAACCAAGGCGTGGCGTTTGGTGCTCGTCGACAGATCACGACCGCTGCACCAAATGTACCGAGTCTAGCTGAAAAGGAGAAGCGCAGGCGTGAAGAAGAAGAACGCCAGCGCTTGGAATTCGAGGAGTCAGAGCGCAGACGTCAAGAGCGAGAGGCGGAAGAAATGCGTGCGCGAGCAAAGGAGGAGCGTCGATGGGAGGAGGAAACTGCCCGTCTAAAGGAGCAAGAGAGGCGCAAGCTTGAGGACGAGCGAAAGCAATGGAATGATCAACAGCGGCGGTGGGAAGAGGAGGAGCAGCAGCGTCAGCGCGAGGAGAGAGAAGTCGAGGAGAGGTTGGAGAACGAGAGGCTGCGCCGTCGGGAAGCCAACGACACCCGCCTGAATGGGCAGTTCCTCAGTCAATACCAAGCGAGTCAAGCTACACCAAGCCGAGCTCCCGCCGAATCCTCGGAGAGTCGGCGCATAAGAGAACTTGAGCAAGAGTTAGAGACCGCTAAACAAAGGGAGGCAGAATATCAGCGCGAGCGCCAGGAGCTGCAGGAGAAACAGGCCGCACCTGCTGCGACTCGTGCACCTCGCCCGGTACCTGTACCCCCTAAGCCGAGCTACGACCTATCCTCGCTCGAGTCAGAACGTCGTCTACTTCGCACGGAGTGGAACAAACATCAGAACGAAGAGCCAATTCCTGAAGCGGCCAGCCCCCCTCCTTCCCTACCTGCCCGGCCCCTCCCCGAGCCAGTCGCTACTTCACCCCGGCCCCTTCCGGACCCAACGCTCTATGCTTCGAAGCCCGTGAATCAAGAAAGTCGTGTAGACCGTTTCCTCGCATCTAACCGACCTCCCGTCGCACCCAAGCCGACCGCCCATCGCCCACAAGACTACACAACGACTGCCGAGGTCGACGCGGAAAATAGCCGCCGCGCAGCAGCACAGCAAAAGACCAAAGCGGGCGGTTGGGCATCCAAGTCATTGCTGGAACGTGAAATGGAGCGCGAGCGCGAGCGCCAGCGTGAGTGGGAGGAGAACCAAAAGCAAACGCAACAGGCCGCTGCCAGCGGCCTGAAAGATGGTAGTCTCGGTGTTGGGCCGGGACAAGGCGCTTGGGATGTGCACCAATACGGCTTTATGGGCGGTGATAACCAGAACCGGGGCGGTCATGGCCTGGGAGTTGGAGGCGCAAGGAGACAGATCATTGGCCCTCGTCCTCCTCCATGATCACAGATGTTGAAATCCAGGTAGTATCCTAGTCAAAACTTCTATACCTATTTGTGTTTACCCGTTGATGGCGGTGATTTGTGTTTTAGAGTTTGATTCCATTATTGTTTCAAGATCTTGGTGGCTAGCTGTAGATAAGCTGTGAGCAACTTGAATAGTTCATTCATTCAATCAAAATATATAAAAAAGCTAAACCACAACAACAAAGGACACCAGTAACATGCTAAACGCACACAGACAACAAGGGTATCTATACGCCAAACTCAAGCCGTCGAGAAACAGAATCCACCACAACGTTCTCCCCCTCGCCTTCGATCAACCAAACCCTAGCATACGAAACCGAAAATCACCCGTCCGAATCTTCCGCACGGGGAAGAACCTCCTCAACAAGAAACCTCAACCGCTCCCCACTCTCCTGCAACCAGCACCACTCCGCATCTTCCGATTTGCGCGCACTCACGCTCTTCTTCGTCTCCGTTTGGGCTCTCTCCGCACGGCGCTTGATACCCTCGTCTACCGCTTCTTGCAGCTCCGTAGTTACCCTTAGCATGTTGCTGTTTGCGAGTAGGATCAGTAGCGCCTCAAGGAGAATCGACATCTTGGTATTGTCCACTACGCTGGTCGAACTTGCCGCATAGGGGAGGAAACATCCTTCGAGCTTTGTTTGGCTGAGATACTCCTCGTCTGTGGCTGGGGCTGCGCTTTCGCGGATACGGAAGAGCAGGCATTCGCAGAGAGTTGTGCACGCCTCTGAGGAGAAATAGGGTAGTGTTGACGGGGCGACAAGCGCCTGGAAGACGGGGAGGGGTAGATGGCGGATATTTTCGACGAAGAGATGGTAGAGTTCCTCGAGGGGAGTGAAGGCGTCGGGGAGGGTCTCCGCCACGCCGGAGAGGAGGTGGAGGAGACGTTGGCGGAGAGCCAGGGATTGGAAGCCGCCGTGCGAGGAGACGTCGCTGAGGGCGTAGACTGTTGATGTGGAATCGACTGCGTCGGCTGATTTGGCGTCTTTGGCGCGGGTGCCTCGTCTTGGCCGTTTGGTTTGTCGGGTTGGTCGTTTTGAGGCCGTGTCTGGGTCGTTCTTATTATTGTTGTCGGAGGAGTCGTCGTCGGTTAGGTAGTCACCGTATTGGTCTTCATCGATGTTGACCTGCACTTCGCGTTTCTTGGTGTTCTTGTCTTGTTTTGGTTTTTTCAGCTCGTGGTGGAAGACCTCGCGGAATTCGTTGGCAGAGGTCGAGCCCCCGTCTGCGAAGATCGCGCGGAGGATCCGTCGGTTGCGCCCATATCCTACTGTTGTTTCGGTGATGTAGCGGAGGACCAAGCTGTCTTTGAGGGCTTTGTGGTCTGGGTTTGAGGCGTGGTCGCTCATTCTTTTGCGTTCGTTCCAATCGTCTTCGAGCACTTCGCACATGTATTCGAGCCAGATTTGCCATTTCTCCCACCGTTCGCGGTGGAGTACAGAACAGTTAAACGCCCATCCGACTGCGTGCCAGAAGTCCTCTGCGCGGGACCACACAGAGGCAGACTGGGCCAGGTCGAGGTTCAGCTTTTTCATGTCATCGTCGGGTGGGTGCTCTTCTTCGGCGCGCCGGCGGCGTCCATGGCGGGAGGCTTCAAAGTGGGTGAAGGAGAATGCAGTGCCAAGTTTGGCGGACACTGGGCCGGCGAGGGTGTTGGCGAGGCGGAGGAGTCGCAGGGAGACACTAGAGGCTTCTTCTTGCTCGGCGGTTTTCGCCCGGGTGGTGGTTGAGGGATGGACGAGGAATGTCGCGGCGAGGGCGAGATGCTGAGGCGACGGGACGTAGACTGGCGTTGGAGGGATTGTGCCCGTGGTGATGATATTTAGGAGTAGATTTAGGGCTTGCGTGTCTGGTTAACAGATGCCGCGGTCAGTTCGATGGTCAAGTGAATTGCGGGGGGTGAGGGGAGGCACACAGAGCTTCTCTTCAAAGAATATGCCTACATGTTGGACTAGTTCAAAGGGAAGTGTCCTAGCAGGACGGTAGAGAGGCAAGGGTGCCTCCTCGTCTGCCACTGCCATTGACTGGGGTGTTTACTCGTCGACTGAGAGATGTGATGTTGTAGAAGGCTGAGAATCGCGGTGTCGCGACGCTTATCGATATGCGACAACCACGTGTAATAATTATCCTGGTCATGGTCATAACCCATGGTTTGTTTTTCGCAATTGATACGGATATCAATCTGCCCGTTGTATACTAAATTTCAGCAACGTGGCCTACAAGTAAACTCAAACAGATCTTGGTTATCTGATCTACACAGTACACTGCCATACTTTAAGATTTCACAACATACGTTGTATATAGTTCAGATAAAAGAGCAAACAATCACCAATTCAAGGTGCTGTAGTGTAGTGGTTATCATGCTTCGTTGTGGTTAGTCCCACAGCCCCGAATCGACCTGGGTTCGATTCCCAGCAGCGCCAATGGCGTTTGATAACTTGATTGGTCTTTCTTTTTTGCATTTCTTAGATGCTTGTTCTCTATCTTATCTACTACCCCCTTTTTTTGTCCTCTTTGTATAGATAGGGGTGGGTGGTTTGCACTTTGAAACCCCTATAATGATAACCCTAATCTTGTTTCAGTCGATTTGGTGGAGTGGAACGAACGCTTTTTAGTTTCTAAGGAAATCCGGTGTGACAAAATCTCCTTGATTTCCCTCTCCATATTATACAGAGTAGCCGATATATATCTAGTTACATATCTTTATGTCGTAAGGGAGTCAACAATGTTTTCCAATTGTACATAGTTTGGCGAGCCCCCCTTGCCTGTACTGCATAAATAGTTTTTGATCGTGAACAATTCCCTCCAACACAGCAAGTAGTAACTAGTAGTTATACGTGACCAACAATAACCCCAATACTTCATGCAAACCCGTACATGCCGTACACAACGAGGACCAGTTCCGCCCATCCACCCCACAGCCCGAAGATGGGCCCCGGTTAAATACGTATGTTCAACTAATTAAAGCTAATTAAAGAACAAGTCGCACACCGTACTTAAGTTCGACGGTCTAGTATGAATGGCCCCTAATTGAAACGGTAGATAGGTGTGTTTATAGTATCGCCGGCGACGCTACAGCAATCTAAAACCATCTCTAACATAACCATTTCTAGGCACACGAACTCCAAAACCACAAGCCGAGGCTCCCGAACAAATCCCAATTGGCTATCTAATATAGGGTTGATGGCTGTATCCCCCATGTGACCCAACAGAGCTGCATGATCTAGGTTGGCCCTAATGCAATAGACGTAATTTCCGCCCGAATTGGCATAAACCAAAACATCAGTCTGGAAACTTGTGTCAAGCCAAGTCCTACGTCAGGCCGGGATTGTGTACGGGTGCAAATGTTAGAACAGGTAGGCCCTGAGGCCAGTCACTGGGAGTATGTTTTATAAATTAAAACCCATATACACCGTAAGATGCAAGTAGCTAATGCCCCTCGTTCTAGACACGTGGTTTCATGAGCCAGAATAACTGGTTCCTGTCCTCTATCAAAGATTTCCGCGACCCCATATTCTATTGAAATTTTTCGACATTTTTTGAATCTTTTGTCCCTCTTCACTTTTATGCCCCCTGTACTCCATGCTATCACGTCATTCCGCTTCCCAGCAAACACATGTATTCGACAGGGTAGAATAGCAGAGTTCCGGCCAATCTCAGATCGGGAGTAGCCCCTGAAACATGAAACAATTATTACAAGACAGAGAAAGGAAGGATAATGGATGCCAAGTGGAGAATATTATCAAGAAAAAAAAATAAGAAAGTAGATAAAGAAAGAAGAGAACAGGAATATCTACTCCTCTGGTTCAGGAGAGAAAAGACCTATCCGCAGTCGGTGGGACTGTGGCCAAGTTAGCAAGACATGAGTATAAACATTGTCGGGCCAGGGGGGTGCGTACAAATGGCAGCTTCGGAATGACCACTCCCAGAGTTGCTAAGAAGTTGATGGTGAAATACGTCAGGTCGTAATGGGTATAATGCGTGCTGAGAAGGAAAAGACAGATCGGCACGCATAGCAAGAACTTCTTCGTCGGGGTATATTGATCTCCATTGTCAATTTGCTCCCACATGTTGAGATTATCATAGGCACCCGCATTGAATTCGAAAGGGATGCCCCGCACCCAGTGGAACATAAGAAACGAGCCGAACATGTAGCTGATATTGGTCAGGGTCCATGAGGTTTCCTGCGAGACCCCGGGAATGATGTCGTAGAAGATCTTCAAGGCAACGATTAAAACGAAATGAATGGTCCAGGCACCTGTAATGAGCAGTCTCCGGTCAGCTCCCCCGGCACTACCATATGCATGGAGGACATGTTGATGCACTCACCCTTGGCATTGACCCAGTTCGCATTTAGATTGGGCAAGGCAGCCTGGTCGCTGGTGCGCTCAATGGATTCCGGTGGCTCCTGATAAATGATGCTGCTTGACCGTCTCCTCCGTCCACCCTTGTTCTGGGACATGCTGGAATCCGGACTCAACCGTTGCGGTTGAGTATCCACCCCCGGGGGGAAGGAAATGGTACGGGGAACTGCGAGGGAAGACACTTTGACGGTATTGAACGGGGTAGGACCGTGGGATCGAGGAAAGATGATGGGGAGAGGAGAAGGCGAAGAGAAGGATTGATTGGGGAGAGGATCGGAAAAAAGAGCGGCCAAGACAGTCCCAGATCGGGTGGAATCACGGTTTGTAGCTAATACGCAAGTAAGTTGTTCGCTAGCTAATGCAGAAGTAGCAGAGGATCTGATCCGTCTTTCAGTTCACTTCCGACCGTCAGATTGGATGATCGGCAGCTGTTTGGGTCACGGGATGGTCACCAATCCGAGGGGGGGCAAAAATGGATGAATTTGGGGGTATTTTTAGGCAAAAACGTTCTCCGGAGGAAATTCAGTGTCACAAAAAAAATATCTATGTTATGTTCATAAAGAGGGTGGCGATTCTATTGAGGGATTTCTGTACACCAAGACAGTCCTTCTGTGGAACAGATTCAATATACAAAACAAGACAAATAATGGAAATAATGAAAATAGTTTGGGGAAGGAAGGTAACGATATATAAAAGTCGAATATTCAATCTCAGGACAAAGAGGGGGGCAAAAGGAATAAAAGACAACAATAATACCAATACTAAGGTAAGGTACGGAATAAACCCCTACTAAGAATAGTCCGAAACGGTCCAGAAGCAACCGAAGAACAAATGAATAAGTTAATTTGGATTTATCTTTCTTCCCACAAAATATTAATAGAATGATCGAGACTTGGTTGGAGTTTAATATCTACAACTTGCGTACACCAGGCTGTTCTAGACAGGCAGCTTTTAAATCTCCACCAGCTTAAATATTCTATGCTCACTCTATAATCTTCTTCGATGAACGTATTTTCCTATTTATTGTTTTATAAACATTCATCCCACCATACCCGGTGGGTTTGATAGACCTTGCGATTTGCCTGTAGTACTAGTATTAATAGGGTATTTTCCAGACAAGTACAGAGATAAACATGCATCCATATACTACTGCCGGGCGGAAGTTCTTCTCTCCGATACTGCACCGATGGTCACTATCAACTACCGTAAATTTTAAGAAACTAACACTCCACCCCAGGTAATTAATTCTTCCCCATCTCAACGCGTTTTCTAATAGTCCTTTCTGCGCTTCAGCTCCTGGTCACAGTATGCCCGATTCACCAGGTGACGACAATAACGATTCCAGAACAGCCTCATTTGGTGTGCAACGCAATCGCGCCACCAGCACCAATGGCTCGCGACAGAGCTCCATAGATAGCAATTCGCACCCCAGGAAAAGACAACGAAGGAATGGAAAGGTGGGGCCTACAGATGCGCGCGACTTTGTTCCGCAAGGTGCCACATTCAGCGCAAATACGTTGGCGGTCGACCCGGATAGTACGTCCAGTTCTGGCTCCTCGGGCAGCGACGATGAATCCAATTCCTCGAATGATGGAAACGAGGCTTCCTCCCAGGTTGAGCCTCAATCCGCAGCTGCTCCTAACTGGAACAAGGCCAGTAGAAGTACCATCAGGACCTCATTGAACAAACGGGGAAACAAGGCAAATGAGGTTGAACAGGATTCTCGGTTTGATGCGGTCAACGATAAGTACTGGCGCAGTCGCAGCGAATCGGTTTCGACTGGTGGCGACAACGATAATGCATCACAGATCAACAGTGATGATGCTTCAGAGGAGGGAGAAGTACAGGAAGATGATTCTTCTGACTCCAGCCGAATGCATCTATCAGGGGACTCCGACGACTCATCTCTGGACTCAGAGGCCGACGACTCGATACTGTTGAATATCAACTCCCGTGGCCAGACACAGCATGCTAGTCAGAAACAAAACGGGGGGCTATCGCTGCAAGATGATGAGTACGATCCAGAGTCTCTTCCGGATTCTCAACGTATTGCCAATGGGCACACCTTTGACGGGGCCAGAGATGGCTCTCCGTCGACGTCGAAGGAGGAGGCATTCCGTCACTTCGCCCAAAAATACCCCACAAACCCCGAGACACTTGCTGATCTTAATCGTGAAGATATGGAATCCCAAGCCAAGTATATCTTCTACGATCGCGAGATTAATGACATAAACCTGCAATTACCAGTCGCTTGCACTGAATGCATGCGGGAGGGCCATCTTGCGGAAGTGTGTCCATACAAGGAGGTGCGTTCTGAAATTTACCAACCTGCTTTTCAGGGAGCTTTCTGGACTGCATGGGAGATAACGGGTGCTAACTACTTATAGTGTGTGCATTGCGGTGCTTGGGATCAACACCAGAGCAGTTTCTGTTCTTCGTGGAGAAGATGTCAGAAGTGTCGAGAGCGTGGCCACGATCAGCAAGATTGCTCTTCGCTCTTGAAAGGTTCCGCATCTGAGATTCCCTGTGATCTGTGTGGGTCTTCGGCTCATTTGGAGCTTGAGTGCGATTTCATGTGGAAAACTCATCGACAAGAGCCACCGTCCGGGCCCGTACTTGTATCCATATCTTGCTCTCATTGTACCAGCAACCACCACTTGGTCGGTGACTGCCCATCCCTACCACAGCCATTGAAATCTTCGTCTTGGACGCTGAGAGGAATTGATCCGAATATGGTCACCAATCTCAATTCCGTGGTTAATGGTAGAAGCGGAGGACCTTCATCTAGAGGTCGAGGTGGGATCAAAATTAGGGGCCGTGCAGATGCACACTCCTCCCCGGATGATAGCGATGACTTGATAACCAGACGGCGCCCCGTCGGTCGTGGTGGAAACCGAGGCAACATTCGAATTGGTAGTGGAATTGGGAAGAACAAGAACCTAGCGCCAGCCGGCTCGCGAGGCTCAGATATGGATTCTCGTCAGTTTTACAGGGATCGTCAGGATTTCCATTCAGGCACCGCGCGGCAGCGCTCCTTGTCCCCCAACCCGCGCCGCGGAAGAGGCAAGGATAGCTGGCAACCTGCACCTCGCTCGCCCCCACGAGGCCAGTCCAGACCGCCTCCTCGTGGAGGAAGAGGTGGTGGTCGGGGACGTGGTGGACGTGGCAATGGTAATAAACGAGGGGGTAACGGCGATGCTTATCGTCCAATGCCGAGCGCCGCTAAAAAGGCTTGGGATAGGTACAGACTCTGATATATGAATAACTAATACAGCGCAGGTGGTTGCTCGGCTGGTTGTATATACGGCGACATTCCACTTACGCTTGGCGCCTATTGCAACTTGATTGGTGCATGATACCCTTGGCTAACATACATATTTACTGTTGATGGTATTTGTGATGCCCTTCAATGCCATTTAATGTGTATTTGGAACCTCATGCCTGGGCCTTTGGTCAGGTCTTTGTCTACTGAGGCAACTATGTCCGTACATGATCCACGACGGATACAAGCAGCCACACGGGCCGCGGTAATGAACAGCAGCATGCCACGTGAATTACATGGGCCAAGAGGGTTCTGACTGTTTGTCTAATCCTGAATATAGGCATACCGATGGCTGCCAGGCATCAGTGACAGGGTATGGTATAAGCCGACCCACTAGTCACTGGTAGGAACCTTGTCGCCACCACGGTTTCCGACAAAACCTCCATCTAGGATGTCGATGAGCTCATCTAATCGCTCAATGCACAGATCCGTATGGGGATGCTCCTTGAGATGAACGTTGTGGTCGTTCAGGAGCAAGACAGTCGCAGCGCCTGCTGTATGGCCAGCAGTCATATCATCGATACTGTCACCAACCTAGCATCATATCAGTTCCCAGAGAAAAAGAAAATGACCTGGAATGCAAAAGAAAAAACCCACCATGATTAAATTATCTCCTCGGCTATCCAGCCCCCATTCATGAGCAATATGCAAAATCCCCGCTGGATCAGGCTTAGGCATTAGCCCCGGGGTCTCTCTTGTAATGATTGGCAGAAACACGTGAGCAGGAAGATGATTATTTAGAAGATGCCGTACTGGTGTTCTGCCACAATAGTATTAACCTTGACCATCCACTCTAGTCCCTTACATCTAGTCTTGGGGAGAGGGTGGAGTAAACCGTCTTACTCAAAATTCCGTGTACAAAGCGCCCTCTTGACACCCCGTTCGTGGAGGTAATCCATGAGTTCCACTAGTCCCGGCTGAGGCTCCTGGGTTTGCATAGCCTCTCGCTCGATGCTCTTGATCTTATTTGCAGCTTCGAGCTGTTGCTCGGGAGTTGGGAGACTGCTAATATGGTGCAAGATGTCGATCTCCTTGTGGAGAATCCCAAGAGACTCTCTGTAGAACATTTAGGGTACATCACGTAAGATGGAAAACGATGTCAGATATTAGCAACGTACCGCATCTTGACAAACATGTGGTTCTGGGGAAGACTGTGTACATATCAGTTGATCAATAGAACGAGCCACCGAGACAGGGATCATGGGAATGGAAGTATCAAGTACCATAACGTTCCGTCCACGTCGAAAACGATTCCCTTCAGCGGTGGGGCACTCGATGCTCCATTTCTCTCGGGGTTAAGAGGAGCGAATCGTCGCTGACGAAGGGGGTAAATCTGAGCCGAGGCCATGATGCGTCCGAGTTGCGGCAGGGACCGCGGGGCGAACATTCGAGCTGGGGGAGGGGGACGTTGGAGTGGAGGCTCAAGAGGTTGTTTTGATGTGGCGTGGTTCGATGAAATGGCGGAGATAAGATTGATAAGGTTTTGGAGTGCGGAGATTTCGGAAATACTCCAGATGATCAATACTCTCTCTCGGTTGTTGAATAGCTGGATTGACTACCTCTGATTGTTCCCTATATTGCAACCTCGAAGGATGTTCGACAGCATAAATAGCACCATTGTGGTGAGTACAGTAGACAAAGAGCCTTTGCGCTGTTCACTGAGTCCCTGACTGTATCAATGTAGTATCCATACTCTACAATGAAGCTGTGAGCTGCTATTTGTTACTGATTCTTTGTTTCATGTAGGTACTTAGGGCTGCTTCATTTACTATGCAACAAGAACCACAGCCCTGGCTATACTATATTGTTATAACCCCGATTGTCTATTCCCACAACACGCAATATGAAACCTCCTACACAACTAGCACGTGAAGTCTTTCAGGCATGACGTTGATTGTATTTATCTAGGTAAGAGGACCGGTCATCTGTCATACAATTCGACAACATGGGTAGCTATCTATCTCCCTAGAAGACAGATCATTGTATTAATGTTGCTATCTCTTTGACTATATCTGTGACAGCCTCTGTGTCATAAGCGGCAGTGTGATAACCACACTTGTCTCCGGATCTTCCCTGGCTTGCAAGAAGACTCGTGTGAACCACGGACAAAGACATACAGGGCCATTTCTTAGGGAGAAGCTTTTTCAGCAGTCTTGCCACATCAATATTTTGAAAGTTTGAGCATTGATGGTGGCTTTGTTTAGGAACTAATAGCTCCCGACTTCCTGTAAGCACCCTTTGGAAGCATTGCATATCCTGCTGACTGTACCATGAAAGGATACTAATTCTTTTTGGACTGTAGTTCAGCTTCTGGAGTATTTCATCCCGGATCTCATCTGGCCCCAATCCATTCGTCATGGTGTCACCATAGCAACGTTCAAATGACAGCTGTATATGTCTATCCGCATTTTCCAAATGGTTCACTTTGTCAAGGAATTCAATAAGGGTCAGGTCATAGTTAACATTCCCTGCCAGCAGCAGTTTGCCATCAAGCTGCCTGATAGCAAGCTGGAGTAGTATCGGAGACACTTCTCCACCCACAGTGAGGTACTCGAAGTCAATCACCCAGGTATTCTGAGGACTCTTGTGATAACTGCTTGACAGAGCCTCAACACCCCTCCTCGTATCATCCGTAAGGTTCAGCTCCCATTTTGACATTGGAAGTTCGGCACCTGCAGCTTTCAATGACGACACATGGTCGATGATCCTCGATGAGTGGTGAGGGCAATATTTGGAGTATGGATGCCGTGGTAATGGGCAAGTTATAATCGAGCATGTCTCCTCGCCATCAACCAAGAAGAAAATTCTTGGAGACAGTATTTAGCATCGACCGGCGATGTTTCTTGCGCCTTATCTCCATATGGCGTCTATTACTATCCTCAGTGACCTCGTCCACCTCATCTACATCGGAGGCATCAGAGATATCCTCCAGTTCAGTGATCGAATCTGTCACATCATAGGCATTATCAGTCCCTCTGCCAGGCTCCCTTGATTGAAACATAGTATATGGCGTGGTAGACATACCTTCTTCCTCTTGCATCACTTCACTGGTATTGAAATCTTCCACTTTATCAGAAAACGGTACCTTTATACCCCGTGGCCTCAAATCCCCGATTAGTTCCTCTGTCAGAGAGTAGAGGTGGTCGTACGGTTGCGATGCAGGCCGACATAATGTAAAGTCGCCTAGCCTCAAAAGCTGAAAAGGCTTTCGGGCGGTATCTTTCAGAAAAACAACCCGCGAGCCCAACTCGAGAATGCTGTTCACTAGTAGTTCAATATTCATGTATCTTCCTTGAATAGGACTGTAGAACCTAATGGCCCCATTGTACGCATGGATTGGAGTCGTATAAAGAGTCCATGTGCTGGTATATCTCCGTGGGCGCCAGCGCTCTTCAGCCCGTAAGAAGAGCGGTTCAACGTCCATCACGTGAAGCACAGGACTAAGCCTGAACACCTCGAAGAGTCTTTCGATAGTCTTGTAGTACTCTTTTACCTCGGGTTCTAGCCAAGAAAGGCAGACTCCATGGTCAATTGTCCATCCTTGAAGGTATAAGATGCTTGCCCTAGATGCATTCATACTCTGAGAACCCCACAACGACAATACCAAGGTCAATAGTAGGTGTTCATCGCCGAAAGAGAGAATCACAGCCCACTGAGCCGGGGCCCCAGGATATGGACAATCATAGTCCAGCTCAATGCGCACAGGGAGGGCTGAAGTCACCTAACGGATTAGTGTTAAATGCAAATCATGGCTCACATAAGAATATTTAGACCTCATGGTTCTGTACTCACCTTACTACTTGAAGTGACTATGCTTCGACAAATTAACGCAACACAGTTCTTGACTTCCTCATAACAAGGTCTAACTGAGGCATAGCAGCCCATATGATCATCACTTGGCACTCGTATATCGAAACCAGGAGCAAGTTCATAGAGTTGCTTATTGACATCGGCGACTCGAGAGATAGAACTCTTGCTTTCACCTTCACTATTCATGTATGTGCTCTCGGCGTGGATATTCAGCGAAGGCCGCTCATTTGATGGTGAGTTAGACACGGTAGGTGGAGGAAGAAGATGGCCTGGGTGGGAAAGGATATTCGGACAACCTAAAAAGTTATATGCATCTTCAAATGTATACAGCCTTCCCAACCTCCCCGTTTCGATGCCAATAAATGGAATAGGGTGTCGGAACGTATGGAGCTAGATGAAACATGGATCAACTTATGTCAATTAAAGAGGATGGGGACTAACCCTAGGATCAGATGCTTTCAAAATCAACGCTTCCCTCAGCTGTCTTGGGGGTAAATACAAATAATAAAAGAATTCGGCTTTAATTGAAGAGCTCTCATTGTCGATTGGATCCTCATCATCGATTGAACTCTCATCGTCAGATCCTGTCTCTCCTGTGCCTCCCTGTGGTGCTAATACTGGTTCTGCCCGAAGAACTTTAGGAAGTTTATCGACCCTTTTAGATCCAGGGGGCATGGCGACTATCTGGAACTCATCTTTCATCCACCGTCTCAATAAATTATTGCTGATTGAAAGTTTTCGAGCCGCTACTTCCATGGTAATTGGATCCAAGTTCACGGGTGGACATTCATACGATCTGGCCTCCCTGCAATAGCGAATCGCGGAAAGCTTCTCTTCTCGTGTATAGGTGAACCGTCTTGGCCGACACATCCTATTTGCAGCTCTCTGGTTACCTATTCGTGTGAGCGACCGGTATTGCTCCTCTGTGAGAGGCTCAACTAGTGCAGGGGCACCGTCCTGGTAACCCGGTCGAGCTCTCGAACGCCCCCAGCTCTGACTCAACTTGCATGATGAATCCAACATATCGCCTACGCTGTTCTCGATTGATTGTTGATTCCGTTCAGTGGTATCATTCTTGTTGATAGTGGATGCCATGGTTGCCTATCTCGACTGTCTCAAGTTCCTATGATTGAGTATATCCTTGAATACAGACTGGGATTATGGGGAAAGGACCATTTATCATAGGAGCGGGAAGTTAAAACAAAATTAAGCAATAATTAACTGTGCTAATGTTGAGAGAGAATGAGAGGTTGTGTTCGAAGTTTTCTTTGAAAGGTAGAACTAGTCAACTGATTGTCCTCAGTATGTCAAGAGGAAGGAGAAAAGAAGAGAAAGAAGATGATAATAATAAAGGTTGATTTTTCTAGCTATCCGGGGGAAATGTCTCTTTATAAATATTGTAAAGTCCTTTGTTTTGAACTTCTGCTATGTTTTCTTCTTCGGTTTTGAGATAGCTGCTTTATTCTTTATATTTCATGCTTCAGAGGTCTAAGAATAGTCTGCCTTTGAAAAGGCAGGTGCAACCATACCAAAGGACGCAAGGGCAGGTATTTCAGCAAATAGAGAAGGTCCCCTTCCCTGTTTGGACAAGAACAGAGCCAATTCACTTCGCAGCGCAAACGGAATTCACTTGACATCTTCAGCTATGAATCTTGATCTAAATTCACTACAAAGAAACTCATTCATCGCGTTTGAAATGAGCCCCGGCACTATGGTGTGCTTTGCAAGGCATTTCAACTAGATACATGGTGGGTAAAGGTATTTATAGGGATTGTGCCTTTTTCAGAATCAAAGATCTCATGAAGGCTTGCTTGCGAGTGTAGTTCTGCCCGAAGCCCTGGCCATATCTCTTGCGATCTTTACTGCGGGAACCATCTTTGTAGTCGTCCGGGATGCTCAATAAACACTCATAATCGTCTACTGAAAGCTCTTCTCCGTCTCGTATGATCATAATTTTGTCAGTCATGATTTCCCATAGTTTTGCATTCGTGCCGTTGTAGAAGAATCCATTTCGAGGACAGAAATTAGGACGAATTGTGGTTGTTGACCAAATTCGATGAAGCTGATCATCAGAAATATCACAATACTGCCAAACATTGTCATCAGTAAATAGTTTTTTTCCAGCAAATATGTGAGACTCGTTGCCGTGGTCAATGGTAATCACGTTATGGAGTGATACTTCGCCGCACATTATTATTAGAGGATCGGCCTTTGGGATTATGGGTCTATAGTCATACGGAAACTTGTAAGTTTGGTATATCCTATATTTAGGGTCCCGCCTTGGGTCAATACCAAAGCCTACAAGTGCATCTTTCCAAGGCCCACTTGTGAAGGAGTAACCACAGTAAGGGAGTGCTTTGGATAGACTTGAAAGATCTGGGGTGCGAGAGAGATGTTTCTGATGGCAAGCTAGCCGGTGGCCCGCTCGGTATGTGGGCTGAAACTATCGATATTTCCAACTTGTTTTGCGCATTAGAGCAAGGCTTGGTGTCTGTGGGAGAGAGAGGGGCAGGGGGCGTACTATCCCCCCCTGATAACCATACTCCTGTTGCTGAACTGAGGCGGACCGGCTTTGGGGAAGTCTAAAATCATCCGACTCATATATATCCTCGCTCAGGATATCTGACTCATATGTTTCCTCGCTCACGCCATCACCCTCTTCCAATCGGGCAACCATACTTGCGGCTCTAGGATGATCACCCAGATAATGGCTGATGTGATACTTAATGCTATTCCAAAGATGGAATCTCTTGACAGTGACACTTGGATGCAGTGAGAGATTGACCTAGGTATCTTCAGGAGTAGGGAGACAGATACAGGCCAGTCATATGGGTTGGGTATCGTGTGTTGGTCAGGTGGATATGAGAAGCAGGTGAAAACTGTGAGAAGCAGAGATATAAATAGTCATTATCGGTGGGGCTTCTCAGTGCTTACCTAGGGTAACATTCTGAGAGTGAATGTGGTATCTAAATATATCAGCACAACGGTTGCTTATAAGTTACATATAACCAAGGAAAGGTAATGTACTTTGGTGAATTCTCCAACGATGGATATTTTCGACTGTTCAGGATAGCCCATCCATTGTATACAGGGGGGTAAGAAAAAAGAGAAAAGAAAGATGGTAGATATGGATCTTCTAGAACCAATACCTTCATCTCACTTGCCTGTGGGATTATGTGCATACATAGATGATACTAGTAAGTGTGGTCAAGCTAGAATTCTTACAGGCATATAATTGACCGAAACCGTCTATCACCCAGCTAAACATGCAAATGTAGGATATATTCCAAGACAGCTTCCTATCCCTGGTTGAATAGGAAATAGACATTATAGCTGTTTTGTAGTATATTTTATATATCGTATGAAAGACTATACCTCTGAATTAGAGATATAGTATACAGTTGTCGCCATGGCCATGGGTAACTGGTCCGAAGAGATCATTACCTGTAATGATGATCAATATGTCACACTGGCGGAGATCTGAGTAGAAATAGATGTTCAAGCCGGATAAGACTCCCTCGCCCCCGAAAGCTGTAGACACTCGGCGGTAAAGCAGGGGAACCAGCAACCAGTTACCAGGCTATCGTGACTCGCGCGTCTGACGGAACGATGCGGTGGCCTGTGCAAAGCTCGGTGTCTGAATCAGGGTTTCTGTAAAGCCTGGCAGGCGATGCTGGAGGGTGGTCGATATTGCATTTGTGTTAAGGTCGGGGGTGGCTGCGGCTGACGAGTAGCATACACGGAATAGTGTAGACAATGGGTCAGAAGATGAATGGGTAGAGGGATGGAAGTCTTCCAACCTTGCTGCCTTGACAGCCGCATCGGGATAGAGGGGAACGGGAGCAGGGATTGGAGATGGTAGCTGTGCCTATGAAGCCATTATGGATGAACCAGTTGGAAAAAGCATTAAACTTTTAGGATATTGTACAAGGAGCCATATTATCTATTTCGAGGATGGCGACACAATAGGTCGAACTGTAGACGAAAATATATCGTATACCATATGCTTATATTTATAACTCAAGAAACCAAAGAGCTAGGTAGGCCACGTTGTTCTCTAATATATATATATATATTGAGAGGACATAGCCAACCAGGCTGAGTGTGACTGAATCAGGGTTGTAGCAATACTGCAATACACTCTGTTGCACAATAACAAGAGGAATCAGATTCTTTCAATTATAGATAGAATATTACTGAAACACCAGTTGCTGGCCTGGTATTCCATGTTTAGAAAGTCTCAAGGTAGTCCTAATTTAGATTAGGGCTCCATGTGCGGAGTAATCCGTTGCGTTATATAGCATAGACTGCATATTAAAGAAAGATAGGACCAAAAGGTAACAATATGGCAAGATGACCGAGTGGTTAAGGTGTATGACTCAAGAGATATTCTTGTCCTAGAATACTAGGATTTCATATGTCGCAAGACGCGTGGGTTCGAATCCCACTCTTGTCAACTCTTTTTGTTGTTTTACAACTCTGCACAGCTATACCATACCTGGTCTGTGTTTGGCTTTTTCCCCTTCTTCATAGGCTGTTTTTGAAGTGGTGGATAGTACGGAGTAGACGGTGCCTTCAATGCGTACGGTCGATTTCCGGAGAGCTTGTACCATCTGCACCTTCAACTAGATCCAATAGAGTTAGCCGCAAGCGCTAGCCCTCAATAGGAAGCGGTGAGATGGAAAAACAGCAGAATCCTTTTTGCAGGCTTGTTGATTTCTATCGTCAAACCCGACTTACATGCCGATTCAAATATTATATAACGCGTTCTATTTAAAGACTACAGCAGCTGGTTACCCCGTTGTCAAACAATCAGTGCTGAACTAGTCTAAGGTGATCATATTAGCGCTAGAGGCCCTGGGGTCTCTGCCACCGCGCCGCCGACGGCTTCCCTTGGTATGTTCGAACCCTGAGTTCGGAGCTGATATAGAATCGGGCCGTTGGATATACACAGTATATTACAGACCCCCCGAATCCCAGTCCCTTGTGCATTTTACCTGGTCCCTCATACTCTTCACCTTGCGCGGCAAGAGATCGCCTGATCAAATAGCTCTTTTCCCAACAACGAGATTCCACCGAAATGGGGGTTCTCTAAGCTATTCGGTGGAGGAATTAGACTAAGGAAAAAGAATCAGTTCTTTTGTCTGTTTTACTATTCCGCCAATAGACTTTCCTTCTTCTCTTTGCTTCCGTATCCTTGCCTAGTTGACAGGCAAAATCAAATTCGTCGCCCCGGTGGGTTATCTCATCTTCCGGGGTCTCAACTTGCGCGGTATCTTAGTAGTAACAGGCTATTGCTAACCAACTAAGTAGCTAAATTCACCCTAATTAGTCATCATTGGCAAGATGACCGAGTGGTTAAGGTAAATTACCAATTCTCACCTTCTTTTCATCATTTTCTAACAATTCCACAAAGGTGTATGACTCAAGAACTATTCTTGTCCTTGAATAACTAGGATTTCATATGTCGCAAGACGCGTGGGTTCGAATCCCACTCTTGTCACTATTTTTTGCTGTAGCCACTGCTGTGGCCGTACTCAGATACACGAATATCCTATTCTACAGACGGGTTTGCTAAAAGGACCTCTTGAAAAGGCATTTGGACCTACAACTGTTGAGTTAGGACATGCAGCTAGACGTAGACCGGAAAGCGGAACAGCAATCTAAGAAATACTAGTTCAGCCTCATCCAGTTTGTTAACTATAGAACCCCGATATTTATATCTATTCTTGTTCGTACAGTTTACCCTGCCCCTGGTTTATAGACAACGCGGTGGCGGAACAACAGTCTCAGGTTATATCCGTTGCCTTTTTAATATCATTGATTTATTACATTGAGCCCGTACCCAGACAAGGTTATAAAAATGGGGAAAATTCTATAGAAACAGAATTCCTGGCATTGCCGACTCACTGCAGGCCGTATAGGCTACCTTTGTCAAATTGACTGTCCTACACGATCTAGATCTAGGTTTACAAATCGAATGGCCTTATCTACTCGAACCGCTGGTTGCACGGGCCTGTGGAAGACCTAAGGGATCTAGAAATTAAGAGATATCAGGCGTCAAGCGGACTGAACAAGCGCTTCGGCAGACAGGCCGGCAGTCAAGCAGTCAGCCAGGTAGCAATCCTACTATGCTGGAAGATTCTTCGTGAGTACGATATATTAGTAGCTTCAAAAGTTAATTTATAGTATTTTAAGTAAAGGGTATGATTCCTTCCTTAGGTAGTTTAGTGTGAGGTCCAAATAATATGTCCCTGTGGTTACTCGGGTATTCATAGCTGTATCCTATTCGGGATTAGCCCCCACAATTAGCCCTATACAGTATAGTGGGTGGCACAGATGGCTTTTGAAGAGGTTTTTCTAATCCAATCTTTGCAAAGCCTTTCCATTAACAAGGCAAGATGACCGAGTGGTTAAGGTGTATGACTCAAGAGATATTCTTGTCCTAGAATACTAGGATTTCATATGTCGCAAGACGCGTGGGTTCGAATCCCACTCTTGTCAGATCTTCTTTTTGTCTCCATTACTTTAATTCTTTTTTTGCTTACCTGTCCTGGCGGTGGCAGGCTGCTAGATCTATATAAGTTGCGATCCAGGCAAAATTACACATATAGTTTCAGTATGGTCGCCTCTTGGCTTAGAATAGGAACGGAATAGAAGCTGGCTACCCCGCCTTATAGAGTGTAGGAATCCGAATTTAGAACTTTCATAATATTAATCTGTATTGATGGTATCTATCGCCCCCAATGACTATATCTTCGCGCTCAATATCATTTCATCATACGAGCGATCCAATCATCCCTCGCCTTAGCACTAGCTTTCGAAAGAGCAGCATCAGGAACACATAACTCCGATCCATGAAAAGCACCAGGCCAAACATGCAATTCAACCAGGGCCCCCGAAGCCAGAAGACCGGACGCATATGCAATGCTCTCATCCCGAAACACCTCAGCCGAGCCAACATCAATGTACGTCGGGGGCAAATTGGACAGATCCTCAGCGCGCCCAGGTACAGCGTAGATGTTAACATTCTCACCCCTCACTTCCTTTTCACCAAGAGCAAACTCCCAAGCCATTTCGCCAATCGCCCGCGTCCACGGCAGCTGGTCACCGCACTGCGTCGCCGACACCGTCTCATGGCGGTCATCCAACATGGGCGCGAGCAGCATCTGAGCGTGAACTTCAGGACCACCGCGGTCTCGCGCGAGAAGGACTGTCCCGGCGGCAAGACCGCCCCCGGCTGATGAACCGACGATGACTATGCGGCTGGGATCAATGCCCAGCGAATCTGCGTTCAGGCTGGTCCATTTTAGAGTTGCATAGCAGTCTTCCACTCCGGCCGGGGCGGGGTTTTCTGGCGCCAGTCGGTACTCCACTAGTACACAGACTGCACCAAACTCGGGCACCCATGCAGCGGCAATAGTCGCTCCTGTGAAGCGGTTGCCCAAGACCATGCCTCCTGAGTGTAGGTAGATGATGCATGGTCTTTTGCTGTTCTCTTTGCCAGTGGATGATTGTAGGATAGAAATTTGAATGTCTCCGCGCGGCCCAGTTATTGTTCGTTCCTCATGGGTAATGAATGGAGAGACGGCTAATATTGAATCAATGGTGCTTGCACTCTCTACAAATTGTCGCGCAGCTGGAAGACTTTCCCGTGTGTACATCCCCGAGAGGGGTAGCTTAGGGAGGGCTATTTCAAGCTCTCGGTCAAGGGAGGGCATTTTGTTGTTGTCGAAGGGGGGCTTGGGGAACAAATCAAGATAAGAAGAGGAAAAAGGAAGGATAGAGTCGAGGTAGATGGATATGTTTTACCAAGTGACGTTCCCTCCTGAACAGCGTGATGACACGAATTATATAGTACCTTCGTCTCCTTTAAACCAAATCCGGTCACATGAGTCAATTTAGAGGGCCAGGGTCATGCCCCGAAACATTGAACGTACGCAGATCTCCAGCTTTTAACATGATCCAAGATCCACAGTGAAGTAGAGTGTACATCGTACATACATGAAAAAAAAGTCAAGGATGCGTTTCTGAGCACTACTCGATCTATTCTATGCTTAGCTTTTGAGATCCACTCGGATATTCGACTTCTCCCTGACCCGCTCTAGCCTTCCTGATAGTCTAGAAGACTATAACTATCCGTCGTAACTGAAGTATACCTGCTGTGTATGCAACATACAGCCCCAACGCCAAGACTCACTTAACTGCGCATGGTTAGATTCAAAAAGACCCCTCGATCTGTCTCATAACTTTGTATTGTAATGGACCGTAAGATCCCCAGTTCAATAGTACGTACTGTGCAGGAACACGAGTAACCCCGTCTTACACTAGAATCCAACAACTGTCCGACACCTCTTCCCAAATCAAATCCCACACCCATCAATCTTCACTCCAACAATGGCCCACACCTTCTACGACGGAACCATCCCGGTGGTCCAATCCATCCTCAACTCCCTATCCCACATCCTCCAGCAGGCCTCGCAACAGCCCAATGCCAACATTCTCCTCGCAGCCCGTCTCCACGAGGACATGTACCCACTAACCGACCAAGTGCGCATCACGACCCAGTTCGCCGCGAACCTGGTCGCAAGACTGACCGGCCAGTCGCCGGTGTCGTTCGAAGGCAGTCCCGCGACATATGTCGAGTGCCACGAGCGCATTGAGACGGTGCTGAAGGCGCTCAAGGATGCCGACAAGGAGGTCGTCAACCAGCACGCCGACGTCGTGGCGTCGACCCCCATGGGCCCTGAGACGGCGGTTGAGATGTCCGCCGCTGCGTATGCTCATCGCATTGCCTTGCCCAATATCTATTTTCATCTTACGACTGCGTATGGAATCCTGAGGAAGGAGGGCGTGCCGCTGGGTAAGCGGGATTATTATGTGGGCTTTTTTCCGAGTCTCGGGGGTCAGTAGAGGGTGATCTTTTGGTTTCGTTTTCTGGATCTAGGTGGCTATAGCTGAGGGGTTGCTGGTGGGTTTGAATTTCCTGATATTGGTGATTGGACTAAGAGATTTAGTGTTGTGGATTGATTAGACGGATGGGGTTTCTGGATGTCAGAGTTAGATATAGAGGAATAATATTCCACCTTACTAGGGTTTTGTTGACATAGTAAATTGGAGATTATTTAGCCCGGTAGCTGAGGACTCTCTCCTCCGACGCTAAGTGTCAGCGGTAATATACTCCAGCCATTACACTGGTAAACACTTTCTATCTATTACCCACGAAGAAATCGACAAGAGATTATCTCAATAGGTAGACCTACAGGTCATGCCGAGATCTAGACGCAGCTATTTTTAATACTCGTTCCACACATTCTGTATCCAGAGGGGCGCGAGAATAAGTCATTATGACTATATTCAGATCCCGACTAACCGTGCCCTAACAAGCAGAGCGTGAGAGCGATTGATACTGTATACAGATCACTTGCAAAAGTGATTAACTTGAGAAACATGAGGTTCAAGTAAAAGACAAAATTGGATTTGATAGGTAATAGTAGTATCAAGTCCCAGTCTAAGTGGCGACACAGCTTACAGTATAATCTTACCCTACCCTAGCTTCACATTAATCCCACCCGAATCACCCAGATATACCAATAAATAAACCACCCCCAAACAAGAACAAACAGCATAAACACTGCATTAGTAACAAGCCAAAAAGCCCCGACTAGCGAATGACGTAGACCCCGTGCATTGCATCCATGGTACATGTGACGTCTCCCCCGCACTGCCAATCGAAGTACAACCACGTATATAAACCCCCCTCACCAAAGACCTTCCCCAACAGTTACTACTCCATTTCTCAAAATGTCCAACTCACTAGATCTAACCATCTGCTCAACCTGTGGAACACAGTATCCGACAATATGCGAATCATCGTGTAAAATCTGCGACGATCCGAGGCAGTTCATTCCTGCGACTGGGTAAATCTACATTCCTCCCCCCCGCTTCTATCTCCAAGTACAACGCAGGCATATTCCTAAACGAAGAAGAGAGGTACCGGTAGTACCGATACTTACTGTATATCTAATCTACACAAGGAAAAAAACGGATACTGACTATAATATATCCCTCTCAAGACAATCCTGGACAACGCTCCGCACTCTCCAAAGCTCCAAAACATATCATAACGAATTCACCCCAGATTCCATCCACAAGGATTTGATCTCCATCCACACCGTCCCAAGAGTGGCAATTGGCCAACGTGCCCTACTATGCCAGACGCCTACCGGTAATATCCTCTGGGATTGCATCACCTATATCGATGACGAGACCGTCGCCAAGATCAACGAGCTAGGTGGTTTGAAAGGTATAGTTGTATCGCATCCGCACTTCTACACGACGCACCTCCACTGGGCGGAGATCTTTGACTGTCCTGTTTATTTGGCTCGGGAGGATCGAGAGTGGGTGGTGCGCACGGGGCAGAGGCAGGTCCTGTGGGATTCGTCACGGTTGCCGGTTTCTGGGACGGATGCTGATTTGGTGGCTGTGAAGACGGGGGGTCATTTCCCTGGGAGTTCCGTGCTTTGGTGGAGGTCATTGAGGGTGCTGTTGGTTGCTGACTCGATCGGGGTGGTGCCGAGTGGGATCTATCATGTTGGGAGGTTGCCGGGGACTGTGTCGTTTACTTTTATGTGGTCTTATCCTAATATGGTCTGTCCTTTCTTGTATTTCTTATCTCTTTTGTTTTATTTTGCTTGTTGTTGGCTGACCGACACAGATACCTTTGCCGCCGGATGATGTGCATCACATCTGGAAGGCCGTCAAGGATGTGGATTTTGATGATATCCGTGGTGGCTTCATGGGAACGGATGTAAACGGCAATTGTAGACAGCGTGTGCTAGAGAGTGCTAAGATCTTTGTCAAGTCCATGGGACATTTCGACCATGCAATTCATGAGGAACAATGTCATTAACACGAGCCCTATGTATATGGAAAACAGCAAGTACAGCCTGGTAGAATGAACAGACCCACGGCTGTCTCACAATGATCCAGCCAATGGGTTAACAATAAAAACCGTTCAGCCAAAGCACCAACTCAGATACTCAGAGCATCGCTAAGAATAATTCACTATGACAGGTCCGAAAACGGCCGCACAGAAGTCGCACTCCGACCTCTTGTACAGAGGGGTGTCATGGACAAAGTATTACCATACGACCCTTCACTGATAGAAAATCTTCCCGGAAAACTCTCCGTCGACCGAGAAGATCTTGACACCACCTCTATTTTCAAGGTCGCATGCGAGTCGTTCGCAAGGGCCGACCCAACAGGGTCAACAGACCACGGCCGACCGACAGGACTCAAGCGCGGTCTCTCAGCCCGGAACGTAGCATATTCTGGGTCCAAAGTAGACACGCTGTACTGATTCACGTGAGGAGACCCAGCATGAGTGACAGACAAGAGTCTTTGTTCTTCTTCGTTGGCGCAGAGTAACCGTTGTGTACTGCTGCTTTGGCTTGCTGGTCCTGAGAGTTGAGGGCTGGGAGGCAAAGGTTCCACGCTGCGGCTTGACCCACACTGCCACAGACGGAATCCAGTTGGTATACCGGGTGAGGTATGAATAAGAGGACTCTGCACCTCAGACGATATCCGGCTCTCATCGGCAGGGCCATCGACTGCTGGAAAAGGTGCTATCTCGATTGCATCCCGAATTGTGGGCGAGCGGAAGACACCCTCGGGCATGATGGATAAGAAAATATCAATGATCAGTTGCTCTCGGCGAACAATAGCTCGAGTGACTGGGTTTTTCAGTGGTCGTCTGCGGCTCTTGTCCAGGCGAAATAGGAATGCGATGGCGTGGAGAAGCTTCAGAGTTATGATGGCTCCCAGAAGAGAGAGGACTTCACCGGTGCTGATGATGATGGGGTTGTTGGGGGGAAGAGTAGACTCTTCGTCGGTGTGGGTTGCCATGAGAGCTGATGGAGTAGACTTTGCTGGAAATGAGTGTGTATATCAGAAAGGATGTCAAATAGGCTGATAGTTCTTGTGAAGAGAACGAAAAGTGGGCTTGAGATATGAGAGCGTTCATGAGTATGAAGAATTGCCCGTTCACGTAGTAAGGAAAGAGCAACTGGGCACAACACCTCCACGACAGATACTTCCCAACTGCTTACGGTCTCTACGGCTTTTTGTGGTCTGAACCCATTCACGGCTTCTGATAAGTAGAATAGCATTCGCCTTCCGGAAGCTAAGTATTAAGTCTGTTAATGAAAATGACCGTAACTTCTATAATCGAACCACCTGGTGCAGCGGGAGAGAGAGATGAAGGTCCTGATCCTGTATACATAGAGACGTGGTCCATTCCTACTGCCGAACAAGACAAGCAGATGTATCAAATCCTCAATATCAGCGAGGTAAAAACTCCGAAGCGACGAGCATCCAATCCTCCCCCGGCCCTTCCGTAGCCAAAGCGCCAGTCGGCGTCCACTGCACCAAAGGATCCTGATCCTGAAACGGCGTAATAACACTGAACCCCCCTTCCCTAAATTTATAGAAGAAGAACTTCAAAGGATCTACCGCGCTACTGACTGAGGGGCACACCAGACGTTGTTGGTTGTCCAAGGAAAGGGCCACAGACCGGTGTGTGTTGCCCTTTTCCATCAACGTGAGCTGTAAAATGTCTCTGCCGACTAGGATCAGAGGTTCACTGCGCTTGGGGCACATTTGGAGGCAGAATTTCGAACGGTTCCTTATTGAAACATTCACTTCAACTTTATTGGGAGGCACAAACCACCACTCTTGTGCATTCCGGTTGCGGATGTAGTAGCATCGATTGTTGACGTGGCCAGAAGCATTGTCGTCAGAAGGATTGGTAGGGTTGATAGTTATCTGGTTGGTAAGGGGGCTGATGAAGAGTTTCCCTTTCAGCCAATGTTGAGCTCTCTGTGGGATGTCCCGGTTCGTGCCCTGGTGGATTTCGGTGATGAGATTGGTCAATAACATGTCGGTATTGTCCTGGGTTGGATCGACGGACCAGAACGTGGGGGAGTAGATTGTTTTAAGTGGAGTAAATCCCAATGCCTTTATGGGGGTGTGCTCTTGCAGTTGTCGGTAGAAATAGTCGGCAGTCTCCCGGTTAAGGGTGGTGAGAACATACAAGCTGCTGTTGAGAGCGCCTCTCACTACTATATGGACATAGTATGGCATCTTGAGGCTCTCAGGCGTAGAACGATAGAGCAATGCCAAGTAGTGATGGATAATGAGATGTATCTGGTAACGACTGTCTTAACGAAATAGATAGTGAGTAACAGGCAGGTGTGGTACCATGTACTGAATGAATGAGAGAAGAGCCTCGACTTAGAAGTTCTCCGGATTCTCCACGGTCGTTCTTTCCTTCTGATATGTCCTCGCTGAGAGGAAACCAGGGAGGAAACTAAGAAGGACGCCTGTACTAGTATGAGATGGACGGGGTATCGTTTCTCTAGAATGTATAGATTGGCTCATGCGATGGTCAATCCAGAATACGCCAGCATATGTTCACAAGTTAAGAAAGATAGGTAATCGAGGGAAAACGTCAAAATTAAAATACTGGTCTGTGCCGCCATGGTCGGGTGTTCACACCGTCGATTATGAATGTGCATATTGTGATCCTGAACTCTAGAATATATCAACACGAACACGATCGAGTGCTTTTGATTCGAATTATGCATGGCAAGAAGAATCATCACCAATAGCCAACAAGATATGTGGAAGAGAAGGGAATCGCTATTGGACATCGCAGGTACATGGTATTGTAAGGAGAAAGAAAACCAAAATTTACAGCCTCATCCACCCTTTGCCCGATAATAAACATGTTGTAAAATCAAGTCATCGTGCGTATGCAAGGACGCTAGGCATAACATACGTAGAATCATAAGAAATAGAAATTGGTGAATGGCAGAAGTCGTAATGTCGTAAGGAAGTATTGGCATCCACTCGTCAAGCGAGACTAGTAGAGAGACTCCTCATCGACCTGATCAGGGCTTGCTCGATATTGACTTCGTTTCCTTCGGCCAGGACTGCTATATTGACTGCCCGAATTCAGTGGACGAGGCCCGGTAGGTTTACGGGGAGGCGGTGTGCTGCGCGGAGACGAGCGTAATGCCGAGTTCTAATCATTCAGTCAGCTTCTCTTCAATGCCGAGCGCTCTAGACGAAAGTAGACTTACCCGTGACGCAACGCGATCCACGTACGATCGTTCATCGTCCTCCTTGACCTTTGGCGGCCGCTCAGGGACCAATGGACCGTCATCCTTGATTTTTGGAGGCCTCGGTGGACCAGTATGTCGAGAGCTGGCCTCCGAGTAGCCTGCATCCGAGATCGGGGAGAGGCGACTGGCGCCGCTGCTGTGTCGCGGATTGGGGTTTGCAGCTGACAAGCTCGGGTTTGAATTCCACTGGTCCGAGGGGGCGCCAGATGGTATCCCGTAGATCTGGGCTTGTGTTTCCAGCTGAGACTGGTATCGGCCAGTAGGCCCCTGGCGAGGCTGAGGATGTTGAAGATCCAGACTATCTCGGTGAGCTCTGTATTTCGGAGCTTCCGAAACTTGGGAAGGAACCAAAGGCGATGGGGGCCGGTTCTCCTGCTGTCGGTCATCCAGGGTGTAGGTCGACCGCAGTCTGTCGTCGCCTTGTGGATCGTACCAGTCAGCGGCCTTGTACGGTCCCTGGATATCGGACCCTGAACGTGAAGCATCGAAAGACGGGCGCTCCTTGCGGCCTGGCTGGATGCTATTGCGGATATTGTCTCCCATGGAAGATGCCGTGGTTTTGGACCAACGGGAAATCTTGGGGAAGAACGAGGAGCTGCTTGACTTGTGCTTCTTGGATTTCTCATTCGTCTTCGGGGACGTTTCATTACTGAGAGCGCCAGAGGCCATGGGTGCCCGAGGTGGCGTGGAGGCCGAGGAGGGTCCAGCCCTGTCCTGTCGGCCGTTTGTGTTGTCGAACGATGCCGGGTTCGGGCTCAAGAACTCTCCACGCTCATTGATTTCCATCTCCTCGTCGGCTTCTGGAACAGTGCTGACACGATGCTCAGAATCTCTCCGTAGTCCAGTACCACGTGATTCCGGCATTGGCCGAGAAGAAGTGGATAGCAAGTATCCGGAATGGTCGGGAGAAGAAGTTCCAGCATGTCCTTCAGGCTCGTAGCCTTCTGGATCTACACTAGCAGACCGAGGTCCGCTGCGGCCCAGCCTCTCGTCTTGACCATCGCGGAGTGCTTCAACCTCATCGAGCAGCTGCTCCAGCATGTCCTCGATCCTGGACAGGTCGTTGGAAGACTTGAGACTGAGTCCTTTAAGTGCACGCTTGAAAACATTCTTGCGCTTGGAGCGTAGGTCTTCGTCGTCCGCAGAAGACTGGCGGGCGCTTCTGGTGCTGGCCGGCAGTGGGCGAGGGCCTCCGAGAGCTCGGTACGTTCGGTCATGCTGCTTGTCACTTGCCTCCATGAGCATCCCATCCTGCTGAGCAATGAACTTCTTCATTTCCTCGAAAGAGTTGCGCATTTCCGCTGCGCTTCTAACAAGGGTAACCAAAATCTCTGTATCGCGAGCATTTCGCTGGGCATCGCGCACGGTGAGCTGTGTACAAGTCAGCATCCGTTCGCATAATTTGCACTCTGTATCGGAATACTTACGTGATCCATGAGTGCGACAATATCTTTGGACTGGATACGCTCAATGCCCCTCCCAGTTGCACTATCGTACAGAGGCGAGCCGACACCCTGGGAGTAGCCACTGAGTTGCCGTTGGTGACCAGTCATGAACTGATCATCAGCTCCAGTAGGACTGTCAAAGAGACCCATCCCGTTGGTGTCCATACCACCAAAACCTTTGTCCAAAGGCTCCGGGGTATCGACGCCCGGCGAGAGAGGGTTTGGGGCGGAAACATAGCCTTCATCTTTGCCTGGCGGCGTGCCGAACAACGGCCCTCTTGAGTACTGATGATCAAGGTAGTCATCGGGGTTGTAGTCGTTTGTTTCATAGTAGTCATGGCCGTAATCGGGTTGGTCATCCAACTCTAGGCCTGTATTGCCAACAGAGCCAGCATTGTCGAACATCGGCGACTGGCCACGGTTATCTGGCGCCTGCTCATATGCCCAGGTACTTCCATGCATGCCTCCTCCGATTGGTCCTTGGATGATAGATGGATTCGTATTGATCTCCGATTCAGAATCTGGGCTTCGGTCGACTTCTGGACTGGGGCTCTCACGGTCATGGATGTCTTCAGAAAACATGTGAGTCGGGTCGGTCTGGTCTTCCAATGACTGTGTAACGCTCTGGGGAGGCGACGTGGCTCCCATTCGTCGGGGGAAGGAGGTCGCGTCTGGACTCGAGGCGTCTTGACATTGTTTCAGAGGGCTTCCTTGGCGGGATCCGTGAGGAGTATGGTTTGCCCTTTCCACTGGCTTAGGAGTTTGACCTTCCAAACGCCGAGAGAGATCAGTCTGAGAGCGATTTGTCGCAGACTGATTGGACTTCGTGTCCATAATTGACGGATCAAGAAGAGAGGCCACCGCGGATTCGACTGCCATGGGATGGATAACCTGAGGGTTGGCACCGATGCCTGCAACGGGCTGACGTTGGTTTACTTTTTCCATGTAGCTCACCTCACTCTCGTCCGTAAAGCCGGTCATCCTTTTGGGGTCAGTACTTGCGGTCTCCGTCATCGATCGTGGTGACATGGCGGGGGATTCTTCATACCCAAGTTCAGCCCCATACTTGTTGTTATTTCGTAGGATCTCTTTTTGGCCTGCAAGGTTGATACCGTGAGGTCGTGAAGACCTTGCGAGGTTGGTGCTTGGGGCAGATGAAAGCGAATCTATGGAGAGGCGTTGTTCCATCTCCTTCTCGGTTCCGGAAAATTCATGCTCAACTGGTTGGACTGAATCCTGTATAATGTGGGACTCGCTCTGGTTGCTAGCCACACTCTGGATTGGGCTGAGGGTGCGCCGACGGTCAGTGAATTTAGAGCCGTGACGCCCGGAATGTTCATCTAGGAGGTTGGCCGCTGCGGCAGCCGCAATAGCTCCCGCGGCAGCGTCGCCTACAGGTGAAAGGCTCTTTTCGCGATCATCTTCTTCGGGATAATCGTGGAGCGACAGGTCATGGCTAGAGAAGTTGCTGTGCTTAAGGTCATATCGTGAATCCAACAATTCTTGATGCGGGCTACGACCGTCGTGGATTTCGGAGGTCTCACGGGAACCATAAGGCTCTGCGGTCTGTTCGGAAAGAAGCGAGTCTCTGGTCATGTCGGACTCAATTGCGCTGCGCAGCGGCATGGGTGCCACATTGTGTTTCTGGAAGACCAATTCGGTATCGTTGAAACTGCCGTTGCGACTCCTCGGGTCACTCGGCCTTCGTCGTTCAGTTTTGTCGATACTGGAACGAGAATCATGGTGCTTAAGAGCGGCGGCGGTCAGGGCTGACCCAACCCTGGCGGCCTTTTCGGCATCCCGCAACCCCTTGCTCTTTTGCCGACGTAGCTTCTCCTGTTCTGTCAGTTCTGGCCGAAGGCCCCATTTGACGTAGCTTGTTTCGGACGGTGTGTCGCTGCCCTTGCTGGGTCTGCGCTCCTGTGTGGGAGCCGGCTCACCGGAAAGGACTACACCCTCGTCATGGTCATCCTTATTCAGAACGACGGTAGGCCGCGTCACATCAGGAGCGCTGGCATGCTTCGAGAGGCGTCTTCCGAGTTCGTCTCGCGATGGGGTGCTCGCAGAGGAGTGTGATGTATTCATGTCACGTTCAAATTTGGACGTATTGGTCATCACCTTTTGATCCTTCTTGAGCTCTTTTAGCTCGGGCAATATCAACCGACGGATGGCATCTTCAACGGTCTCGAGAAGCTTTGGGTTGTTGATTGAGGACTTGGAGGTGCCAGACCGGAAGGAATACTGATCACCAGACTTACGATGGGCGGATAACGCCGACGCGCTGAGCAAACTCGGATTCGGACTCATGTCTTCGTCCGGATACGCCGACAAGCGAGATCGGGACTTGGACTCTGGTTCGTGGAAGTTAACAAGGTCTCCCTTATTCCGTTGGCCTTTAGAAGTCTCACGAGGATCGTTACTCAGTTTCTCCGCGACTCGATGAGCAATGCGTTCTGTACTCAGACTGCGGCTTCTTTGTCGCCTAGGTGTTTGGAGATAGTCTTTGTATTCC